TTTTTGGCTATTGTGAATAAAACTCCTATGAACACTCTTGTACAAGTCTTTTTTGTGGACATACGTTTTAATTTCACAGGGTAAATGCTTATAAGTAGAACTTTAGGTCATAGGGTACATGCATGTTTAGCTTTCTGAGAGATCACCATTTTTCAAAATGATTGTACCAGTCTTATACTCCCATTAGCAATGAGTGAGATTTCTGATCGTTCAACCTCCTTGCCTACATTCAATGTTGACTTTTTAATTTTAGCTCTTCTAGTGGGCATGAAATAGGTATCATTGTGACTTTAATTTGAATTTCCCTGTGATGTTGAGGAATGTTTCATGAACTTTTTGGCCAAAGGAATATCTTTCATGAGGTATCTTTTCATGAAGTGTTTATGAAGTTCAAGTATTAAGCCCAGTTTTTATTGGGTTGCTTATACATTTATTATTTTTTTGTTGAATTATTTAAATATTCTGGGTACAAGTCTTTTGACTGACATATGTATTGTGAATATTTTCCCCTAGGCTGTGGCTTGCCATTTAATTTTCTGAATAATTCCTCTGATGAGCAGAGGTTTTTAGTTTTGATCAAGTTCAATTTTTCAGTTTTTTTTTTCTGTTGGAGTTCATATTTTTGTGTCCGCTCTAAGAAATACCTCAAGTCTTAAAGGCATTTTCCTATTGGTTTCTTCTGAAATTTTTATATTTTAGTTTTATATATTTTTTATATTTGAGTCTATGATCCATCTCAAATTGATTTTTTGCATAGAGTGAGGAATGAAGAGAGGCTGTCTTCTCCCTAAGTTTTATATAGTTGTCCCAGGAACATTTGCAGAAGCCATTTCCTCATTGAATAGTATTGGTACCTTCTTGAAAGTCAGCTGATAAGTGAGTCTGTTTTTGGATTGCATCATGCTCCATTGATCTACAGGTCTACCCTCAGATCAGTACCATACTATTTTGATTATAGTAACTTCATACAATGTTTTGAAGTGAGATGGTATGAATTCTCCAGCTTTGTTCTTTTTTTTAAAAAAATTGTTTTGCCTATTCTAAGTTCTTTGTAATTCCACATAAATTTATGGCTAACTTGAAGTTTTCTACAGAAAAGGCTTATGGAATTTTGATGGAATTATGTTGAATCTATAGATCAATTTGGAGAAAATTGACATTTTAATATTTACTTTTTCAATCCATAATCATGATATATATCTACCCTTATTGAGGTCTTCTTTCATTTCTTTCAGCAATCCTTTCTAATTTTCATGAAGAAATCTTATATAACCTCCTAAGTATTTATTTCTGAATATTTTATATCTTTTATGCTATTGTAAATGATGTTTAATTTTCTTCCCACTAGTATGTAGAAATACAATTGATTTTTTAAAATATGGACCTTGTATCCTGAAACATTGTTAAATTTATTTATTAGTTCTAGTAATTTTTTTTGTAAATTCCCTAGGATTTTCTGTATACACAATCATGCTGACTGCAAATAAAGGCAGTTTTACTCTTTCCCTTCCAATATATGTATGTGCCCTTTATTTCTTTTTCTTGCCTTATTTCCACCTTGTTAGGAAATAAATGTTCAGTCTTCACCATTAAGTAGGCTATTAACTGTAGGTTTCTTGTAGATGCTCTTTGTCAGATTGAAGACACTGGTAATTTGTGGGTTTTTTTCTCTATTGTTTCGTGGTCAACCTAGGTATGGATTTATCAATTGTATTAAACTTTTAAAGGACTTTTGGTTTCATTTATATTCACTATTGTGTGTCCATTTCTATGTTATTGTTTTTCTCTATTTTTATTTCCTTCTGTCTACATAACATAGACTTAATTTGTTCTTCATTTCCTAGCTATGTGAAGTGAAAGCTTAGGTCATTATTTTCTGGTGTGAGTCCTAGCCATCTTATTTCTTCTCTTTTCTGATGATCCCATCTCATTCTCTTTTCAACCTCATTCGTTGTATATCTTCTCTATATAGTCTTATATACTCTTTTAGTCTCTAGTTTTCCTTGTGCATACATGTTTGTTTTACATACATGTCTTTTACTGGGTCCCTAAATGAATGATAGGCTCCCTGACTGCAAGAACTCTATCTTATGCTGACTTCATAACCACTTTAGTTCCTTGTCTGTAGTTGATATACAATTAACAGATATTCCTTAAGCACCATTGAGGCAGAAGCTACTGTGGGTGATAAAGGTTATGCATAATTCAGATATTCTTTAAGAAGTTAACTAATTTTTAAAAAGATGTCAACAGTAACACAAAATAGTATATAATAAGAGCCAAATGAGATGATTAGGCATTAAACACTTGAGGCATTCAGAAGGAGAGGATACTATAAGGGTGAATTATTTGAGGAAGACTTCAGAGAGGAATGGGATTTGAACTGGCTCTGAAGCAGAGGTTGGATTTAAATGAAGAGAAGATTCCATTCCAACTGTGGGAAAAACATGTACAAAGGTCCTGGGGTAAAAATGTACACTGCCTGTTTAGAAAACAGGGAAGAAACCAACGTGGGGAAAGCAGGGAAGAGACGTAAGATATAATGTGCAGCCCTGGCCGGTGTGGCTCAGCTGGTTGGAGCATTGCTCCATAGACTGAAAGATCATGGGTTCCATTCCCAGTCAGGGCACATGCCCAGGTTACAGGTTTGATCCCAGGTCTGGACGCCATGGCACATACAATAAGGCAACCCATTGATGTCTCTCGCTCTCCCTCTCCCTTTCTAAAAGCGATGAAAAAATGTCTTCGGGTGAGGATTAAAAAATACTATAAGTAAATAAATACAGATACAATGTGTAGAGGGCTCTTATTACCTAATCAAGGATATTGGGGTTGTGGATTTGGCTCACTCACTCATGACGGCAGATGTGTGATGCTATCTTGGGGCTCATGCTGTGGTCTTTCCTACGTGGCCCATGCTCTCCGAGTAATATAGGAAGGTATTTCCAAACCAAATGCTCCACAGCTTTGAACTTGGCCTTGGGCACTCTTTTTTTTTTTTTTTTCTCTTGGGGATTTCCTTTCTCAATTGCCTCTGTAATGCAGTCAGCCCTCTGAAGCTACAATTCTGGTTTTTCTTAAGACTGATGCCTCTCTGTTTGCAGGAAACCCTGGTCTAGCTCTAAACTCCCCGTCTAGCTTAAAGAGTCTACACACCCTTAATTTAAAAAGAGGAAACCACCTTTTCCAAATGAGTAGCATAAAACAGACAACCCAAGTGTCTTTGGGAAGAGTGAAGCGTTTATGTCTATAAACCAACATTGATATTGACTCTTTGTACCTATTCATTCACTTGGGAGTCTTTATTTTCATTGTTCTCTTCGAGTGCACGGGAACACAATAGGCATTCTCATCCTAGAGAATTTTACCTTAGTGAAGCTGGATTTCTTTTTTTTTTTTGTGGCGGGTGGTGTGTGCGTATGTGCAGGAGTGGTCCAAGAGGTCAGAGAAGCCACAGGCACTTGTAGCAGAGCTGAGAAGACAGCACATGGTGGACACCAAACAGCAAATTCAGAAGCTGGGTGCCCTGAGAACCCAGAGGAGGGAGCACCGGGGCTACTCAGAAGGTTTCCAGAAAACATGGAAGTGGAGGGACTGGATTTGGATTCAGGAGAGAATAACATAAGCATCACCTAAGAGTTGCCCCTGGGCACTGCATGTCGGGGGCAGTAAGAAGCCTACCTGGCTGAGGAGACAGAAGAGTGGGTGTGTGGAGGGGGTGGATGGAGAAGTGAAGCTTTGGTGGAGATCGTATTTTAGGCTCCCAATGCCTAAATCTATGCTCAAACAAGAGCCAGACCCCATGGAATTAAATGTATTACTAACCTAGATTTACCTATATGTCCATGTGTAAAAGTCAGTATAATAATCCATTTGTTAAAATGCAGTGTGAGTTATGGCCAGTTTAGATTCCGATTGCCGTGTTGAAATCAGTCTCAGACCTTGGTCCTTCTGGGTCTCTTTGGGACAAGTCTGCTCAGCCAGGTCATGACAAGTGGCAGCAAATGGAAGAGAGGGATTTGGCTTCTGCCTGTCCAGGGCTGGCTAGAGAGATATCTTCAGGTGAACACCACCTACACCCCAAGCTAACCTCTCTCAGCTAACTGGGTGCTGGGAAGGGATGGTGTGCCTTGGCTGGGCTTGGGGGTGTGGAAGCTCAAAGGTCCCTGGACACACCCAGAGACAGCCTAGCTAATCTCCCCAAGGGACTGAAGTCTGAATCAGGCAACCTATCGTAAGCGTTTGGGGGTAGAAACCAAGGAGCCAACCTTATTTAGTAGGAGACACTTAAGTGGCTATTGTTTACAGTCCCTGATTTGTTGGTTTGGGGAGCTGAGGGGACTCTGAGTTTTAAAATGTCCTGCATCTAGGACTAATGCTTTGGAAAGCTGGAGCAGTGTCCTCCGACCTCAGAGTACCAGGAGAATAAAATAGGAGTAAACTGCTCATTTCAAACTTAAAAAACAAACTCCTTTCTCCCACATTGGGGCCAGGGACCACGTGGAGCATGCTCACTGCTGGGCTCCCCTCCTGCTTCCCAATGGGAAGCCAGGCCTTCTCTCTCAGTCCTGGGGCCTGGCTCCTGACTCAGCTGTTTGCCCTTTGCAGCAAAATACCCTTGACCCTCACACAGGGCTTATTGGCTACAAGAAGGGATGTTAGGGTCAAGCTCTCCTGCTCCCGGTCCTGACCTGACTTAGGACATGGGTGGTAGCCTAGATAGGGCCTCAAGCCTTGCCAGCTCCCTCATTCATGTGCCTCTCAATCTTCTGTCACTTCCTTCCTGTTTTGTGGTCCTTCAGTTTCATAATTTTAGAAACTCTTCCACAGCTATGTGCATTCTTACTTCTTCTATTTTGTTTGTTTTGGTCACGTATGTCCTAGAGGCAAAGTGTTTCAGGAACTTCCTTCCAACTGCTGGCTTCCCCATCTCTTCAGGACTCTGGGGCTTCCCTCTGCCCTGTTTCTGGTCTGACATAGTGTCATTTCTTTTTCATCAGAGTCCGGATATCCTCAGCACCATAGGCTATGACAGCATCATCCAACACCTGAACAATGGCCGCAAGAACTGCAAAGAGTTTGAAGACTTTTTAAAAGAAAGGTACAAGCTGTTTTCCTCTGAAGACAGAGGGGAGGACCAAATGCTTCCACACAAACAAGGAACAATTCACTACTTGTTCTTAATGGTTCATAAGACCCTCTGCTGTAGGTTACAGAATGTTCTCCAAGATGTAAATGATATCTCTGTCCACATTTTGTAGAAACCAGTTGGAGAGATAAGATTTATGAAAGAAACAACAAACAAAATATAATAAAACATTCAGTTGTGTGATATGCATGACACTGAGAGACCTCATAGGAGACGGATTGCGGAGGATTGGCCAAAAAAAGGCGGCGGGCGGGGAGAGGGGGCAGTGAGAACTTCATGGAAGAAGAGATCCTTAAGCATTTGCTAGGTGGAGGGGACCCAGAAATCTGTGGGGGAAGAGCAAGAGTGGAAATGAGAACAAGCGTGACTCATGTGAGTGGGGGGCAGAGTGTGATTCTAGGGGTCAGGGAACAGTGACAAAGATGTGGGGAGAGGTTGGGGCCCTCCAGATGTCAGCGGAGCTTAGTAGTGGGGGAGGGGACTGGCATGCTTTAGAGGATTTTCTTTCCTATTTTCGTCTTCTCTTTTTTTAATGAGTAAGATTTCTTAAATCTATTCTTAATGGAGTGCATTAGTTTTGTGGAAATCGTACTCACCTGGAACAGTCCAGTGTGATCCCAGATGAGGGAGCGCTTTAGGGGGATTTTTGGCCTAAGATCCAGGTCATTGCCAGGCCCTGAACTAATGAACTGCTTGTGTTTGTCAGGCAGTGAGTCAGAGTCATACGTTGGAGATACAGATACCAATGTGTCTTCAATCAAGTCTCTTTATTTTCTACTCAGGAGAACATTAGGCAGCACCAAGCTCACACTGGCACCCGCCTTGGATGGCGAGGCCTCTCTCCTTGAACTGATTCAAAGGTCCAGGGGAAGCTGGACCCCTGCCCCACTGTGCGTCTCAGGAGGGGCAGACAGAAAGGAGTCTGTCCACTGGCAGGCTCCATGATTTTGGTCACTGTGCTTCCTCCTTTGAGGGAACAACTTCCCTCTTCTGTGTGCGTATGTGCAAGAGTGGTCCAAGAGGTCAGAGAAGCCACAGGCGCTTGTAGCAGAGCTGAGAAGACAGCACATGGTAGACACCAAACAGCAAATTCAGAAGCTGAGTGCCCTGAGAACCCAGAGGAGGGAGCACCGGGGCTACTCAGAAGGTTTCCAGAAAACGTGGAAGTGGAGGGACTGTGGTGTACCCAAGCTGGTTGCCAGTGGGGACACCACATTACAGCTTTCCTTTCCCATGACAGACCCTGGAGGCTGGCTTCCTCCTTCCTTCAACAGAGCTGACAAAGGAGCCAGCCATCAACAGTCTGATGACGTGCAGGAGATAGGGGCTGCAGAACATCCCTTGTTTTTGTGTTCCTCCTCTGGTTAGGGCTTTCATACATTTTCATGCATTTTCTCCTGCGGATGAAGTAGCCTTGCCATACATCCGTACAGGAGGCGTTGGCTAACAGCTGAAGCTTCCACTGTCCAGGCTGGACTGTCCGAGGGTCCCTGGACACAGTGGGATGGTGCTGTAAATCAGTGGTGTCCATGTTGTGAAAAATGTAATCCTCAGTAAGAAATACATGTTACACTGCCACCCAGTACACACATTCAGAAAACAAAAGTTTAAGAAAACGTTACTACTCTATGATTTTATTCAATTCTATTTAATTAAAAACTGCTGGTCCTAACCCATTGACTCAATTTATGGTTCCCTAATAGGCCATGGCCCACACATTGAAAAACACAAGTCAAAATGAACCCCAAAAGCTATGGTCTCACATTTAAAATATTTCACAAAAATATATGGGGAAGGCCCTGGCTGGTATGGCTCAGTTGGTTAGAGCACCATCCCATAGTTCAAAAGGTTGTGGGTTCGATTCCTAGTCAGGGTACATGCCTAGGTCCCTGGTTAGACTGCATATGAGCAGCAACTGATTGATGTTTCTCTCTCACATCGATGTTTGTCTTCCTCTCTCCCTCACTTCCCTCTTTCTAAAATTAATAAGCATGTTCTCAGTTGAGGATAAAAATACATATAGACATATATATTTATATGTGGGAAGAGGAAGAAATATATGAAATATGGGTAGTGTCAAGTTTTATAGCAACAGGATTTCATCTTACCCACCCTGACTTCGGGGCCAGGAGCACTGGGCTGATGATCATCCTGAGGCTGCTTTCAGGCCTGATGGAAAAGGCCAGATCTGACAATATTTGCTGTAGGTCGTCAAAGAGAAAATGGCACATGCATTTTTCCTGGTCTAGGAATTCGAATAGGAAAGGGATAAAAATGAACCAGAGTTTTCAAACAGGGCTTCATGAGAAAGAATAAGCCGTGAAGTGCTTAGAGGAGTATTATTCTCTACTTTGTTTCCTTTACTATTTTGTATATTTTTATTATGGCCCTCATTACAGGGTAGTAAACTAAAGTATTGGTTTATTTCTCTCCCTCTGCCAGATTGAGCTCCTCAAGATGGGTCTCATGTTTCAGTCATCTCTATGTTGCCTGACACATAATGGATGTTTAATAAATGACAAATTGATGAACAGATAACAGGGAAATTTTGGATAGATGGTAAAAGGGTGATCTAGGTAAAGGCTTACTTATTTCAGGGTGATTTTTGCAAAGTGCTAGTGATTCCTTCATTGGTTACAGGCTGCTGGACTCCACTGCTTCCCATTTGCTGGTGGAACATCGTCCCAATTTCATGGTGGTTCTGCTGATATAACAAGGACGAGGCTGTAGTTTCACCTCTGTAAATTTTTTCTTTCTCCAAAGAGCACAGCATTGTTTTTTCTGGAACTCATTTTTTGGTCAGATTTTAGGACTTTCCACAAGGATCAGATGCTGCCTATGGTATGTTCAGGGTCTTGGTGCCTTAATGTTAGAAGAAAGCAATTTAATAGCTTTTTTCCGAGAAGCCACAAAAGATTCTTGAGAATTCTTAATGGATATAATTCAAGAAGGATGAAATGTGTGCATATTTTAAATATACACATATATACTTTTTAAATGAAAATAGCCTTATCTTTTTACATGTAAAAGTGTTAAGTGTTTTCTGTAGAGTGTCCTAAGTTGTTATATCGCTGCAGCAGTCTCCCCTTGTCTGCAGTTTGGCTTTCTGCAGTTTCAGTTACCCATGGTCAACCACAGTTGAAAATATTAAATGGAAAATTCCATAAGTAAACAATTTATAAGTTTTAAATTGCACGCTGTCCTGAGCAGAGTGATGAAATCTCCTGCCATCCCGCTCTGACCCACCCAGGATGTGAATCCTTCCTTTGTCCAATGTCTCCATACTGTATACATTCCCTGCCTGTTAGTTGCTTAGTAGCCATTTTGGTATCACAGTGCTTGTGTTCAAGTAACTTATTTTACGTAATAATGGCCCCAGAGTACAAGAGCAGTGATGGTGGCAATTCAGATACGCCAAAGAGAAGCTGTAAAGTGCTCCCTTTAAGTGAGAAGGTATGTATGCATAGGAGAACACTATATATGCATGCAGTTTGGTACTCTCTGCAGTTTGAGGCATCCACTGGGGGCCTTGGACACAACATGGAGAAGGTGACAAAGGGCAATGGGGAGAGGGAAAAGGGGGAACCATGGGGCATGTTTAGTGCTTTACCAGACTGGAGCCACACCAAATAATGATCAGTTGATCTTGTGAGACATGCTGACTACAGAGTTTATATTCTGAAATTCCCCTCCTTTGTACACTTAGTTGTGTATTTGAATTGACTGTAAATGAGGAACTCTATAGGATAGCAAAAGGGTTCCCTTAGAGAAGATGGGAGGAGGAAGAGCGGGTCTCAGGAGTGTATTTGATGGAAATATCTCTTACTTGACTGAAAATCCCCAAATATATATACATATATTTGGATCATAGTTTTGAAATTTTAATCTGTACTATACTAGCCTGCACTGGTCAGGGGGCCATGCCTGGTTTGCTGTGATGTTTATGCCAGGGACAACTAGCTGAAAAGACCACCTTAGAGATAAAAGCTACTGGTCTTTTACAATTCTTCCATGTTATGTAGAGGGAGCTTTACAAAGAGGGTGTTTTAGAAAATGGTATTATATCTGAGCTACTCTCAAAGGTGCAGTTTTGCCTTCAGAGGGAGTGCCATGTGTCTCAATAAAGAGTCAGCCCTGAGAAGGACTCACAAGCCTCTCTTCTGTTCCCCTTAGGGCATCAATTGAAGAGAGATACGGCAAAGATCTGCTCAACCTCTCTAGGAAGAAACCATGTGGACAGTCTGAGATCAAGTAGGTGCCACGTTTCCTTGTGGTTCCAGGGTGGCTTACACTGCCAGGAGCCCCCATCACCTCAGCAGACAAAGCTGGCCAGTGGGGTGAAGTGTCTTGGATGAAAATAATTTTTAATTGTTTTTTTTCCTTATTTCCAGTTGTGAAAAATAGAAAGTTAAAATGAACCATGACACTAACAACCCATTATTAATATTCTCTAAATTTTCCTTGAAGTCCTTTTCTATGCATATTTTTTTCGTAGATGGGATTACATTATATACCTACCTACAAAGCTTCTCTAAATTTAAGCTTCTCTAAATTTAATAGAGAAGCTTATATACACATATGCATACACCTGTATACACGTACATAGTTTGTGATAGCTGCCAGGGATTGTCTTTGCCCTGCTGCGTAGTTCTCACCACCAGGGTGAGATTTCTGTACTACAATGATTTATTTTTCCATCATTCCTGGCTTTATGGGCAGTCAATCACACAGTAACCTATACTTAGGAAGATTGCATAATTGGCCTAATGCTCTTTGCTGTCATCATTTTGAAATTCTTAATAATTTATAAAACAAGGGGTCCCACATTTTCCTTTTGCAGTGGACTTCCCAAATTTTGTGGCTGGTCCTACGCATGTAGAAATTTCTATATTCCCTCTCCAAAACAAGCATGTTGGTAGGGTAGGGCATTGTTGGGAGAAGTAGTTTGGACAGAACTTTGCAGGCCTCAGCAGAACCAGTCACATGACACACTGAAATGCATACTGCTTTGGCTGTGCTGTAGACAGCTGCGTAGAGGTCTGTGTCCTCTCAGAGGTCTGGATGGGGCAGACAAGCTAGTGGCCTTCCTCTTCTCTCTTCTTGCTTCTAAGAGGCATGCAACACATGCACTCTCAGACTTCAAAGTACTAGATTAATGAAAAGGATGCAAACATTGGGAGACAGTTAAAATGTTAATAGTTACGTAAGCCTAAAAATTTGTTACCCTCCGGCACAGGACATTAGTACAAGGAGAATTTGGTTTTGACCTATTGATTATATTTTATTTTTGATGTTGTAAATGAAAAATTTAAAAACACTGAAAAGTAAAAAGACAAACATAAGGAACCCGTCACCTAGATTTCATAATTATCCACATTTGCTGTGTTTTCTTAATAAAATTTTGTGACTTTAAATTTAAACCTGGAACCAGTTATTTCTCAAAGTATACTTAGTTCCTTTTAGTGATTAATCAATCGCGTTTAGAGATGGAACTTCAAGTTCATTGTCACAGAGGTGTCCGTATTTCTAGGTCCTTTCAGGGGGCAGATTTTAAAAGCATGAGTTCATGTTGATATTTCAAATTCTAATTTCACTTTACAGGGTTTTACTTAACTTCCTTAATTTTATATTTATTTCTGCTTAAGTGGAAAATCTTGGTTCTAACAATATTAGCATAATTAGTTTCTTTATATGAAAATACATATCAAAAATTTTCAAAATAATATCAATATTGCTATGAACTATAAAACTTGCGAATAAAGTTTAACATTTCTTTGCAGTTCCTCTTGCTCTTAGGCTGTATTTCGCTAAGAATACTGTGTTTTAAAGTCATTTAAAATATTTATTTCCTCTGTGTGATTATGTAACCAATTTTGTATTAGTTAAATTTGTTTTAAATTTTAGGGATATTTTCCTTTTTCCTGTTTGATTTAGTTTTGTTTTTGAATATGTAAAACATTTACATGTTCACAGGTCAAAACTGCATAGACTTAGACAAGTTGCATGGTCATTCCGGCAGGGTTCAGATTATTTCAAGGGAGATCAGTTGGTCAACTGAACCCCACCCTCCACCCCCCTCCAAAAACAAAGTCTTTATTTATAAAATAAATAAGCTGTTTAGGAAAATATCCCAAACTTATGAGGGTGATTTGATGGATAATAGCCACATTCTCTCGCATAGTTCTTCCTGGAAAAGATCTTCAGTAGAAAGAGATCCAAATGGTATTTCTTATATTTTTACACATTTGACTTGTAACTGAGTAAATTCATAGAGAGACTCTGGCACAGTCCTCTTTTGTTCTGTGATAAAAGCCAGTCCGTTTTCCTTCTAAGAGTATACACACAACAGGATGTGAGACCTGGGGAATGTGTTGCCGAGGTTGAAGCGAAAGGCCACGTAGGTGATTTATGTTTTTCTCACTTCCAGGATGATCTTTAGGAAGGTGCCCTACATGAGAGTGAGTGACTTTGCTTTTCCATGGGCTAGGTAGGGTTTGTGGCCTCATCGGCCACCCTGAGGGTCTCTGGCCTCTGATGGGCCTTTTTAGGGTTTAAGGTCAAAGTGCTTATTGAAAGGGTGGTAGACTATTTCCATTGTGCACAGTAATGAAGAACACCAGGGAGATGAGGAGATGACGTTGCCAGGCCACTGCTCCCAAAGTTAGGGTTCCATCCCCTGATGGTCATCATGTCCCGAACACAGGAAATAGCAAGTGATGACCTGAGACAATAAAGTTAACGACAAAGTAAAGGGACATCGGGGCTGCTCTTTTAGTGGCCCTTCAATCAGTCACTTAGAATGGGAGAATTTTAGACCCTGAACAGACTATCTGTAAGGATAGATTTCTTTTTTTTTTTTAGTGTATTTTATTGATTATGCTATTACAGTTGTCCCAATATTGCCCCTTTTGCCCTCTTCCATTTGGCGCCCCCTCCCTCCAGAAATCCCGCCCCCCTTAGTTTTTGTCTATGATCATGCATATAAGTCCTTTGGCTTCTCCATTTCCTATACTATTCTTAACATCCTCCTGTCTATTTTGTACCTACCAATTATGCTTCTTAATCCATGTACCTTTCCCCCCACTCTCCCCCTCCCCCGCCCTGCTGAAACACTCCCAATGATCTCTTTATCTATGATTCTGTTACTGTTTCGGTTGTTTGCTTAGTTTGTTTTTGTTTTTTAGATTCAGTTATTGATAGTTGTGGGTTTGTTATTATTTTCATGTTCATAGTTTTGATCCCCTTTTTCTTAAATAAGTCCCTTTAACATTTCGTATAATAAGGGCTTGGTGATGAATAACTCCTTTAACTTTACCTTGCCTGATAAGCACTTTATCTGCCCTTCCATTCTAAATGACAGCTTTGCTGGGTAGCATAATCTTGGTTGTAGGTCCTTGCTTTTCATGACTTTGAATACTTCTTGCCAGTCTCTTCTTGCCTGCAAAGTTTCTTTTGAGAAAGCAGCTGATAGTCTTATGGGAACTGCTTTGTAGGTAACTCTCTGCTTTTCTCTTGCTGCTTTTAAGATTCTCTCTTTATCTTTAACCTTTGGCATTTTAATTATGATGGTGTCTTGATGTTGTCCTCTTCAGGTCCAACTTGTTTAGGACTATCTGTGCTTTCTGGACTTGTATGTCCATTTCCTTCACTGTATGAGGCAGTTTTCTTTCATTATTTTTTCAAATAAGTTTTCAATTTCTTACTCTTCCTCTTCTCCTTCTGGCATCCCTATGATTTGGATGTTGTCACTTTTGGAGATGTCCCAGAGTCTTCATATTCTCTCCTCTTTTTTTTTTTTTTTTTTGAATTCTTATTTCTTCATTCTGTTCTGATTGATTGTTGATTTCTTCCTTATATTCAAAATCATTTGAACCCTGGCTTCTTTCCCTTCACTGTTGGTTCCCTGTGGATATTTCTTTTTTTCATTTAGTGTAACCTTCATTTCTTCCCTTATGCTTTTGCCATACTCAGTGAGTTGCCTGAGCTTCCTAATCTCTAGTGTTTTGAACTCTGCATCTGATAGGTTGGCTATCTCCGTTTGGCTTAGTTCCTTTTCTGGAGTTTTGTTCTGTTCTTTCATTTGGGCCATAGATCTTTGTCTCCTCAATTCAGCAGCCTCCCTGTATTTGCTTCTGTGTATTGGGCAGAGCTGCTTTGACTCCCAGTCTTAGCGCACCTGTTAAGTTGAATTATGCAGAGCCTTAGGTATCACCAGGGCAGGGCAATCCACTTCACTGGTTTGTGGCTGTATGTGGAGGAGGGGTTGGAGAGGGGACAGTGCTGCTGCCCGTCTGCTGGAGGCTTGCTCAGCACTCGCCCTGTAAAACAACCTTTCTTAACACAAGGATTAAAATACAAAATGTGGGAGTACCTTGGGCTTTCAATTTGGGAGGGGGAATGCGGACAGGCTGTTTGGGAGGGGGAGCTAAAAGGGTGTGAGGGCAGATTTCACCTCCATGACTCTTGGTAAGGCAAGACTTGCAGTTGCATCTGCTGCCATACCCATCTTTGTTTCTCACTAATTCCAGTAGTAAGTCTGCTCATCAGTGACAGTCCTTCATCCTTCTGGACTGTTGGTGCATTTGTTTAGAGAGGATGACTTCCCCAGTTCACTGTGTTCCTTGAAAAATTGTATCACAGGATGGGTAAAATGTATGGAGAATGAGCAGTAATGTTTTTCTGCTGGATGTGTTTGTAGTAATTGGAAATGTTTATGCGAGAAAAGGAAGGAGAAATAAGAACTCTTTGTTATGGGATAAATAGAGTGGGAAAAGTGAGGTAGCTAAAAGAAGGGGCCAGCTGGAAAATACAAGGGTTTTTACTTTGCAAAATAGTAAAACTTGCCACATACATATACACATATAGAAAATGATCCATGGTCCTATGCTGGATGGCTAGGGGACCACGAACTCACAAAGTACCTTTTCTACTTCAGCGGCTGGAGTGAGCCCAGGGAGATCTGCTTCCATGAAGGCAGCAGTGAGCAAGAAATTTCTGGGGCCAAGTCACCTCAGGAGGAGGTTTCATTAAGGCAGGATGGGGAAGAACTTAAACCATGGCTGAGAGAGTGTGTAGGGAGGAAGAGCCCTGGGCTAACAGAGAGAGGAAGGGGGAATCTGAAAGAAGGTATGAGTCATGGTCACCTCCACAGACACTGTAAGGTAAATGGGTTTGTATTAAGCTAAATTTGTTGTAGTTTGTTATTCAGCAGTAAGACATGAACACAGTGTGTTTCATATCCATCTCCTCCATGAGACTCTGAGGTCTGTCTTGAACCAGTGAATCACCAACATCTAACACAATGCCTGACCCATAGTTTATGCTTAATAAGGATGTGATGATTGATGAATGGGTGGAAGAAGAGGTGAACGGGAGCCTGAGTTTGAACCCTTCCTTTTTTGGCTTATAGCCATATTTCCAATTATTACACTTTAAAGAAAGACTCATATTCTTATGAAAGAGAGACCATAACTCCTATATTATCTATGGGGGAAATTAAGTATAGAAAATGTTGGCATCTTGCTCTACCCAGCTGGACAGAGAAGAATTTGTGATGTTTGTGCCTGGGATTGAGAGTATAAGGAAGAACAAACTGGACTGAAGAACCCTGGATCTTTTGCTGTCTTCTCAAACTCTGGAGCAGAGATGAATCTATAGGCTCTAAGTTATGGGCCAAGAGAAGAATGCAATGGCATTATAATAAGATTGTACAGCTAATCTCCAGAACTTGAAATTATATATGTCCTTATTTTTCAGCACCCTGAAGCGGGCCCTGGAAGTCTTCAAGCAGAGTAAGTGATTTGTGATTCTTTAAAAATGTATTTGCTGCCCTTGGCAAGCTCTGTGTCTCTCATCAAAGGTGGGTTTTCATTTGAACAGTAGTCTCATGTTGGGTGACAAAAAAAATGAAAGCAACTCCTAAGGCGAGAAACAGCTCTGAAGAGTTGAAGTGAGCTGGAGAGCCCCCCACACCTGCCTATCAGGATGTGCGTTTGGCTCCCTCACAGCCATGGTCCTCACACTTGACGTCCCGGGTGAGGCCCTGGCACCATGGGCCTTCAAAGGGTCCTGTCCAGTTCTGACATTCCCAAGCGCTGTCACTCAGAAACTCCCTTTAAGGCTTTTTGCTCTTCAGAATACTTGGTGCTTCCACACTATGGATTTTACCAACGCATAGTATGTACATGTGCTGGAAGTGTTTTTGTAGGCAATTGAGTGGTTCTAGACCTTTGTAAGGATTAGCTAAATAAATATTCACCTTAATTTTTCCATAGAAGGTGTACTCTTCTCTCTTTAACTCATCGATGGCTATTATTTCTCAAGATATGGACAGTATCTTTTCATTTTCTTATACTCACCGCAAGGCCAATCGTGATATGACCCAAGGGGACTTCAGCATAGGCTGGGTCTCCTAAGCATATATATTTGGTGTTATTTTACTTGTTGTCTTTTTTTCTAACAAGTAGTTTCATTTTCTTAACAAAAATATATTTATATTAAAATTCAAATGAGACAACTAACTGTGAAGAAGATACTAAACACCCGAGTTTTCACATGTGAATCTTATTTATTGGTTGTTTTTTTTTTTCATTCTTTTGCAGAAGTAGAAAATGTAGCCCAATGTCACATTCAGCTTGCACAGACCCTAAGAGATGAGGCCAGGAAGATAGAAGAATTTAGGGAAAGGCAAAAACTACAGCGGAAAAAGGTTGGGTTTGCTTCTGTGTTAAGATGTTGCCTCTCTCATGGCAGCATGCTCTGGGCTTGCTTGTGCAGTAAACACCTTGGCTTCGCTCACACCTTTATGCGCCCAAGCTCTTCTTTCAACCTCGGAGACTATTCATTGGAGAACACTGTGGAGACTTGTGGTTGTGTGCCCATTTATACCCCACGCCAGTTCTTTTCTAATTTTTGACAGGTTCAGGGGTCCAACCTGCTTCCCTCCTCTCTTTATATCTGTTACCACTATTTAAACTCTGAGTGGGAAGGGGAACCACTCTTTCTTCAGTAGAGTCTAGCATAGCCAAGCTGGCAGGCTCCCAGACCATACTCCCCTTCTGGGGCCAGGTGGTAAGGGGAGGGTAGGAAGTGTAGGAGACTCACACTCTCGTTGGAGACTGTGGTGTAGCCCAACCTCCGTATTCTACAAACAGGGAAGCTGAGGCGCTGGGAAATCCAAGTTCTTTTTCTCTTCAAAGCAGACATGTATATGCTCTTTTTCATTGATGAGATTTACTCTGGCCAACTACATGAGAGGAGATGGGGGCGAGCAAGTTAATAAAGCTGGCAAACATTTTAGAAGTTATAAAGATCAAGTGTTACTTAGACTAGACCAGCCACTATTCTGACTCCCTTGTATTTTGTTCCTAAAAGACTTGCATATTCAGGTTGCCCTGGCAGCCAAGTAGGGCCCTCCCAGAATCTCTTTCTTTTTTTCTTTCTCTTTTTTTAATATCTGGTCTCCAAGGCTGGAACCTAGCTTCCCATGGGGACAGGCTCTCCCCTGTCTGGCATCCAAAAATGTCCATTCAGGTCTCCACGGACAGCTCTGCATGGACTTTTCGGAAACCCTTCTTTATCCTGACCCACCTGAGGTCATTTTCTGCGGTGTATCCCATAGACAGCCAGCTGTTAAGGCTGATGCTACCCAAACCTCAATCTCAGCAACTTTGCCTGTGGTTCTCAGGAAGCCTCTCCCAGCTTCCTTGGCGACTACTTGGCGTTTAGAGTGGGTGTGGCATCTTAACAGCCTATTGTCATTTCATGAGAAGCTCTAACAGCTGTGCCCCTTCCTAGGAAGGAAGGCTGGACATTTGAGGAACACCATATCAAGCACTTTCATGCAAATTCCAGCTTCTTGTCCCGGATCTGAGGGCTCCATCTGGCCCGAAGTAGTTTTCAGAGCAGAAGTAATGCGTATATTACACCCACCTACAGGATGGCCAGGCTCTTGGGGCGGACATTGCCCTGCCCACCTCTTCAGAGTAATTACAAATTTTGAGAAGCAGAATGCTCTCGCCAAGCAAGGTCTGTGCACACATGATGTCCACCAAGAGGAGAGGAGGGGCATTTCCTCCCATCTTCAAGTGCCCTGGGTGACCCCTAGTCATTTCAAAGAGAGTTTTGTTAATTTTGCAAGGCTTCTGAAACTTCCCCTCCTCACTAGTTACAAAGAACAGCCCTTTGTAGCTGGAGGACCGTGTTCTGAGTTCTCTTAGGCAATAGAGCAGCCTGTGCCCCACCCACTGCTGTCGTCCAAGTTCCCTGTGAAGCCTAGTAGTGTCCTCTCTTTGGCAGGAAAATGCCCTCCCAGCTTTCTGGGAGGAGTCCAAAGTTTATAAATATGTCTGTAACTACATGGATCACAGTGAACTCTGGGTTGTACCACATCAGGGTTTAGATACTTTTTAAAAAAATTCTGACTTCAGGGGAAAATGTGTCAGTTGCTAACTTCTCATTTCCATTGGTCAAACCTTACACACTTTGGTCTTTCACTTCTTGGAAATGAAGACATTTCCACTTATCAAGAAAAGCCATCAGTTGGTTTCTTTTTTAAAACTGGGGCAGGGAAAGACAGGTAGAATGGCTGGACAGAAGTTTTTGGTGTCCTCACTCACACAATGAATGCTCTCTGAGGATGGTGAACAGTATGGACGAGGCCCTCTTTCCCTCACTGAGTGAAGAGTATGGCCAGAGGGACTAATGCAACAGGAATCATGTTAAAGTGTGATGAGCCTTAAATGGTGGGGGAGATCACATTGCCACCTGGACACACAGCGGGGAAGCCTGACCTAATCTATGGGGCTAGGGAGGCCTCCTGGAAGAAGTGACTTTGAAGCAAAAACCAACAGAGTGAAAGGCAACATAGGTGAGGGTGGTGAGACACGAGGCTCTCACTCCTGGCGGTTGGTGCGTAGGGTAGGGCCCTTGGAGCTATTCTCAGGAGTCCTGGTGTTTCAGGGCACTGAGGTTCCTTTCCCTGCCCAGAATGCCCCGAGCCTGACAGAGACAGCACATGGTCAGCTACTCCCTCCTCTGGTCCCCACATGGTTTTGCCATGTCAGCTAAGATTGGAATGATTGTGACAGTTTGGTTCGGCCTGTGAAGAAAGGCGTCTCCGAAGCAAGGAAACTCCTTGGTTATAGAGAGTGACACTTCCAGTCTTCAGAATACAGTCTGAGTGGGGTAGACAGACAAACAGACCGCTGATCACTAAACAGCTATTTACATGGTGAGGGGAGGGTCAGTGGGGTCATCTATAAATCTCTTCTTCCTCCCTCTTACTTCTCCCCACCCTAGAGCAAGGATGATTGTGTTTTTGCACTACTTCGTGTTATCAGTAATAAAACAATCAAATTTCCATTGGATTTGGTCTGCCCAAGTTCAAAGATGGACCCCACCATAAACCAGCCATGGAACCTTGGCAAATTGTTCAGCCCCTTTGCTATGTTTCCTCATTTGTGAAATGGGAATAATCAATAGTACATCTGCCTTTTGGGTTGTGTGAGGACTCAGTGAGATAATCCGTCTTGGACACTTTGCCCTCAAGAGAAGATGGTATTAACAATCATTTCTCTTTTTATTATTAATAGTGCTTGTGTTCTCTTCACAGACAGAGATTATAATGGATGCTGTCCATAAACAAAAGAGCTTACAATTCAAGAAAACCATGGATGTGAGTTTCACTTTATTGCCCTTTTCTGAAATCCTGTGTTGCATGTGAACATATTCCTACTCAAATGACATTTCAATAATGTTATTTATTAGTGCAATGGGTTTTTTAGTGATTTGGCTTTCCTTCTTTTTAAGGCCTTGGAGATATTGAGGATGAAACTAGATAGTGGGAACACAATTATCTTTCTGGTAACCTGGGAAAGTATAGCAAGTTAATTTAAATATTTCAGACCTAGACACAAAAGTATATATACCGTATGATACCGTTTATCTTGTTGAATTTGAGCTTTCTCCTTGTGGCTGTTCTGAATCTTGATTTCTTAACTCATTTTATTGAGTAACTCCGTTCTGTTTTAAGATATCTGCTAATTGTAAGAGCCTTTTTTACTTTATGTAATTTGTTTTAAAAAATCTTAGCAAGACAGAGCTAAGAGAGTTTGCTAGGGACCTCACTCTAGCTTTTCATGAATCTGTTAACTTTGGATACAATGAATTCTGTTATTATGACATCTGTGACCCCATCTTTGCACAGAAGTATCATGACTTTCTATGACTATGATGTGATATTTGGTAACCTGGTCAGAAAAGAAAACGTCACCAATGTTAATGGCAATATGCAGTCTGTCCTGTGCCATTTTTTCCTTTGATGCAAATCACTTCAAAAGCAGTTGATAAATAGGAAATGATGTCAGTTTAACGAACGCAGAAATAGTGTTGACTGATATGGGATTGTTCCCAGACCTTTTATGTTTTGAACAACCTGGGGCAAGTTTTCTTTCAATTAAAGAGAAAGTCTTATTGAGATTTATTTATATATATTTTAACTATTTCCTTGCCCTACATTTAGAGCTATATAAGTGTTATAATTTTGCTTCAGCTGTCAAAAATAATTTGGAAAACTCAAGAAGAGAAAAAAAGACTATTGTACTTACTCATTTTTTTGCTTAGTATATTCTTTTTTTCCTTTCTGATGTTCTGTTTTCTTCTTTTATAATTTTCTTTTGTTTAGCTAACTTTCTTTAGCTATCCTTCAAGATAGGTCTTCTAGAGACAAATAAAGTTAGTTTTTCTTCATATGAAAATGTCTTTATTTCGCTTTCATTCTTAAAGGATATTTTCACTGGCTATAGGATTGTGTGTTGCCAGTTCCTTCCTTTCAGTACTTGAAATACATTGTGCCACTTCCTCATGACCTCCTGAAAAACTGAATAAAACTGACACCATAAAATTTTTTTAAAATGCAATGTCATTCAGACTGATTTTTCCTTTTGTTTTTAGTTTTCACAAGTTCACCTATGTGTTTTGTTATGGATCTGTTTGGGTTTATCTTGTCTGGGGTTTGAATCAGCTTCTTGAGTTTGGAAAGAAATTTTGCAAATTATTTCTTTGAGAACTTTTTCAGCTACCCTCCTTCTCTCCTAGGACTCTAAGGATGTGAGTGTTAGATCCTTTTTTAAACAGTGCCAGAGGTTCCTGTGTCTCGGTTCATTTTTATCTACCTATTTTCTCTTCCTTGTTCAGATTAGGTAATTTATATTGTTCTATTTTCTAATTCACCAATTCTTTCTTCTGTCTCTTCCATTCTCTTCTTAAGACCATCCATTGAGTTTTAAAATTTCATTTATTAGTCCTGGCTGGTGTGGCTCAACAGATTGAACGCCAACCTGAGAACTGAAAGGCTGCTGTGTTTGGCTCCCAGCTGGGGCACATGCCTAGGTTGCAGGAAGGGTCCCAGTTGGGGGCATGTGAGGGGCAAACAATTGATGTTTTTCTCCCTTTCTTTTCCCTTCCTTTCCACTATCTCTAAAAATAAATAAATAAACTCTAAAGAAATTTCGGTTATTGTATTTTTCAGTTACAAAATTTCCATTTAGTTCTATGTAGCTTCTTCTTTGCTCTCTATTTCTTTGCAAGACAGTATTTTTTTTTTTGCAAGTGTGTTTGTAATTGCTCCCTGAATTTTTTTTTTATGATGGCTGCTTTAAAATCTGTCAGATAATTCTAACATCTCTGTTGTCTTGATTTCGGCATCTATTAATGGTCTTTATCATCCACATTGAGATCTTCCTGGCTCTTGGAATGATGAATGATATTCAGTTGACTTTGGAAATGCAGGTATTGTTAGAGGACTGTAGGTCTTATTTAAACCTTCTGTTTTAGCTGGCTTCCTCTGACACCGCTCCATCAGGGGGAGGTGAAGCACCGCCTCATTGTTGCTACGTGGGAGTAAAACTCCAGGTTACCCCCTTACTCTTTGCTGACACCACAGGATAGTTGTGGTCTTGTTACTACTGGGAGGTGGTTAATGTCTCCACTCGACCTCCTCTGATACTACCCTAGCAGGGAGAGATGTACCTCATTATTGCCAGGTGGGGGTAGAAGTCCCCCTTCCCTACCTAGTTTCCACTGGCATTGTGTGTGGGGTTTTGATAACTTCTAGTGGGAATGAAAGTCCCAGTTCCCTATTTGGCCCCCTCTCACATCACTTGTCATGGGAGTTGGGCACTTCCTTATAGATTGATGAAGGTGGAGGTCTAGACTCCCCATTTGGCCTTTGTTGGTTGTGTGGGGGTAGGGCCACAGCTTTTTATGTGGTGTTTGGCTGCAGTAGAATGAGTTCTTCCTAAAGGTTTCTGTTCTGCTAGGCTGCTTCTTTTCTGGTCTTTTTGCTAGAGAGAGCAAGGTTTTGTTGGGACTTTATTTTTGGGTCAATGTCCATTGGCATTGCTTGGTTCCTTCCTTCTTTGGCATTCAGTCTGTGATATATAAGGCAAAAGGAAAACCCAGGGTACTCACCTCTAGGTTGCTCTTCTGAGACCAAGGTCTGCCTTTCCTAGAACCTTACATAAACCTTTAAAAAAAGTATTTTGTGATATTTTCATAAATATGATCATACCTCATTAATCTTATGCTAAGAATGTAAGACTATATCTTTAAGAAATCAACGAAGGCATGAACTTATTCACTACTTATAATGAAAACTCTAGATGATTTAGTGACCAAAAAATGGAAAGATTAAAAAAATTTTGTAACTTTAAAAAATTTGATTATGAGCCCTATGTAGCAACAGAGAAAAAATGCTTAATATTTCATATTAAAAAATAATTCAGATAGCCCCAGCTGGTGTAGCTCAGTGGATTGAGTGCCAACCTGCAAACCAAAGGGTTTCTGGTTTGATTCCCAGTCAGGGCACAAGCCGGGGCCAGGTCCCCAACAGGGGGTGTGCGAGAGGCAACCACACACTGATGTTTCTCTCCTTCTCTTTCTCCTTCCTTTCCCCTCTCTCTAAAAATAAATAAATAAAATCTTTTTTAAAAATGCAGATAAAGAAAGATTGATCACTGACAACATTAACATCTAAGACTTCTCTAGAACAAAGGAAAAAATATGTCATCTTACACATGGTTTGAAGACCATGTGTAATAGGAAAATACTGGTAACTTATATAACCAGTTAGTATTCCTAATCTAGATTGAGCTCTTAAAAACCAACTAAAATAAAGAATGCTCCAATAGAAAAGTAGGTAAAAGACATGCTGTAAAAAAGACATACAACCTTAGTAGTAATGAAATAAATACAAATAAAACAAAAATATGCTAACATTTTCACCACTAGCATTAGAAAAGATTAAAAAATATTGTCTAAACTTGGTATTGGTGAGAATGTGAGGCAAGTGGTACTCTTGTATACTTTTGGTAGGAGTATAAATTTGTGCAGCTATTTTGGAGGGAGGTCTGATATGTATACACTGTTTTACCAAACAATTATACTTCTAGGAATTTGATCTGTATGGATAAATTCACACTACTCAAAATAAGATCAGGATGTTTTTATGTCATCAAAAATGGAAAATAAGATAAGTGTCGACCATAAAGTTGATAAGAAAATTATGGTGTGTGTGTGTGTGTGTGTGTGTGTGTGTGTTTACAACTATTAAAAATGTTTAGCGGTAGAGCCCATGCTTGATACAGAGGCATGTCTATAACATACTGTTGTAAAAGAAAAGAATTATTACATGAATATCTTATGTACTTGTAATAATGAAAAATTACAGACTTTTATTTCTATGTATGTGCGGATAGAGAGAGAATTGTAAGGTTGTTTGCTGAAAAGTTAACCCCAACTGAATTGCAAAGGATGCTGAGAAACTTGGAGAAGCATATGAAATATTGAATGAGCACAAACCATCTCTGCAAGAGAGTCTTCATTCTTAGCCAAGCCTTTTTTTTTGGTCACCATTTTCACTTCTTAGCTAACTGATTCACACCTTTGCTTTGTTTAAACAAGTTAAAACTTAGCTTCCATAGTTGGAACAGAAAATTATTTGGTTCACTACCAATGGTTTGTGAACTGTTTCCGTACTACTGGCCTGCCTTTAATTTTTTTTTTAGATTTTATTTATTTATTTTTAGAGAGAGGGGAAGGGAGGGAGAAAGAGAAGGAGAGAAACATCAACATGAGAGAGAAACATCGATCGGTTGCCTCTCATATGCGCCCCGTCCGGGACTGAACCCCACAACCCAGGCATGTGCCCTGATTGGGAATTGAACCGGCAACATTTTGCTTTGCAGGCTGATGTCCAACCAACTGAGTTACATCAATCAGGGCTACTAGCGTACTTTTAAATGAGCTAAAACAGAATTCTTTAAATCAAAAAGGAGCATGGCCGTTCTTAAGCAACAGATATGGTGGGATTGATGCCGCTGTCCACATGCAATGCTGAGGCACATTCGAATATTGAAGCATAATGATAATGACCATGACCAGGCGATTGCACCTAAGTTCTGAGGGTTTATGAATGTTGGGTTACATATTTCATAGTTACGTAGGTCTTTTGATTTTTTTTTCACCTGAAATGCCATCTTTTGTTCTGGTCAGTTTTTGAAGTTCATGTAATACTTTGCCAAATAGGAGTTACTATTTCTCTGATCAGGCTGCCACTGCATACATAATTTGGAAAAGGGCTAGAGAGAGCTTCCGAAGATAGATAAGAACGAGTACCTGTCTTCTGAGTGACCACGTTTCAGGGGTGACCACGGCCCTGTTCAGGACGCCCTGTATTTTGCTGGACTTGACAGGCTAGGGTGGCTGTTTCGCAGGGCTGCGCTCTGCTCACCTAATTTGGTCCTCTTTTGGCTCATAACCACCAAGGCAAAGAAGAACTACGAGCAGAAATGCCGAGACAAAGATGACGCAGAGCAGGCTGTCCACCGGAGCGCCAACGTGGTAACCCCGAAGCAACAAGAAAAGGTACCTGGGAGGGCTGATCACCTGAAAAACCCGAGATTCGCTATATATTAAGCTAAAACCAACTAATACTCTTAATTTAAAATGGACCTGCACCCTAAGCTTCTGGCAGTATCTTCCTTTAGGCTATTGAGATCCTCTGAACCAGAAAAACCCTTGCCGCATTTTGGGGGTAGTAGAAGAGCTAAAGAAGGGAGGCCATGGGGGAGGCAGCGGGGCGATAAGCCAGGGAGGGGTCTGGGTTGGTTTTTTTTTTCATCTTTCTTCAAACTCAACTCATGTATTCTTTGGAGCTAGGCTGCCTCCTGCTTGGGTATATTATAAATTTAATTTTATAAATCTAGATATAAGACTGCCATCAACCAGAAGGCAGAGGTACACCTTTAGGATGGCGTAGGGCAAGATGCTTGGTGGATAGTTTTCAATAGCGATAAGATTAGAAGGCTAGTTGAATGATGTACTCAGGAGAGAAACATAATAAGATTTGTACTGGCACTTGTCTCTTCACAGTCGTTGTTTTTAGGTCTGTTTTGCCTGCAGAATCCTGGCCCAGCATTACTGATCTCTTGTTCTTTTGTGTCCTCACAGCTTTTTGTGAAACTGGCATCTGCAAAGACAGCAGTAGAGGACTCCGGTGAGGAGGCTTCCAGGGATGGGGGAGGATTGCAGTGGGATTTACATTATCCTAAATCTGTCCAAGAAAGGTAGATTGATATACCTTACAATGCAGGACATGCGGCTATACCGTAGGCTTTCAGGAGGGAGAAACAGGAAGGAAGCGAGGAAGGGAGGGAGGGAAGGGAAACTGCAAGGAAGCAAATGAGGCAGCAGTTTCTGGCCACTGACGGCTTAGTCGGCTGCCTTACATGTACTGGAATGGTGATGGTAGGGCCATGTGGCAGCTGCTTTGTAATCGAGGGCTCACTCTGATTTTTTTTGGAACATCTATTTTAAAAGCCCATTTCAGCCCTGATTAACTCTTATCTGCTATGAAACAAACAGCCAAGTTGCGAAGCCTTGTCATCATTGAAATCCAAGATCCAAAGCAGGTGTTTGTTTGCAAGGGTTTTTAATTCCCAGAGTATCCTGCAAGAAAGAAACCTCTCATGACCACAGTCACTTAAGATGTCTCGAAACCCAACACTAAAGTAACCTAGTGCCCTTAATGGCTCAAGGTATTTCTCTGCATCTCTCATTGGATAATTTTCCTGAAAAGGGGTGGAAGCTGTTGAGGAGGAATTAGACAAAGAAAACCCTGGCCAGAATTCCTCGCCTGCTTTCACTTCTCCTGCCGTGGATCATTTCTTGCTAATTTCTTGGTTCAGTGCTTATTTCACAAAGATATTATGAGAGTGAGAGATGTAATTAGGCCTTCCAACGTGCAGAGCTCCACAGAGGCTTGTGAACTCACTGCGAGTTTCATTTGCCATCTGGGACAAGTCTGAGGGGTGGGTCTGCGACCTGCCCTCCGGCCCCATTTCTGAATCCGATCCCCTCCCCGCCTTTGCAGACAAGACATATATGATGCAGATCAATACGCTGGATAAGATCCGAGAAGAGTGGCAGAGCGAGCACATCAAGGCCTGTGAGGTAACTGGAACCGGAAGCCGCTCAGGAGGGGGTGGTCTTCCTCCTAGAACTTGTAGAGTTTACTTTTATAGGAATGTGTCACCCTCTTATTATTCTTCCCAATTCCAATAGAGTTCCTTGAGGACAGATTAGAAATCAGAAATTTAAGAGGAGGATGGAAGGAACTGGAATGTTTTTCCCTGAACCTCATTTTCTGTCTCCTGCCTGTCCTGACCATGCTGTCCAACTCTGTTTGAGGTGTTCCTCTAATGTTGGGTTAGCACAGGCATGAAACAGATGAATTCATTAATGGTTAATTAAGTAATTACCTTTAGGGAGCTCACGTGCACTTGGTGTGTGATAAGAAAAATGCAGACAGCAGGTAAGCAGGCTTCAGAATATTTTAACCCCCTTACACCTTTGACTTCACCATGGGTCCCCTTCATTGTCAGCACATTAGGTCATTCACAATTTCCTGGAAACTTCCCAAGTTTTCTGTCACCCTCTCTACACATCTTATCAGTGGTTCTCAAAATGAGGTCCCAAGACATGTAGCATTACCATCATCTCAGAACTTGTTAGAGATTCATTCCAGACCAACACCAGACCTACAGAATCAGAAACTCTGGGAGTGGACCCGGTAACCTCTGTGGGATTCTGATGTGAATTCCAACATGAGAACTCCTGGCCTAGTCATCCCCCTTCCCTTTGTTTCTCCTGATACAGTACAGAAGAGGCCGCTTCTGTCCTATCAAGGTCTCCCTCCCACCACCTGGCCTCAGGATCCCTTGCAGCTGCCTTTCCCCCCCTGCCTTGTGCACAGCAGCTCCCTTTAATGGGGAGTTCTTCCATTATCATGTACACAAACTCAGCTCATTCCTGGCATTAAAACCTAGGAGCTATTGCTTCCCATCTGCCACCTGCTGCTCTCTTTACAGCCAGGCTTCTCGAAGGAGCTGTCTGCACATCCTCCTTGCCCCTGCCTGTCCCAGCTGTGTCTGGGGTTTGCTCCCCTGCCCCCTCTCTCAGAGGAACCAGTGATCCCCTTGGTGTGAGGTCCAGTGGACCTTTGCAGTTTCTCGTCTTATTTGACCTGTCTTTACCACCTGATACTGTAGGTCACTATCTCCCTCCTAAAACCTTCTTTTTGCTTTACTTCCTTAACTCCACACTCTCATGGAAATGCATGGAGTAAAGCCATTTTTTTTTTAAGGTTTAAGAACATGCAAAAGAACATGATTTATGTCTTATGGATACCAGCATGTTATAAAAATCTGCATGGGAATGATAAAATTTAGGATAATGGTTATCTCTGGGGAATGTGACAGAGATTGGGAAAAGCACACAGGGACTTTAACAAAATCGGAAGCAGATTTTGGGCAAAGTTTTTGACAAAGCTAGGTAGTGGGTACATGGGAATTCATTATACCAGTCTCTCTACTCTTTTATATGTTTGAAATTTTATATTATAAAAAGTTTTAAAATGTAATACTTTTGTAGTCAGTATTTTTAAAAATATGTTAATACATAACATTCACTGTTGAATAGAATAACATCTACTTTATAGAATAGCTTGATTTTCCAAAAGTTGATATTCATATGTATTCAAAAAACTATTGTTTAGGCTATAACTTAAAAAAAAAAACCTCTTTATTAAGAAAAATTTCAAACATACACAAAGATGAGAAGACAAGCGCAAGGACCCCCCTGTACTCATCAACTAGCATCCACCACCATGAGCATCTTCCCACTTGAATTCATTCATTGCTGTGTGTGGGGGGTGGGGGGAAGGTTGGAATCTGAGGGCCTGGCCGGCTACCAGGGTGGAGATGCCTCTAAGGCAGTTGGAAATGTGAGCTGGCGCTCAGGTTAGGGCCTGGGTGTCTGGGTTCATCGTGACCTCTCACCTTCAGAATCATTTCCCACTCTGTCTATGTGAATGCCGTATTAGGATCCACTTGCATTCTTTGCCTGCTCTAAGAATTTATGAGCTTCCTTGATGGTGAGAAGAGTGCCCTAAATGGACAATACGCTCGCATAATTGAAGGCGGACACTGTTTCATAGCCAGTGTCGACAAATGGCCTCTTTCTCTGCGTATGTATTTACATATGGTTATGTTTCTGTAGATGTTTGAAGCTCAAGAATATGAACGAATAAAATTCTTCCGGAACTCATTGTGGTCACACATGAATCAGCTGTCGAAACAATGCGTCACCAATGATGATGTAAGTCAGAGGCATCCATGGGAAGATTCACAGGAGTGGAAGGAACTGTAGACATTTATTAGTTCACCCATCTCATTTGAGGCCCAGAAGGATACAGTCACTTGCCCAGTGCCACACAGTTAGTTGATAGAAGGACCTAGATAAACTCCTAGCCTGCCTGACTCCTGATCTATTTTACCACCATGACTTTCTCTTTAAGAAATTCAGAGTAGGAGGGCAGGGCAGGGAGACCCAAATACAGTTTAATTTATGGCATACAGAGTTGTTATAGCATGAATGTGAGTCTCGGAGAGTTGGTCACTCCAGGACAGCACCAGGTACTAGCAGACTGACCCATGCCCAGGCTCATAGTCACTCCAGGGTCCAAGATTTACTTCAATGGCATTCCTAGGACAATTATCCAGGTTTAATATGTGCACAGCAATCCTTGTGGGGTCCCTGGGTCTCAGAGAGACCGGAATCAAGTTAGTGCAACCTTCTTTGCTGAGAAATCGTCACCCTCACTTAGATGAGACATTCACTTTAGAAGAACAATTAAGCACAGAGAAAACCTGTAGGATCAAATGGAAGAACTTGTCTCCAAGTGATTGTCTTTGTGTTTGTGTGTAGCATTGATCTTGGGATTTGGTTTCTATTTACTTTGCCCCATCAGTGCTTTTTCTTAAATCTTTAAAAAATACAATTTGGAAATGAGTCAGCCATATAACAAACCTCCAGTTTTAATAAGCCATGTCACCAGTGTCATGGCTACTTCTCTACCTTGACGTATGTTCTTGTCGTTAGATGTATGAAGAAGTCCGTAAGAGTTTAGAAATGTGCAGCATTGAGAAGGACATTGAATGCTTTGTGAATCAACGAAAAACTGGACAGGTTCCACCAGGTGAGTGGAGCGGTGGGGGTGGTGGAGGTTTATTGAGGCAATTCTATCAGTCTTTTTTGTCATATGTTGTTGATAGTGGAAGATACATGCTAGTTCATGTTTTATTTCTCGATGATTCCTCTAGCACCCATCATGTATGAGAATTTCTACTGCCCACAGAAGAATGCAGCCCCACAGGGAAAGGCTGTAGGACCGAACGTGGCAAGGTAATGACCAGCTTTCTTTCACATGAAGAAAAATACTTTTAATAAACATTATTTATCATTAGTGTTCTAAGACACTACAATGGAAACATAGCTACCACTGTATTTGCTTAGGAAGGTTGCTAGATTTTTGGAAATAGCAAGTTTAGGACAAATATGAAATGGATTTTACTAGTCATAGTTCAAGGAGGACATTATCATACCTGAATATGAAGTTTATTATTCGTGCACAAGTCCTATACCTGTCTTAGAGCCTGTAGAGAGCAGGAGTCAGCAAACTTTGATCTACCTGTGTTGGTAGGACTTGTGAATATTTTAATGGTTGAAAAAAAATGGAAAGAATACTATCTTATGATGTGAAAATTATATGAAATTCAAATTTTGGTGTTTGTATATAAAGTTTTACTACAGCATGACTGCACTCATTTTTTGACATTCTGTCTATAGCTGCTTTCGTACTGAAGTTGACTAGAGTTATGACAGAAGTGATACATGGCCAACAAGCCTAAATCACTTATCCCATTTGGCTCTTCACAGAAGAGTTTGCCACTCCTGACGTAAAAGACCCGGACAGGAGAAGAACTTTTGTTTTATGTACCTTGAAGTTGAAGTTGTTGAATTTTTAGTCCACTTTTTAAAAAGATAATGGGGTGTTTGGTGGGATGGCATGACCATCACCAACCAGTGTTTAAGAATCCCAGGCACTGTTCAAAACAGTTCGTATGAATTAGCTGTTTTAAGCCTCACAGTGAGGTAGGAGCTGTTGTTCTTCCCATTTTGCATGTGAAGATGCTGATGTATAAGGAGAGCAGGAAGTCTTGCCCGCACAGCTGGAACGTTCCTGCTGCCAGCCTGGGATGCAGCCGCAGGGCCCGGTGCTCCCGACCACTGTCCTCCGTGTGACAGAACGTCTGCAGCGCTTGGGCTTCGCTTGAGCTTTTCTTGACCCTCCAAGGCAGAAACCAGATCTGATGGGAGTGCAATGCACTTGTTGTGTAATGTGGTAGATTAGAAAAACAAGAACTTCTCTGAAAGCTTTTGGTTTTCATTTCTTACAGGAGAGGACCTCTCCCAGTTCCTAAAAGTTTACCAGGTATGCTGCCAAGGAACACCTTTGGGAATGCTTATATTAGGCTTTCTTTAAAGTGGGGTAGCTAGAATTTTGAAATAAAGGGAGAGAAGGGAATAAATAGAATCAAATTCCTGAAAGAATAAGTATATATTGGAGTCTTACTATTGTATGTCACAGAGTGGAAATTGGTCATTTGTATCTATTTTGTAGCTATCCAGGAGAATTTACCTCCTGGAGTACCAAAGAAACATCTTATAAGGCAGTCTTACCTAAGAGATTATTTCATCTTGGACCATGAGAAGAACTGAGATATAGTTTCCTTTGGATTACACAGAAATATAACATATAGAAGGCATAACTGTCGAGAACTATGTAACTTAATACTGTATATTTTGTGCCTTGCCCATAATTGGATCTTTGACTAATCACTAGTCTCTTTTTTCTGTGGACTGTTACCATACCTCTGGGAGAGCCACACCTTTTAGCATTTTTTTGTTAGTTCTTTGAGTAATAATAAACCCCTTGAAGGCAGGCACTTTGTTTTTTCCTGTATGACTCACCATACCTAACACAGTGCTGGGCACATAATAGCACTCAGCAAATATCTAGTATTTGAATAAAAGGAAGATCTACCTAACTGTGTTCAAGGGAATGAGGGAAGAGACAGCTATTGCTGCATTTAGCAGGTGAGCAAAAATTTAGTGGCTAAATTACATTTTTGAACAATATAGGGATTTACATTATTTTACTTCTTATTGCCTTAGGATTTACTTCATAATGCGGGACTTTTTTTTGTCCATATTTGAAGATGACTTTACCGTTGGTCCTGCTATCTGGACAGGAGTGAAAAAGGACAAAGAAATCATAATAGGGATTTCCAGAATATTCTCTGGTTTGCAGTCATGACTACCATTTGTAGGCTTTGTTGCCAGATACATTTTCTTCTTACAAAAGGCAGTCTCTAGAACCTTTGAGTGGAGTGTCTTGATTTGAAAGGGCTAAGATCTTAATGAAAAAATGTTGGCTTCATGTTGCTCTGTGTTTCCTATGCAGAAGACCCGGATTATTCTTTCATTGATGGCTACAGTTTGATCTACCAGTAACAACAATGGTAAGAGCCTTTAATTTTCATGTCATCAAGTTGCAGTTAGCCTGGGGATAGTGTTTTTGAAGTCTTTGATGCTTCTTTATAATGCCACTGAAGCAAGCAAAGCCTTGCACCAGGCTGGCAGGTTGGTGGGTGTGGTGTTTCTGCAGGACAACTTCTCTGGATCCCCCCACGGAAAGGGGACCGGAGACCACCCCAGACCTATTTGAATGAGGGTATTTTTCCTTCACGAACTAGGCAACAACTCTTTATTTTACTCTCATTAGGCTCTTTTGTGGCCGTTACCCACCGACATTAAAGGCAGTGCTCATCATCACTTGTGGACTACCTGCATGCATGAAAACATCTTTTGATTGACAACAAATTTAGCTAATTCTAGAAAAAAAAATAAAGGCAATGCTCAAAAACAAAACACACCTGACCTCTACTTCTTCATCCCCCAAAGAGGAAAAGTCAAGTAAGAAAAAGTCAGTAGAAATAAGGCAAATGATATTACACTCCCCAAGCACACAAGGGCACCACCGGGCTCATCCTGCACCACGTTACTACTGCTCCGGGCTAGCAAGCCACAGGGATTCCTGGAGGGGAACTACTGAGCAACCATGGCTGCAAACATGACTCTTATTCTTTGGCATTTGGGTATTTGCAACATGCCCCAAGTCACTATCGGTCTTCACAAGTGTTTAGGAATGCCGCCAAAGCCAAAATAGAAATACTAAAAGATACTCTTCCTAAAGTATAATGCTTTTAACCGATCAAGCATATCTTGGGGTATGACAATATATGCATATATAAGGTCTGAAAGGATATATGCCCAAGCAGATAATCATTTTCCTTTTGTTTGTCCGTGTGTTCTAATTTGTCTGCAATGAAAATTTATTACTTCTTCAATTAAAAACTGTTTTTAAAGAACTGATCCTCTTGCGTACTTCTGGTCTCAGTGTGTTCCTGGGAGTGATAGGAGAGGCGGGTAGGATGCAGGAAGTCATAATGGAAGCAGCACAGCCTCTCTCCCACCCTTCCTGATTTTGTGTCAGTGACATTTGCTGTCACTTATGAGGCAAAACAGGTTCTTAGCAGTGCTCCCTGATGCTTTTCACTTCAGTGTTCTATACCCCTGGCAAGTGCTTGGAAGTAAGTGCATCAAATATTGCTTGTCTTTGGCCCTCTAAAAACACCTATTTTGTGACTTCTAGCCATTTGGCTAGAGAGGATGAAAGCCATGTTGTCTTGATTAGATAGAAATAATTAGCCAGTATTATTTATATTTAAATGTAAGTCTCTAAATTGCTTAAGAAGTGTGTTTAATATTTAAGGAACTTTGCTGGAAAAGACATTGGAAATTGAAGACATAATAAAATACCCCATCCTCTAACTACATATAAGTTTCTGATCTACAAAGTGTAGTTTTTTTAAAGATTTTATTTATTTATTTTTAGAGAGGAGAAAGGAGGAAGAAAGAGGAGAGAGACATCAATGTGTGTTTGCCTCTTGAGCACCCCCTACTGGGAACTTGGCCTGCAAGCCAGACATGTGCCCTGACTAGAAACAGAACTGGCGACCCTTTGGTTCACAGGCTGGCACTCAATCCACTGAGCCACACCAGCCAGAGCCAAAGTGTAGTCTCTACAACCAGTCATCATTTCTTCATTTTGTCAGCCTCCATCTTTCTCATTAAAAGGGGCAAGGCCCATGGTAGAGGTAGAGCAGCAACAGGGAAAAATCAATGACTTGGAATTCAAAGGTGAAACTGACTTCAGACACCACTTTACATAAAGCATATATTCTACTTGTTTAATAATAGCATTTGACTCCAAACCTCTTGTTCCTCTGAGCCCAAGAATCTGCTGGAACGAGCACGTATACTCAAGTTACAGCGTTTCACAGGGATTCATTAGTGTCTGCGCCAGCTCAGTGAGGAGGAGTTCAAGATATAGATGTATAATTGACTCAGCGTAAGAGGATTTTAAAGAAGGGAGTCTACCTTAGTAGCTTCATAAGCAACATATCACAACATTTAAAATACTTTGAACTTTGGAATTGAAATTTAAATAGGAAGTTTTAGGAATTTGCAGTTTGTTCTGCAGTTGTTGATTCTAGCTGCTATTCCTGCTTTTAAGTCTAACATGGTTAGGTTAAGAGAGATTATAACTTTTTTTTGCAGTCTCTTAAAAAATTTTTTTAAAAGTTTTTATTTTTTAATTATAGTTGTACAATATTACATTAGTTCAGGTGTGCAACCTCATGATTAGACATTTATGTAACTTAGGAAGTGATCGCCTTGATAAATCTAGTCCCCATCTGACACCATACCTAGTGATTACAATATTGTTGAGTATATTCCTATGCTGCACTTTACATACCCACGACTATTCTGTAACTACCGATTTGTACTTCTAAAAACCTTCACTGTTTTTACCCATCTTCCAATTCTAAATTTTCTTTTCTTTTCTATTGAATTTATTGGGTGACATTGGTTAATAAAATTATATAAGTTTCGGGTATACAATTCTATAGTACATCATCTGTATATTTTATTGTATATTCACTGCCCAAAGTCAAGTCTCCTCTAAATTTTATTTTTCAATGGCAGTTTACATTCTGTATTATTTTGTATTCGTTTCAGGTGTACAGCATAGTGGTTAGACAGTCCTACACTTTACAAATTGTTCTCCCCGATATTTCAAGTACTCACCTGGCACTGTACTTAGTTATTATACTATTATTGACTGTATCCTCTATGCTGTACTTTACATCCTCAGGACAGATGGTAACCTTTGCATTTAAAAATATGTGTATCAAAAAATATAAATATATGTGTTATTTACCATAAACCAATGGATGCTATTATCACATTCCATTTTTGTTCATCACTTGGAATACCTGATTCTCACCATGCGCTTTCCTTGGCCAAACACACTTATTCCTGTTGAATAAAAACAATCTCAGTGTAGGAGCAGGGTGCTGATGTGAATGGGTTAATTCAATGAAATTTCTCTGCTATTTTCTTTCAGAGCACAGAGCCTTTTCTGGCTGATGCTTCTATGGCATGGAAGGAGGCACCCAGAGCAGCTGAATCTGTAGAAATTGTGTCAATCATGAAGACTTTGAAGTGAACCCTTGCTGTAATTTTTTGATATTTTAAGTTTATGGTAAACATTTAGTTTAATTTAAGCTAGTAGAGTTCTGCAGTTTCTAAAAGAAGTTTACAAATTGGCCCAGACTCAAGAATGATCCTTTCCCAATCAGTTACTAAAGTTGTGAATGCATTGTGTTTTCTACTTGGTCCAGGACGGTCTCTGGATTTTGAGCCTTGACTGTTGGGGGATGGGGAACAGGGATGGCTGGAGCGGAGTCTGAGCCCCCCACCTGCACAAGAAGCCCCTCTGGCTTTGGGGCAGCGTGCTATGGCGTTTCCACAGCGACACACACTCTCAATGGTGCATGATTTAAAATGGCCTTCCTTTTTGGCTAGAAGACTTAGGGGCCATCTGATCATGCTTTCTCATGTTCCAGATGAGGAAATGAGACCCAGAAGTATGAAATCAGTTTCCTTACTGTTGTCCCAGCTGGTTCTGGACAGAACCAGAACTGGAGTACGAGCTCTTCGCACATCACCATTTTTCTAACTCTTCCTGCGGCTGTGGTGCTCAGGATGAAATTTAAGACGCCAACTGTTTTTGCTGGCATCTTTTAAACTGGGAAAATTACCAGGGTTTAAATGTCATATTTATTTTTATATGGTTCACTCTGTGTACCGAACTCCACAGCACCATATTTAATTTAATAAAGAAGCATCGGTTGTAAACTATACTATTATTTTACATACCACTAAGAAAGTCAGGTGGGGGAGAGTTAACAGTTAAATTGTGACAGTTAATGGCCAAGCATATTTGAATTTCAGATGCTAAAGTGTGCCAAAAAGAGGGGCGGGGGCTGGGGGTGGCGGGGAGAGAAAGATCCTCAATGAAATGTGGTATTTTTACTCTATTCCTGATGAGAAATTTGAGTTACAGAGCCAGATCTCAGTCCTGGGTCTTCACAGAGAACCTTGCCCTTCCTAGATCCTGGAATCTCTAAAGTATCAACCTTACCCTTTCACAAAAATTGGGGTCTTCCCATTGTCACCCACAAACAGCAAGGAGATTATGTACCTTTTGTACAACATTCGCACACTGAGAAAGCACTTCATTTTAGTTAATGACAAGTTAAAACAGCACTGGTACTTAGTATGTTGTAAAATTTTGTTACCACAAAGCAAATATTTTCCTTCCCTGCTCTATTCAATAGCTTCCCCAGAACTATGGACAAATTGATCGAAAGAAGACTGATTATTTTCCCTCTTTTAACATAAGCCTCTATTAAAAGTGATAGTTTCTTGTCATGACAGGAAACTTGCAACAATTGGATATCCTTTTGAGAAACTGAAGTTTGCAAAGGGCCATGGACTTCCCCAAATGAACAGTTTCAGGAAATTTTTCTTCAAATTCAGAACATTTTATTTCTAAGTGCTTTATTTATTGTTGGCAATTCCTCAGGGATTTCACCTTTCTATTAGTGTAATTGATGTAAACATGTTTTATGATTTGAAAATATTTGTATTGTAATTGCTCGTTCAGTTCAATATGAGGTAAAATAAAAGTTCTTGATGATTTGGGATTTATTTTGCATTTCGAGTTAGCCATATCACCCTCCCAAGCCCTGTTTGACCCTTTGTCACATTTGCTATTGTTTGACTACAGAAGGACAGACTGCCATGGAGGGCGCCCAGGCGCAGACTGGTGGCATGCTGCTTCCTGCTAACCCTTCAGGTGCCAGGTTCAAGGTCACTTCCTCAGGGCCTCCTGCTGCCGTAGCCTCCCCCTTCCCACATTTTTCTTGGTATTACATAATTCACTCTTGTTCAAGGTTGGGCTGCCCTCGCAGACTTTAATCTCCATGAGAGCAGGGCCCCTCTTTGTCCATTTTCCAGCTGTGTCCCGAGCACCTGACCCATAGTAGTAAATATGAATTAGGGACCTGGAAGAGAACATAGAGGAGCAGCCAGCTGAGAGAGCAATAAGGTGTGTAATGGGAACGAAGCCAGTCAAATAAGTATACATGTCAAATTTACTGTGCCCACTGTTGATATCTTAATTTGGGTTCCACCTGGAGCAGACCCCGCAATAAGGATTTTAGTGCAAGTACTGTTTCCTGGGGTTAGGGGTTCGGGGGCATTGATCCCTGAAAACACCAGTAGGGAAGTGAGACAAGGAGAGCAAAAAAAAAAACAAAAACCCATTCATTATAAAGGAAGTTACCACAGTGGGCAAGTGGAGCTTAAGCCTGTTGGGAACCGCTGAGAGGGTGCAGGGACAGGCGCCTGAGGGGAGGAGCTGGGAGAGGCGTTCACCAGTTCCCACCAGCTGCAGGTAGAGGGCTGCTCCTGCCAGGCATATCCGGGCATTTCTGGCCGGCCGTGAACGCTGGCAGGGCGCTTCCAGCGGCTTCACAGGGTCTTCAGGCAGTTGGAGGTCGGGCTGTGGTGTAAGGAAGTGCCAGGTACCGAGGGGATGTGGATGGGGCGCTGACAACGTTGGCCCCTGCATGGCTCAGAGTCACCTGTGCCCGCAGGGATTATACTCCATCCTGCCACTGCTCCTTCCAGTCCCCTGCCCAGAACACACACAGACACACGCACACCAGGAAGTTTAATAGCACAAGCTCTAGTCCTGTTGCCACAGATGGTTCTGAGTTCATAAGTGATATTCATTCTCTTCTTCCTCTACTGCCCTGTTATGGAGTGAATTGTGTCCCTTCCAATTCATACGTTAAAGACCAACCATTAATGCCTGAGAATGGGACTGTTTTTGGAAATAGGGCCTTTAGTGAGGTAATTAAATTGAAGTAAGGCTGTTAGGATGGGGCCCTAATCCAGTCTTACTGGTTGGTGTCCTTATAGGAAGAGGAAGAGAAACCAGGGGTGCTAGGGCAGAAAGGGAGGAGCGTGTCAAGAGGCATCAGGAGAGTGGCCATCGAGAGGCAGCTGCCTGCAAGTCAAAGAGAGAGACCTCAGAGGAAGCCAACCCTGGCAGCACCTTGATCTCGGACTTCTAGCCTCCAGAACTGCAGGAAAATCAATTTCAATCATTTAAGCCACCCAGAGTCTGTGGTATTTTGCTATGGCAGTCCTAGCAAGCTGGCACACACACATTGCAGGCTCCCTTCACACTTAGCATGTCTTCTGCTTGTTTAGGTCGCTTAACTGGTGGGGTAACCTAGACCCTCATCCCTAAGGGGCCTGAACCCCTGGTTTTCAGGCTCTTGCCGATTTATGTTCATCCCCAGGCATGGCAACACCAAGAGGCATCCCAGTGAAATTCCCAAGCCCCAGACATCCTCCTCCTTGCCCTCCTTCCTTTGGTAATCACCTACTCCTGCTGGGATAGTTACTGCTTCCTTTGCTTGCTAGTGTATTGGCATGAAGGCCCCAGAATGACCAAGCACCAGCCATAGTTTTAATGGCACCCTTTCTATGTCCCCTGGTAGATGTATACTCTGCTGACCACCTGAAGTCAGGTGCTCTAGTCCAACAGAGCCTAACATTGAAAGGATAGGAACACAAATTCCCCAACTTAGTTGGGTCAATGTGAACTATGGTGACAGAGACCACTCCTATCATTGTAAGGTGAAGCTCTTGGTATATGACATGCATTTTCAACAAGGGCAATATTGCTTTCAAGGGGTAAAGATTGGTTTTTGATGGGCAAAACAATTCTTACTCTTCTTATGTATAAAGCACAGATATACAGAGAGAGCGTAAATATCTGTACAGAAAGTATCTGATATACTGTCAGATACAGTATATCTGTGGTATTAAAATTTTGTGGGAGTGGCGATTAAATTTGCCACCAAGTGGCTGGTTGGTGTTCTTAAGAGATGGCAACATATTTAGGGTTCAGCCTCCAGGGCTAATTGTTCAGACATCCAGTGGTAGCTACTCTGTGGGAGCCCAGTGAGGAAGCCCTGGGGTGGGCAAGGACAGAGGCTGGCCGGACTTCACAGGATGAGTCATCCTAACCACCTGGTTGTCCTGTACTTCCTTTGATGCACGCTTTCTTGTGGACACTAACTGTAAGACACAAAGGTTTACACCTTTTATGCCTATTCTTTTGTCTTCAGCCTACTAATTTTGTCTCTTGATCAACCAGTCAGGTCACGTGCCACTGCCCAGGAGTCTTTGGCACATGGCATATACTTTCCTTGGGCTACTCCTCCCTTCGCATGAGGATGATGACCAGCCATGTTACCTGATGCACTGCCCACTGGGAGTACTTCTCTTCACCACTGCTTTTCATAGTCACTCCTGAATGGAGCTGTAGTGTGGCAGCAATCCGCATACAGACTAATGACAAATAACACAGAGAGCTGACCTATCTATCAACCAGGCCTGAGTTTGTTTGTTCTTCTCCATCAGTTGGGTTGAAGAAACCTCCCTATGAGGCCACAGGTATGAGCTGAAGGAGAGGCACAAGTGCAACAGAGGATGGTGATGGAGGTGCATGCATTGCCTGTTTGATGTATTTGGCCTTTTGGCTTTCGGGGTTTGCCCTACCTGATCCAGAGGGTCCCATTTCCATTGTATGGTGGATTGTTTATGTGCTGGCTTGACTCATCTGTCTGAAGAAAAGTAAAATATTTTAGTAGCAACATTATTTCAAACATTTCATGTTCATATTTCCTTTATAATTTTACAAAATGTACCTCTTTAAACGAAACCATAGAGGTTTCCTGGCTTTTCCTATTAGTCCCCAGTGACATGAACTTATAATTTTCTTCACAGCACCAACAGCAGTTGATAACAGTTAGTCATGACTTCATATCTCTCAGATGCTAGCAATGTGAATAAGCCCTTCCCCCTGAATCTTACCTTAATTCACCACAGATAAGGCCTCTAATAATTGTGATGCTTTAAGCTCAGAGTTTCTCACCGTTCTACTTCCATAAACAGCGACACCCTTGTTAGCATCTAACTGGGAAGGACTCTCATTCCAGTATGCCAGCCTGACCTCTGAGTACCATTTCTAGAAATAACTGTCTTAGTGTGGGGTACCCCAGAGAGAGAGGCTCAGAGACAAGAATTTGGGGTCAAGTTGTTTATTTGAAAGGTGAATCCAGTGGACACCAGTAATAAAATGAGAAGCGAAAAAGGAAAGAGAAAGAAGTGAATAAACTGTTATCCACTGTGGGAAATGAGGTGACTCGCCCTGGGAACTCTGGGAAATAGCACAGAACACATATGTCAATGTACTTCCACCCAGCCGGTGAGGGAGCTGGGTGTTTGTACTAGTTTACTAAAGCTGCTGCAACAATGTACCACAAATTGGGTGGCTTAAAAAGAAGAAGCTTATTGCCTCACAGTTGTGAGTTCCAAAATCAGAGTATCAGCAGGGTTCGTTCCTTCGGAGGGTTGTGAGGGAGGGATCTGTTCTAGGCCTTGTGTGTCTGTGACAAAATCCTCCCTTCCCTGAAGGACACCAGCTGTATTGGATGAGGGCCTACCCTTATAACCTCCTTTTGACTTGATTACCCCATGTAGAAACTCTGTTTCCAATTAAAGTCCCATTCTGAAATACTGGGGGTTAGGACTTCAACATATACAATTTGGGGGATACAGTTCAACCTGTAACTATTTATATGCCAGCTCCCAACTGCCCCTGGTTGAGAGTTGCTTTCATTCAGGGCAGTGCATTATTTCCCAGGCACTTCCAGCCCATCATATATCCGGCCAAATGAGCTCTGAGGCTCAGAGGTGCTGCCTGTTGGAATTCGGGTCTGCATACTCAAAAGTAAGTGCCCAGAGGATACGAGTGGGACACCAGCAGCGTCTGATGCTTCAGGGGTGCAAATAATTGGTTCTATGACCCATTTAAACTCTTTTTTCTTAGTAGGGAAGATTACGAAAGGGAAAAATAATAGGAAAAAGACAAGTTTTACATGTTTTTCTTCCTGTGGAAGCCAGAGTCTATGAACAGAAGAGATCCTCTCTATACAAGAGTCTTACAAAAATAATGTAGGCTGGGTGTTTTTGGTAATTACTTGCACTGTCATCTAATTGTCTCCAGAAACAGAAATAATTTAGAAGTGACACGATTTTAAAAAATAATTAAAAATCCATCTTGTAATCATGAATGATGACATAATGCCTTATACAGAATGATGTAGAACAGGGGTCCCCAACCTCTGGGCTAAGGATGGGTACCCGTCCAGGCCTGTTGGGAACTGGGCCGCACAGCAGGAGGTGAGCTTGAATGTAATGTGCTTGAATCATTCTGAAACCATCACCCCCACCCCGATCCATGGAAAAATTGCCTTCCCCGAAACTGGACCATGGTGCCAAAAAGGTTGGGGACTGCTGATGTAGAGGAAGTAATTAACTATAAAATGTGTGACTTCTTGGAAATCCTTTCACAGGAGGTTTTATCATCGCGGAATTGCCACCAGATGGCAACAGAGATTCTGGAATCCAATTCTGTGAGCGAGTGTAAGGTCCACTCAGGACCCCGTGAGTTCAGCGGCTTTCACGGGACCTTTTTTGACAAGCGCTGTTCCAGATGTTGGCTGACTGAAGAATCCAGGTTATGTTACATTTAGGGGTGCCATAATATAATATGTGAATTATACTCCTTTTATCAATGCCTGGTTTTGTTTTTAATTGATTAGAATTTTTTAGAGATTAAAACATTTTAAATTCTGAAAGTTGCAGTAAAAATTAATATAACTCATTGAAGGGAAATTTGGTAAATATTTACTAAAATTAAAACTGAGAGCTTTCCAACTTGGGCCGGGCATAACGGCTTCCACGAAGAAGGGTGGCGAGAGGGCTGTTCTGCCATCAATGAGGCAGTGACAAGAGAATACACCGTCAATGTTCATAAGCACATCCATGGAGCGGGTTTCAGGAAGTGTGCCCCTCGGGCACTCAGTGATTCAGAAATTTGCCAGGAGGAGACGGGAACTCCCGATGTACACAATGACACCAGGCTCAACAAAGCTGCCTGGGCCAAAGGAATACAGAATGTCCCATCCATACTGCAGTCGGGGACGGTTGTCCAGAAAACACAATAAGGATGAAAAGTCACCAAACAAGCTCTATTTTTTGGTCACTTGTGTACCTGTCACCACTTTCAAAAATCTACAAACAATTAATGTGGATGAGAAGTAACTGATTGTCAAAGTTATAAAGGTGCCCCCCAAAAGAAATAAATAAAAACGAGAATGCCTCTCTGAGCAGCAATTTCACATCTGAGCATCTATCTTATAGAATTTCACATGCACAAAAATGTGTAAGTGTAGTTCCTTGTAAGCATTGTTTTTATTAGTGGAAAAATTGGAAATAACTTAATGGCCATCAGAAATCAGTTTAAATAAAGTTATGTAACAATTAAAGGAAAAATGAAATAGAGCTTTTTGTTCTTAAAAGGAACTATCTCCAAGATTTATAAATTAAAAGGTCACAGGTGATACATACACTGAATATTTCATAGTGTGATATTTGTACCTGGGTAGAAAAATCCTGGAAGGATGCACACTGCACTGTTAATAATGGTTAACACTGGGGCAAGGAATGGTAACTTTTTATTATATGCACTTCTACATTGTTTACAGATATGTTTAAGAATATTATAATTTAAAATTATTACAAAAATAAGGTAAAACTCTTAGAGAAACTTTTAAAGGAAAAAAAAGTAAACCCAATACCCAATAGTCAACATTGTGACTATTATGAATAATCCAATATTTGTTAAATAAAATATTTCTGATATTCACCTTGGCCTCGGTGTATAAGTATAGAGTATTGTAAACATGGAGAGACTAAGCCTGGCTTCCTATTGTAAAAGTCCATTTATACTGTACAACTGCATTGGTTCATATCTCAGCTCCACCATTTACTATCTGTGTGACCTTAGACCAATAATTCAATATGTCTGAGTCTCAGTTCCTGCCTATAAAATGAGAACAATAAAATTATTGACTTTGTAGGGTTGTTATGAGAATCAAATGAATTATTATGTGAGAAGTACTCAGAACAGTCTCTGGCTGATTGTAAGAGTTCAGGAAATGGTGGTTATTACCACCTAGGGGTCAATAGTAGCAAAACCCTCACTGTTAATTAGGCCAGTAATTAACACTGATTGCTAACAAAGTGATTTTTAAAAAGATTTTATTTCTCTATTTTTAGAGAGAGGGGAAGGGAGGAAGATGAAACATTGATGTGTGAGAGAAACATCGATCCATTGCCTCTTGCCTCTTGCATGCCTCTACCTGGGGACCTGGCCTGCAACACAGGCTTGTGCCCTGAACCAGAATTGAACCGATGACCTTCCATTCACAAGCTGGTGCTTAACTTACTGAGCCACACCAGTCAGGGGTCAAAGTGATTTTTTTTTTTAAGAGTGACTGCAGAAAGCATTTACTTATAGAAAAGACACTTATCATTGTTTTGTTTTTTTAAATTAATCTTTTAAATTAATTTTAAAAAATCTTAAGTGCATTCAAGTCATACACATTTTAAATTTTAGTTTTTAAGGCTTCAAGTTATCTTTATAAATCTTAACATTGTATTTATAAATCTAATTAATACATTTAAATAACCTCTTTCAAGGGGGAACTTAACATTTGGTCAACTCAAATTACATAAGCCAAACTTTGTTAAATGATTGGTTCCATTTATGACTTAAATTCCTTAAAAACTTCAGTATGAAATATATTTTGATTTCTTCTATTGCCCAAACTGATCAATAAATAGAACTTCTTACACTATTCTACTAAGGTCTAACAAATTCACTTAATAAATATAAAATATGCCTCCTTTACCCCATAGGGTGTGATATATTTTTTGCACTTTGTACATTGTGTCTGCTTCCCAACTAAGCTGTAAAGCAGGGGGAGTGAAGGTGGGGTCAGTTCTGTTTTGTTAAGTAGTAGTTGACACTTGGAGATCTTTAAAGGCCAAAAAGGATTTGAATTGGCAGAGATCAGAGAGAGTTTTCTAGCCTGGAAGAAATGCCAGCAAAAATTGTGGACACTAATGGTGATATAAAGATTTTGTTTATATTGGCAAAGTCTTTCCCATGATAATTTTGTATATACTTTATACACTCCCCCCGCTCCGCCCAGGTTATACAAGGTGCAGTTTTATATTCTTAGGAGCTTGATAACTTTTTTGGTTGTTGAAAATTTGGGATCAAAATAAATGAACTTGTAATTTATATGTTTAATTAGCTGTTCAACAAGACACTGCAGACTGCACATTTGAAGTCCTTTCCATTTCTCATGCCATATTCCTGAATTTTTCATTCTAGGTAGAGTATGCTACCAGTGGCTACATACTCTTTGAAAATTTTTCCTCCCTTATATTCCACCAACTATCTAATCCCACCATCAGTTGAAACAACTCACACTCATTCATTTGTTCACCAAATATTGAGCACCTACTATGTACTGGCCAGTGTTCTAGCAGCACTTGGGATGCCTCAAAGAACAAAACTGCCCTTGAGGATTTTATTTTATATTTTAGCCAGAATGACAGACACAAATATGTAAGCAAATTATTTTAACAACAAAACAAAAATTAAAATGTCAAAAGGGCAAATTATTTAGTATTTTAAGAGTAACTAAAGGCTTTGGAAAAAAGAAAGCGTAGAGCTGGGAAAGGGAAATGGTGCCAAGTTTTTGACGTCTGGAATTTTTAATGAAGATGTGTAAAATTATTTTTATGGGTCTTGTCTTACTGCTTTTTTCTCTGTATTCTTCTGGACAGATTTCTCTTTCCTGTGCAGGAATTTGCACAGTAATGAAAATAATTACTATTTTCTGACATGCCTGCCACGGCCAAGCACCTTTCACATTTAGCCCATTTAATCTTCATTACACCCGAAAAGTCAAGCTCTCCTTTCTTTGAGCGCCAACTAGAGCTTTAGGCTAACTTGATCTGGTTATCAGAAGAAGATTGATAAGCACTTCTCCCCGGACTCCTTTACGCCCACGTGGTTGAGATGTGCTTGTGTACCCGATCTAAACTAACACCACCTGTCAGCCGGGCCACTCGCGCCCGCTCCCCCACCCTCCGGGCAGTCCCAAAACAGGCCTGGAGGCCCTAGCTCCCGGGCCAGGGGGCGGGGCCTTGAGGGAAGGAGGCGGGGCCTCTGACCTCCAGGGAAAAGGACTCCCGGAGTGGTTTGTCCTAGACTGCAGCCCGTAGAGGCTCCCAGCTGCCTCCCCTTCTCCGGGAGTGGTGGAGATTTGATCATGTGACAGTTTGGGGGCGGGACCGGGCTGGTTGTTGGGAGCGCAGGGGTTTGACAAAAACAAACGGCGACGCCGACGCCGTAGGGTCTATGGCTGAGGCTGTGAGACCAACTCGCCGGGCCAAGCCCAAGGCCAGCCGGACTAAAACCAAGGTGAGGATACCCCTCCTCCCGCCCCTCTACTCTCCGAGGCCCTGGCCGGTGTTCTTGATCTCCCTTATCCTCTCTTGGGAGTCTCCGGCTACATCTACCCATCTACTGATCCCTCCGCATCCTCTGCCCTCCACCTCCCCGTATTTGGTCCCACCACCTATCTACTACATCCTGTTCCTGTATTCCTGCTCCACATTCCCCTGCTAGACTTTGTCGGGAGCCCATTTTTTTCTTCTTTCTCTAACCTCGTTGGGTTCCCGTCTTGACGTTCCTCACTTCGGTCTGGATTCCTGCGGCGAAGCAGCTTTTCGCGTCCCTGCTTTATCTTTGACTGTCTTCATTTCTCCTTTATAACCTGGCAACATTTTCAGTCTTTCTCGTGCATAAGAGGGAAGGAAGCTCTCCTCCACTCGGAGAATGTATGCTTTGGCAGAGCTTCATGGAGAGCGACCGCCAGAAAGTAGACTGTAGTGATGGGCCTATTCACTTTTAAAATTAGAGGTGATGGTGGTGGTGCTATTTATTTCTCATTATCCTGGTTGTTTAAGATGGGGTCACGAATGTCCAGAAGTTAAACCAGGACGAGACTCACACATTAGGGATTTGAATTTTCCAGGTTTCATGGATTAGACGGACACGTGGTATTGATGTGTTTTTAGGTTGATTTGTTTTGTTTTTAGGTGCAGCCTGAGTTTTTATTTTTTTCTATATATTTTCTGAAGTGACATTTATTGTACAGTGAACAGATTAAATGCTATTCTTGGATGGTTGGACCTAGATAACTTTGGCTTCCCTGAAACTGAATTTACATTAAGGAAGTTATGAGGATGGTATTACAAGTTCAGGCAACTTCCACTTCTGCAAATGCGGGATGGTCCAGCACAGGTGTGACTTAAAGATGGGAACAAAATCTGATTTTCTCATGGGAAGAAGGTTTGAACAGGAGACTAGTGTTCAAAGGTCCTACATTTAATAAGTTGTAAATGACTTAGGAGAATCCCTTTCATTATGATGTCTTTTTAAAAGCCTCTAGTGGAGTTATGCACATCAGGGTACACAGGTCTGTGAGGGGTTAACTCTTTGGAGATTTGAAAGCCATTTTGCTACCTAATTTCAGAAACATTTTTTAAGGGAAATACTTTTGCATTTAATTTGGCAAGAACTATTAAAACAGAGGAGGAAGAAAACAGCCATTGGTCAACCATGAGTAAGGTCTCTGAACCTAGAATACAGGGGTGTTTAACATGTAAACATCAATCTGTAGAGAACAGAATCTTAATTTTTAATCTCTTTTTAAAAAAATGAATGATGAAACTAAAGCCTAGAGGAGTTAAACGATAAGCTGAAAAGCATGTAGTTAATGAGAAAAGTTAAAGCCAGAAATCTGAATTCTCAATCCAGTTGCCTAGTAATTGTTTCATATATCTCTATGTATTTACCTATAGATAGAATGTTATAAATATCTAAAAACAGTGAAGAGGATTCTCAGTCAAGTTATTTTGTTGAGAACAGTTTCTAAAATAACTTAAAATCTTAAAACTTTTAAATCCATTGTGAAAAAACAGTTGCTCATTTTATTGAGAACTTTAAGACAACTTTCCTACGCAAGCATATGTTGACTTATTTTTTTTGTCTGCTAAAATTTATGAAGAGGTGACCCGGCCAGTGTGGCTCGGTTGGTTGGCCATTTTCCTGCAAACAAAAAGGTTGTCGGGGCACATGCCTGGGTTTTGGGTTTGTCCCTGGTCAGGGTACCAACTGAAGGCAACTGACTGATGTTTCTCTCTTGCATCGATGTTTCTCTCCCTCTCTTTCTCCCTTCCCCTCTCAAAAAACAAACAAACAAACAAACAAACAAACAAACAAGAAAACCCCCAACAAAACAAAAAAAAATTATGGAGAGCCTTCACTCTAAAAGAATTTAGTCAAACCAGAAATTCTTGACATACACTTTTTCTTACCCTCCAAATCTAATCAGTCATTAAGTCTTACCAATTGTATTTTTAAAATATTCTTTCAATTCTGCCCATTTCTTCCATCCTAACTACTACCACCATCCACCAAGGAGGATTTTTTTGCTAAACTGGCCTCTCCAAGTTCATTCTTGCTGTCCATTCTCTAAACTAGAGCTGGATTGATAGGGATTTTTAAAAACAAAATAGTGATTACTGTTCTCAGAACCTTTCAAAGGTTTCCCATTGCCCACAGGCTAGAGTCTGTAAAGACCTTAGCAGGGACTCAGGGCCCTCAGCGATCTGGCTTTTCCACGTCAGCCTCAGGTCTGTTCCCACTTCCCCTCTCTCCTCCCAAATCCGTCAGTACCACTCTGCATCTTTGTGTCACTCATTTCACTTGTAGTTGTTTTGTCAACATCTCTCTTCTCCCTTAAAACTGTGAACTCAGGGAGGGAGGGACCTGTCATGTTTATCTTGTTCGTAGTACATTTCACAGCCTTTGTAGGCCCTTGATAATACTTGTTGGATGAAGGAATAAATATCAGTATTGAAGAAAATTTCCAAGCTTTGTCACTCAGAAGAATTTCCCCCTGTAAATTTCCTGAGTAGTATGAGAAAACAAATGAAAAAAAAGCCCACAGTACTAGCGAGGCCCTCGTACTGTCAATCTAGAAAATTAATTGTTTTAATGCTGGCTGTGGTTTGGCATTGATCATACAGTCTTACATCAGTGAAACCTAATTTACCATCTGTAGTATAATTTGGCAACTATTTACAGAGCCATGAAGTAGTTCCAAGGCTCAGTTCAGGAAGCGAGCAGTGTCATGTGCTATTGTCTTTGAATAGTTGAGCAGCTTCTGGATTTTACACAGGCTGCTGGTCTACATTCTTTAATGTTAGTCATCTGGTAGATGACCTCACATTGTTAAGTTGTGGTTATCATCTGATAGATAGTCCTAATAACATCTTCATTTAAAAAAATAATCTTCTGCTAAATATATTCCCTACCTCAGAGGACCCTGACTTTATTGATCTCTTTTGATGATTGATCTTGTTAGATCTCTTAGTCCCTCCGTCCCGTTAGTGGTTATAGGAGTAAAGTTGGGGGATACTGTATATAATGTAGCTCCTTTTGTGCCTCCTAAGATTCAGTCATTTGTTGGAGAAACACTCATTAATCACTAACTATGTCCCAGAAGCTGTTCTAAGCATTTGGGAAATAATAGAGGGGAAAAACAAAAGAAAACACAAAGACCCGGCCTCCATGGAGCTTACCTTCTAGAGGGAGAAAACAAACAGTAAACCCTATAAAAACAAATAAAATATGTCATGTTAGAAGATGATAAGTGCTATGAAAAAAGCAGAAGGACTGGATATAGATTTGGGGAATACAGGTGAGATATTAGGATGGGTTGCAATTTTAAATAGGTCATCAAGGTAATACTTGGTGAAGATAACATTTACATAAACACAGGAAAGGGATGTGGGAGTTAGCTCTGTGGATATTGGGGAAGAATGTACCAGGCAGAGGGCAAATGCCTTAAGGCAGTGGCCTGTTTGTCCCAGGACCTGCTAGGAGGCAGTGCGGTTAGGGTGGGGTGAGTGAGGGAGAGTAGTTTGGATGAAGTCAGAAAGGTAACCCAGGGCCGGGTCAATGGCCTTGTAGGCCATTGGAAGGACTTTTACTCAGAGCGACGTTTGGAATCACTTAAGGATTTTGAGCAGAGGAGTGATGCCATTGGAGTTCTGTTTTAAACTATCACTGTGTGTGCTTTGTTCAAAATAGGCTTAAGTGGGCAAGAGTAGAAGCAGAGACACCATCTAAGAGACAATTAATTGCATTAATTTAGGCAAGAAGAGGTGGTGGTGGCTTGGATCAGAGATATAGGAGCAAAGGTGATGAGAAGTGTTTGAAGTCTGGGGAGTTTCTTTTTTTTCTTTTTTAAAGAGAATTTTAATAAGTTTATTTGAGACAAACTGACTGCATATACCAGAATGCAAGATCTCATATGCTCTCTGTAGTCTGGGGAGTTTCTCAAGTTAGAGCCAATAACTGCTGGTGACTTGGATGTGGCTATTGGAGAAAATATTCAAGGGTGCCTCTAAGGTGGAGCAGGTTTCAGGGGGCAGATCAGAAGTTCAGTGTTGGATATGCTAATTTTGTAATAAATGCCTATTAGACATTTGAAGGGGAGCAGACTTTGCCACCCCAAAATATACCTCTTGAGATACTGATTATTTTAGGCTGGTTAATTTTAAGAAACAGCAGAAGTGGAGCAAGCACTGGAAACCTAGTAGAAGCTACACTTTGTAAAAGGACATTTATATTTGTAAGGGAAATCTCCATTTGTAAGGGTGTTCCCTTACTGTATCTGGAAAAGGAAGATACTGAAATCTCTAGAAAGTATTAAAGTAATTTCATGAAAGTATTCTCTGGAATGTTTAAAACTGGACCTTTGCCCTGAATGGTGTGGCTCAGTGGGTTGGGCGCAAGGGCAGTCCTACAGTGGGGAGAGAGGAAGGGTGAGTTGGGGTCGGAGTGGGGCAGGAGCGGACACAGAGAGGTTAAAGCCTGGAGGAGGGACAGATGGGAGTGGAAGCGCTGAGTTGCTCAGAGGAGGCCTGCAAACCAGGAAGTCACCAGTTCAACTCCCGATCAGGGCACATGCCTGGGTTACAGGCCAGGCCCCAGGTTGGGGGTGTGCAAGAGGCAACTGATCAGTGTTTCTCTCCTCTCTCTAAAATAAATAAATAAAATATTTAAAATTGGACCTTCATCCTTTGTAAAGAAGCAGCTCATCCTTACTTTTAAGGAAGGAAAATGGTTGTAATTTTTTTTTCTTAACTACAGTTCCAAGAGAAAGAACTGTGTTTAATGAATGGAAACTTCCCAATTTTTTTCAGAAGTTAAAAAAAACTTATTTTTTATTACAAAAGTGCCATTTTCTTTAAAAAAGTATGTATTTATCAGTGTGCACACATACAGAGAAACAAATAACCCAAAAATGAAATGCTTTGAATTCCATCTTCTAAAGATAACTGCTGGTGACGATTTGTTGTGTGTTCTTTAGGATTTTTCCCAAGCATGCTGCAACACCTCAGGGCATATTAACTGTAATGAATAGTTAAATGCTTTTCTTTGTTTATTAACAGCTCTTCCATTTCTGTATAATTTCTTGATTGTTTTTTCTCTCATGGAATTATATATTTTAAAGTTGGTTCTTTACGTGTATGTAACTTATATGGAGATCAAAAATAAATACAGATTTTTCTTAATCTCCTGGCCATTTTTAATTCTAAGAAACATGTCTTTTTCTTAAATTAATTTGAAAGTATTAATTTTTGCACATCACTTGATGTTTGAATTTTATTTTGTGATATGTAATGGTTATTATAAGTATAATATGTTCTATGTCTTTATCTGTATTTAACTCAACTAGGCAACTAATTGTAAGCTGGCCTTTTTAAATTTTTAAATGAAGTCTTGTATTTTAAGAGTAATAATAGATTCACATTTTGGCAAAAAGTTCAGTTTCCTCTCAATACTTTGATTATTCCCTCTTTTTCCGGTGAGCATATTAAAAATATTTCTGAATGTTGCAGGGCACATAGTATAAATAATTGTTGGATAATTTAATAATTTCTTTTATGGTTCTTGTACCTACAACAGAGCTCAGCATGTAGTTGGCACACAAGAAACATTTCTTGAACACAGTGTGAAAAATCAAAGGCAGATCAGACTCAAAGAAACATTAGGATACCTACCTGGCCTCAAGATGATGCTGGGCAGCACCTGGGGAGGCCAAGGGAGGCCTCAACCCGATCCAGGTCCTTGTCACGGTACAAGAAGGAATTCAAGAGTGTGGCAGAAAGATTTAACAAGGCACAGTAAATTTATTAATGCTATAGTTTACCAACACGTTTGGGTTTTTATCTCCTGATATAAAAGAATTTAGACCAGGGACACTGATAAAAGCAAAGGCAGATTTTTTTTGAGGCTCTGCACAGGGCAAGAACACAAGAGAGGGTCTCAGGTTCTGTGCCTTAAATGTGGGGTTTAGGAGTTTTTATGGCTTGGGAACACAGAAGTTGCTGGGGTTAACCAATCAGAGAGTAGGTTACGTTTTTCTTTTTTGGAACATTGATGTCTGGATATATGTCAGTGAAGCGAAGCATTCTGAGATTATGCAGCACTTATTATGGGATGCAGGAAGGGACATTCCCAACCAGAGTTTGTCTCTGGGGTTTGTGACTTGACTTTAGATCAACTTGACTTTAAGTTGAAAAACAAACTTAAAAGAAAAACAAACTTAAAAGTTGGTAGTTCGTGGACCATTGTTTGTTAACTACCTATTGATAACTGTCACAGTCCTGGCAGAGCTTAACCTGATGGAGCAACTTTGGGGAACATTTTATTCTACCTGTTTCAGTAGCTTGCACTTGAGAAGTGAGAGCAGGCAACCTGATGGGGTAGGTCTGGGTGGAAAGTTTTCATTAAATGTGGGTGATCCTTCTGATACTGGTGGGCTCGGCATTGTCTCCTCCAGATAGCAATTTCTTTTTGGTCGCCCCAATTGCAGGAAACCGGGGAAGGGGAATGGTGGTCAGTGAAGGTCCATTCTGTGATGTTCCAGCAAAGACGGAGAAGGGGAGGAGTAGAGCTTGAGGTCTTTGTTCCATTTTAATTTTCCTGCCTCAAAGATGCTTGTGGTCTAATGGGGGTGGGAGAAGAGGCGGGGACAGAGCATAAATATAAATAATCATATGTGGTAGTACGTGACAAGGACCAGCTGACGAGGACAGATGGCTGGAGTTCAGGGGTTGGTGTGGTGGTTGAAAATTTTGTCTTGGAACTGGGTCATAACTAAGGTAACAAAGGCACTGAATGCCAGAATTAAGAGTCAGTCTTTCATGAGTGGAGAGCCAAGACTGTTTTTATGTTGTTCAGAGCAGTGTTTTATGGAGACCAGCCTTGTAATGATGTCTGTAATGATGGGATGAACTGGTGGTGGGGCAGAGGCTGGAGTCCTGGAGCCATTCAGGACCTGCTCCTCTATTCTGTGCTTTAGAGAAGTGAAGTGGGCCACTGGGAGGTTGTCTCCGCCCATGAGGCCATGGCAGTGGTGGTGATTGCGTAAAACCTCCTGTCCTCCACGTACGTGTGGCCCCCGGAAGTTCTCTCCCTATCCAGGGGTCTGTGACAGGGCAAGGTGAGGCCTTTGCCACCTGCTCAAAGGTTGTGGGACCTGCCATTGTCCCTCCTTCCTTTTCCCTGGCCTTCTCTGCTGGGCTGGTCTGGTCTTCCAGTCACATCTTAAGCTTCTTTCTCCTTTTCCCCCAACTTCTTTCTGGGGCAACTCTGTGTTAATTCCTCTTTGGACCTAACTTTCCTATCTGTACAGGTACAGAGTTTTCTTTGGTTCCACTTTTGAAACCATGAGAAGCATTGAGTTCTTCTCTCAGAGGAAATTGAAGTCTGAAGGCTTCTGTGTTCTTCCCTGGAGGGGCTAGAATCTTTTAAAAATTCTTTAATTGGTTATCTAACCACATTATCTGTTGCTATTATTTTGGTTATGATTATTCCCTGGAAGGTAGATCTGATGGGAGTGGGTGTACAAGTTTGGGAGTAGCAGCTGGAGACTTCATTTTGGTTAGAGAGGGAGAGAATTTGAAACTGCAAGGGCAGTCCTGCAGTGGAGAGAGAGGAAGGGTGAGTTGGGGTCGGAGTGGGGCAGGAGCAGACACAGAGAGGTTAAAGCCTGGAGGAGGGACCGATGGGAGTGAAAGCGCTGAGTTGCTCAGAGGAGGTGTGGTTGTTTGCTGTGCCCTCGATCAGGAGGCCCATCACGTGCCTGCTTCCTCAGCTCCCCGTGTTCTAGTTGGCATTTAACATCCCCAGAGGTCTCTTAGAGTTTCAGAGAAGAGAACTAAAAAATGTGTTCCCTCTTTATGCCATTTGGGTCTCTGCTTGCTTACTTTTCTTTATTTTTCAACTCACTAAACTTTTAGAATCTCTCATGTTTGTTTTAAACAACTTTATTGAGCTGTAAGTCGCACACTATTCAATTCACCTACTTAAAGTGTATGATTTCAGTGGTTTTTTAGTATGATCACAGGGTTGTGCAAGCTTCACTGCAATTAGGAACTGTCAAGCTGTTTTCTATAGTGACCTCATCTTGTTGCATTCCCTGTAGCAGTATATGAGGGTTGTAATTTCTCTACATTCTTGCCACCACTTATTATCTGATTTTAAGCAGTCATTCTGGTGGTATCTCAATATAGATTCCATTTGTTAAGTGAGAAAATTTAGATTTTATAGACAATTTAAAAATTCCTTATTGAAAGCATGGTTATTGTTGTAAGTTATTTCACAGTATAAATCTTGTTTTTAGGAAAAGAAGAAATATGAAACTCCTCAAAGGGAAGAGTACGATGAAGTCTCCCTTTCAAAAACCTGCAGAGAACTGGGAATCCCTACTCTGGCTTGTGAATTAAGAGGAGACCAGCTGAAGGTGTCAGCTGGTTCCGAGCTCCAGAATGATGCCTGTGGACAAAACGAGAGTGAAATGTTTGATGTACAACTCACCTCCTTAACTATAAACAGTGAAGGGTCCCTGACATGTAACACAGAGACCCTAAAAGAAGGGGAGGAGGTCGGAGCCTGTGTTGGGGGTGAAGAAGTCAAGCCGAAGGTTGACCCTGGAGACAATGTTGGAACCAAAGTAGAAACTCCCAAGAACTTTACAGAAGGAGAGAAAGGTGAAGTGGTACAACGTGGACCTTCTGAAAGTACACTGCAATCTAGTTTTTCTTATACTCAGCAGGGAATGGAAAATTTACAGGCCAGAGAAACTCAGCATAGCAAAGATGACAAACAAGCCTTGAGTCTTTCTTCAGAGGTGCTACAAAATGTTGGCTTGCACAGTTCTTGTGAAGCCACGGACATTTTTCAGCCACCTAGGGTGAAAAAACTGTATCCCCAGTTGCCAGCGGAAATGGCTGGAGAAGTGCCCCCTTTGGTGGCAGCAAAACCCTTGCTTCGGAATGAGCGACTCTACCCGGAGCTCCCAGCTCAGCCAGAAGTAGTACCGTTTACTAAAGAACAGCTAAAAGTCTTTGAGCCTGGTTCATGGCTGGAAAATGTTGAGTCATATTTAGAAGAATTTGACAGCATGGCTCATCAGGACAGGCATGAATTTTATGAGTTGCTTTTGAACTATTCGCGATGCAGGAAGCAGCTGCTCCTGGCTGAAGCTGAGCTATCTGCTCTGACGTCCGATTGCCAAAATGCTAAAAGTCGACTGTGGCACTTTAAGGAGGAACAGTTGTCTGTACAGGTACTTTGACGAGTATTCCTTAAAGCTTTCAGGAGCCTGGGGTACTGCCAACCCTCTGATGCCACCTAGGCCTGGAGTCTGCTCCTGTACCCACGCTGACACTGTCTTAGTCCAGAGTAGTACAGTACAGGAATCACAAAGTCAGGTGCCTGAAGGGGCCGCACGAGTAACTGAAGAAATGAGGCAGGCTGAGTGGGACAGTGGTCGCTGAGCAAGCTCATGTTGGGTCCAGCAGGGGCAGCTGCTGTGGAGCCCTCGCTGATTATTGCTGTCAGGGTGTGTTGATCCAGCATTGCCACATCTTAAGATTTTCCAAATAGGAATCTATTTGAAAATGTTGGCAGTTAATTACACACATACTCACACAGCAGAGGCCAAGCAAGTCATGTCTCCCAAGTCAGTTTTAGCCTGTGGACCTTTTAGTTTGTGACCTTGGGCCTAATGGCAAGAACATCCAGTGGGTAGAGAATATCAAGGAGAGGATGATTCATGGAACAAGGTTAAGAGGAGATGAGGAAACAGGGAAGGCCATTAGATGTGTCCCGGTAGAGACCAAGGTGACCAGCAGGAAAGCCATTTCATAGCGGCCTGAAAGGGGAGGGAAGGCCATTCTCACAAGCTTGACATTGAAAGATATCTTGAGGAGATATCAGGGAGAAATGGGATTTTTTTTTTTCCATGTCCCTAATCCTTATTCATTGGGATACCTGTGTTACCTCTATTTGTGGATAGAAAGGAGTCTGTCGAGAGAGAGACATTTGGAGATACTGAAAAAGAGAGGTTACCTCTGGCTGGGGTGTCTTAGTTGGTTGGAGCATCGTCCTGTGGACTAAAAGGTTGCGAGTTCAATTCCCCATCAGAGTACATGCCTAGGTTGTGGGTTTAGTCCCTGATCAGAAGGCAACCAGTTTATGTTTCTCTTACATCGATGTTTTTCTCCCTCTCCCTTCTTCTCTCTTTGAAATCAAAAATAAAATAGGTTAGAATCAAGAACACAGCTGGCAGTGTTAGTACCGGAAAGGAGAGGAGTTTTTTTTTTCTTTTGAGCAAAATCACATAGAATGATGAGGGTAAGTACAAAGATATTTTGAGGTCCCTTGAAGATGAGGGGGCTATCACATTGACCTCAGTGGGTTTGTAACGTAGAAGGTAAGATCATCAGCAATGAGAGTCCTAGAGACAAGCTCTCTTATTTATTTGTATCTTTCTCCACCTCCTTAGGATTTCTTTTCTCTGATCTTGTGATGCATTGGTGATTGGCATTATACTTCTTGGCACCAGATTCTACACTTTATTGTTCTCTGTGTGGTACTATGGTCCCCTCACTGTGGTTTATAAGCATGTTGAAAATGGTACTATTGAAGCCTATGCCTCATACACCTGCCTGATTATTTTAAGTGCAAAGAGTAACTGGTTTCATATTTTACCCTTTTTTCCACTGCTAGGGTATCTGTGCAGATCAAGTGAAAGTTTCAGGCTATCATCGCTACCAAAGAGTAGAAATGAATGAAAATGCTCTGGAGGAGCTAAAGAAGCTATTTGATGCCAAATCTGAGCACCTCCACCAGACTCTGGCTCTGCACTCTTACACTTCTGTGCTCTCCAGGTTGCAAGTGGAGTCTTACATCTATGCCTTGCTTAACAGTTCAGCTGTTCTGAGATCTTTAGCAATTCATCAGCAAGGCCGAGGTGTGTAAGTAATGAAAGTCTCACTCTTCCTTATAGTCTGAAATGCAAAAAAAAAATTGAGGGGTACAATCCAGTGGAATTCATTGTGCACTAACCAGTGTTCCCAGGTATCGTTTGTGCCTGTGCTTGCCTCACCTCCCCAGTGTAGGACTGTGATCTGTCCCACTAACATTTTTAGGGAGCAGTGTGAGATCTCCCTTCCCCGCCATCCTTTGCTTTTCTAGGGAACCAGAAAGCTCGCTTTTTATCCTTAATGTCCCTTATCGTCCTAATTTACGTGCTTGTTACCAAATCAGGGCCAAATAGATTTTTTGATTATGAAATTGATAATCAATACTGTTTCATCCTCTGTCTCTTGCACTTTATTTTTGCTTGTCCTGCTTGTTAGGCTGTTTTTAATGTATTTAATTTTGAGATCTAATGTTCTGAAATGTTCATCCTATTTTGGATTTTAAGAAATTAGGCTTTACTGTATTGTGTGTAAAGTATTAATGATACTAATTGAATCATGCGTTTTTTATTTCTGGGAGGGATATTAGGATCGTTGAAAGTAAAAAAATCCTCCCTTCCCCTCTCATTGTTTTCATTACTAATCAAAGAACTGGTGCTGGGCCAGAGATCTGCTGATTTTAAAATAAAAAATAAATTTTAATGAAGTTAATTTTCCCTTGCTTTGAAATACTTCACAAAGTTAAATACATTTTTTTAGTTTACATATTTAGTAGAAATTCAAATATTTTTGATGCAGCTTTTGTTCCTGGATTTTTATTTAAAGTGAATGTTTTGAAGATTTCTTTTGTAAAGTGAAGATAATAAGTATTCCCCCGAACCCCCCACCACCATTTATGTAGGAGTCATTTAATTCTCTCTCTAATTTGTAGCTTCTAAACAGGCAGAAAGCATTCCGTCTGACCTGTGTCCACTGAAGGAGTGCATTAGCGTCTTATTCATGTTCACCAGGAGACCTAACGAAGATACTCAGTTCCAGGATGATATTCTTCTCTGGCTGCAAAAATTGGTAAGGGAATCGAAATAGATACAGTAGTCTTCCTTATTTCCCTGATAATTTAAGAATTATTTCTTCTTTCATTGTAGTTTTTCTCCAACTGTTTCTCTAGCTACTTCATTTAATTTGTTAGTAACATTGTCTTTGATCATGACACATGGAAATAAGTTGTACTCATTTAGTACATTGTTAAACACAAACAGCTTTTCTCTCTGATAAGTTTTATGTTAAATGATCTCTGGCTTCAACTTAGGAAGAAATGGAAATATATGAAGCCTGCTAAATATAAAACTAGATTCATATTTAGAATATAGATATTTTATCTAAAAGTTTCCATATTTCTTTTTATCATCTATATTTAATGTTGCACTTAGTCATACTTTAAAAATGTTTTCAAGGGGAAAAAAGAAAGATCTTAGAGAAACATCAGAAAGATGTTAGGTGTGTTACAGGGAAGGTTATTTGTTTATTGGTTATGTTTTTTAATGGGGCTGCCTTGAGTGCTTCGATAGGTTTATACTAGAGTTCTTAAATATGGGGTGATGTTCCAAACATACCACTTAATATAGATTGGGGAAATTATTACAAATGAGAATAGAATAAAATACTTCTATCTATTCACAAATGGCCAGGGATATTAGTGATTTGTAATTTGCCAGATGTAAAAATTTTTCAGAGAAACGACTTAAGATATTTTTATTATAGTGCTCATAGATTCATCAGCCTCTGGGTGCCTCTGTGGTAGAGACTCAGTCAGTCAATAGTGTGTCTTATGTCTGGTTATTCTTTGAAAGATCACATGTATTTAGACATTAGGTAAGTTATTTCACTAGAATCACCCCAATGTTGGAGCCCTAGACATGTTCTTCTTTTTTAAGTAGTGATACTGTATGTCCTTTGGTGTTTAGGTATCAGTGTTACAAAGAGTTGGCTGTCCTGGAGATCACCTGTTCCTGCTAAACCATGTTCTTCGATGCCCAGCTGGCGTCAGTAAATGGGCTATTCCTTTTATACAGGTATGATGAATATCTTTCTGGTTTTGAGGGGTATGGGAAGGAGATTTTGTTAAACATTTTTCCTGAAGAAATTGCTTTTTAAAAAAGGCTAGCTAAAAAGTACTTATATTTAAAATAAAATTCTTAAAATACATCCAGAATACATTTGTAGGAGTTTTTTTTTATGCTGAAAGTTCTTGGGTCACCCGTAATTGATGAAATTAAGTAGAACTGCAAAAGTTCAGTAGCAGTATGGCTTGGTAGTTCAGTAGTAGTTAATTCTGTAAAAATTCTGTGTGGGAAGGCTCTCTAGGACTTTTTTCTGTAATACTCAATATAGCTTCTTAAATTTCTTTTTTTTAAATTCTCACCTGAGGACATGCTTATTGATTTAGAAAGAGGGGAAGGGAGGGAGAGAACATCAATCAGTTGCGTTTTGTATGTGCACTGACTGAGGACCGAACCACAATCTAGGCAGGTGCCCTGACTGTGAATTGAACCCACGACCTTTCAGTTTATGGGACAGCACTCCAACCAACTGAGCTGCACTGGCCAGGGCTACACAGCTCCCTAAATTAATTCACTTCATACCACAGTTAGTACAGGTAGAACAGAAACTACCAGTATCTCAAAGTTTATTAATATTGGCATATGAACAGGTGTGTATGATCATCTGTCATATAATCAACTCAGGTGTTGATTATATGGTTTATAGATTTTCTTCTCTGCTTCTTGCCTTTGGGTTGTTTTGTTACTAATAGCAACCACTCAGATGAGCAGAAGCCAAGTGTATGCCAAGTTCTTCTTTACATTACCTTTTCTTTAGTATTTCTAGCAGCAAGAAGTTTCGGTTTTTTTTAGGTAGAAGGAGGATTTTTTTGTTCTGTTTTGTTTATCTTTGGATTAAAATAGCACATTGTTCTTTGACCCATATTGTTACAGGTAATTCTAAACTGCTCAGCTACCTCTGCCCTTCGAGGACAGCTGAATCATTACTGCCAGGTGACCCATGAGCTATGCTCTCGCTCTTGCGGGTTAGGTGCCAGTTCCATCTTTGTTTTCTTAACAGTGCCCTTTCTCAGAATTTTTGTGAACTAAGAAGGGATACTTGGGTTGTTGGCTTTCTACAGCATGCTTTTTCCTTTTCTGATTTCAGATCAAAGTGTTGAATAACCCATCAGGGGTCTTTCATTTTATGCAGTCCCTTGCCCTTCTAATGTCTCCTGTCAAGTAAGTGTGGAAGATCTTTTTGATGTAGAAATTGAAATGCTTCTTTCTATCCAAGGATTGGCTTCCTAAATTGTCCGTATCCAGAGAACTGTCCAGGGCTGTATCAGCATTCCAGGATTTAACATTGCAGGTTTCCTTTGGGTTTGCTGCCCTTTGTCCCAAAGTGACCTTATTAACTGCTTATATATAAATTATTGATCTTTTTGAGTCCCCCTGTTAGTGGGTTTGCCTCTCCTATTGTATATGTTATTGTGAAAGGTACTGTGGGGGGAGACAAAAAAGATAATCTGTTTCTTAGAAGGAGAGATTGAATGGCAGAGGAAACAAAAAACACAGATTTAAGTGCTGAATTGTGAAGCTGTGTTTGATGTAATGAGAATAAAGAGAGCAGAGAGCGGAGGAGTCAGAGAGGGTTCCAAGGGCGTGAGCTGGGTTTGAAGGACGGAATGGATTTCAGTAGGAGAAAAGGAGAAGAGGGCACTGTAGTGGGGAGAACAGTGAGCAGTGGCCCGAAGTACAGGTGAGGATAGCTGTGCGGGGGACAGGAAAGAGGACCGCCTTGGCTGGTTGTGTGAGAGGTGATAATAGAGATGTACGGAGCGAGTTGGACTATAAAGGCTCTGACACTAAAACAGAAAAATCTAGATTTGATACGATCTGGCCTTCGTGATAATTGAGAGTATTTGAACGTGGATGACAGTTGTATGTAAGCAAGTTTAGGCTCAGTTGGAGGCAGAAGGTGTACTTCTGCTTAATCGAATTACAATTATAGACGTCTGGCTCTCCTGGCCCTGGAACCCAAACCAGCATTGAGGGGGCACTTCCTTAACTTGGGGAGAGGCAGAGTCTGTACCTAGGTGACCTTGAGCAGTGTTACTTCCACTGGCTTTCAGTCTTGGAAAGCCTGTCTGCATCCAAGCCTGAGAAAGAGAAAGGGGAAGCTAAAGATCATCTTCCCGGGAAAGCGTTAGGTAGTTGACTCAATAAACAAAATGTGGGAAAGGAGCAGTTCAGATACGACTTGACCAACTTCTGAGACCCAGTGACAGAGAGCGTACGAGGCATGTATACTATTGGATACAAAAGTGAGATACCAGTGGTCATATGGAGCTTCAGGATCGGAGCTCCGTGGCGCTATAAGTCATAGAAGAAAGTTCCTGGTTAAAGAACAGAATGGATGAATTCTCAGGGTCAGGCCAGAGAGAAAGGAAGAGGGACTGTGAACCGAGCTGTGGTCTCAGAGAAGAAACTTCTGGCCACGCGTACTCCCCAGATCCGGCCAGCACTGTGTGGCAATCTGGCTGGCAGGAGTTCTTCCTGACTCCTCTGTCATGTCCTGGATGCAGGGGTCCATGTGATTGGACTTAAAAAATGTTTTTGCATCTACATGTATTTTTGTGCCCCAAACAAGCTTCCGCATTACCTGTGGATTATCCGTTTTCATTCAATAAAGCATGATTTTTAAAGTCATCTCCTTGGCAACACTCTGTAAGCCTGGTTAGAGTTAAGGTTGCTGCAGCAGCCCATTGTATTGAGGTCCTACTGTGTGCAAGGTGGGGGGGTGCTGGTTTAACTGCTTTTCTGCATTTTCTTTCATCATTACTGTGTCAGAATGGCTGTGGTCTTCTCACTGAAATTAGTGAGATTTTGGTTTCCTTGAGTTGTAGTCAGTTCTTTCGTGTTTACTAATTTAAACCATTTGAAGATTGAGTCGATGTCTGACTCTTCAGGAAAAGGAGGTGATCGGAATGCATGCGTGTGGGCTTTCTGTGTTTGTGATTGGAGTGATCTCTCTTGTCCTTAGAAATCGAGCGGAGTTCCTGTGCCACATGAAGCCCAGTGAGGGGAAGCCGCCTTCTTCGGGGCCGGCGTCTGGGTCCTGGACGCTAGTAGATGAAGGAGGAGAAGAGGTAACCCATCATGTCTGCATTATTTTGATTCATCATTTTGAGTTCTAAGCACTTTCCACATATGATCTCACTTAATTCTCCCAACAACCCTGTGAAGCAAGTACTGTTGTCATCCCGTTTTACAGTGGGAAAACTGAGGCCCAGGAGCTGAAGGAATTTGTTCCAAATCATTCAAGTCATACAAATGATTAAATGGCGGAGCCTCTACCGCCTCTGCTCCAATCCAGTGTGCTATGCTGTCACCCTTTTCTAGAACATCTCCTTGTTGAGTTGGGAGGATTTAGAACCTGGGAATATTTACAGATTATATAAACTTTGTATTAGGATTGTATTTTTTGTGGTAACAGTTTTCTAGTCTTAGGTTCTCACCTACAGATTATCTGAGTCTGGTTAGTAAAGAGCTGAGCACACCAGAGTTCTGCCTTAACTTACAACTTCTTATCCAGATCTTCTCATTTGAAAAGTAGAAGATGGTTGTCTGTTTTTGGTGAGAATTTAATGATCAAAATCCAATTTCTCAAGAAAACCCTCATTAATTTTTCCTTCTACTGTAGTGGTTAGTATATCTGTAAGTTTTTTCTCCAGTCAGTTATTACTGAAGAATGGACGTGACCCAGATACACATAAAATTATAATTGCAATTTCAAGGATTTACAGCCCACGTATGAAACCGATCCTATAAATCTGTGTCCTGGAAGAGAAGTCCATGAATACTCATGAGACTACCGCACCTGTGTCATAGAGACTTTTGATAAGTTAGCTTCTGAAACTCTAGACTGTAGTGTCATCTGATCAAGTGGATGTGATTTTGCATCTTTTCCTTTAGGATGAAGACCCTGAGACCAGTTGGAGTCTCCTTAATGAAGATGACTTGGTTATCCTTTTATCACAGTTCCCATTTCATGAACTCTTTCAACATCTTCTTGGGTTTAAGGCAAAAGGTAGACTAATTTGTTTGGTCATATGTAAAATGTAGTGGCAGGATCAAGCACAGGAACCCTGCCTGCATCAAGTCTTATACCTTGTGCAGGCTCCTGTTCCGGTTCCCCTGTGCCTAGCAGTGCTCTGAAGAGGTGATTGCATCACATCTTGATAAAGCTTCCTTTCCATCTCTTGTGCTTGTAATTTCCTACTTAGTGTTTAAATGCAAAAAGAGTGACTAGTGAGCACATTGCCCAACTGAAATTGTTTTAATTTTGTACTTTGTTTTGAGTTTCCCATTTCTCATTGACATAGGAGCCAGAGCAATGGCGATTGTTAGTTCTTCTCCGCCCAGGCTTTGTTTCCTTATTGAGGTATCTATACGTGTATCTTTTGCTGTTTTTCCATAGTAATTGTAATTTTTTCTTTTCTCTGATTTTAACTGCCAGGTGATTATTTACCTGAAACAACAAGACCTCAAGAGATGATGAAAATTTTTGCCTTTGCTAACTCATTAGTGGAACTTCTGGCTGTGGGGTTAGAAACCTTTAATAGAGCACGCTATAGGCAGTTTGTGAAGCGAATTGGTCATATGATCAGGTAATAACTGCTGCTGGCACATTGTTTCTCTTTGCTTTCACCCTGGTCAGATATAGATACTGTGTCATTGGGATTAAGGACACTGTTGTATATGCTTCACATCTTAATTTATCATAAAAGTAAGAACTAGTTTTTTGCACCATCTACTAGATGGAAATTATATAAATGCTTCCAGTCAGAATATTTGGTTAATTATCTCAAATTTAACTGGTTTGCTTGATAATTGTTGTTGGAGTCAACATCCTCAAACTGTTACAATTCTCAGAATTATATTTCCAGTGTGTATGTATCTCTTTCATAAGCTTGTTTATCTAACTGCCTATTCAGCATCTCTACTTGGATGACTCATGAACATTGTAATTTAATATTCCCAAAGCAAACTCACTCTTCCCACCTTCCAAACTGCTCCTCCCACAGTCTTCTGTTTCACGCAGTGGCAACTTAATTCTTCTGGATGTTTGGGCTGACGCATATGGTGTCATTCCTGACTTTTCTCTGTTACACCCCACATCCCATCTAACAGCCAGTTCCATCATCTTTGCCTTCAAAACACCATCTTTTATCAAAGCTAAGATGTCACCAATTCTGAAGATGTATTTTGTGTGCCACTCAGAAAGGAAAAATGCTGCCAAATTATGGCATGCCACCAGTCTTATCATACATTCCAGCTGCCGAGATTAACACGGGAGGGATATGCATCCCTTTGAATAATAGAACAGGCTATTTCCAGAACGCAGCTCCTCACCACCTTCACGACTACCACTCTGGTTCATTCTTAGTTATTTCTCCCTGGTTATCACAGCGGCCCCTTTACTTACCTTCCTGCTTTTGCCCTTGCACCTCCTTCACCCCACCTCCAGCTTATTCCCATGTCAGCCAGTGTTCCCTGAAAATAGTGAGTCAGCTCACGTCTCTCCTCTGCTCAAGACCCTGCTGCTCCCAGTCTCAGTCAGAATAGAAGCCAAAGTCTTCACAGGGGCCTCCAGGCCCCTCCGTGGTCTGGTTTTCGTCACTTGTCTGATTTCCCCTGCAGCCAGCCCCCCTCTCACCCACTTCGCTCTGGCACACTGGCTGCCTTGCTGTGTCTCCGACGTGCTGAGCACAGCGTGCAGCCTTCGCCCTGGTTGTGTCTCCTGCCTTGATGCTCTTGCCTCCGATATCCCCTTGACCTCCCGCTGTCGTGATCGCACGTCCCTCTTCAGTTTTAGGCATTTCCTGCTCCCATCACCTCTCCTCCCATCAAATCCAGAGAAACTTTATTCTCCTCTCCAATGTATTTTTCCTTGTGTCACTTAACACCATGTGGCAGACTATATATTTTACTTACTTCGTTTATTGTCTGTTTGTCCTAACTAAATGTAAGCTCTGTGGAGGTAGGGCCTCTCTACCTCCTCCTGTTGAATTTCCTTCAGAACCGAGAAGATGATGGGTGTTCTGTAACCATGTGTTGAATAGATTAATGCTTCAAACATAACTAAAGCTGCCGACCCTGAGCACATTGATGAGGCGTGCTGTATTGTTTTTCCTCATCCTCAGGATGACCCTTGGTTATGTGAGTGACCATTGGGCACAGTATGTGAGACACAACCAAGGTGTGGGGTTGGCCCTGGAGCCCTACTCCGTGGAGAAACTACAGGTTGAGTTTGATGAGCTGTTTCTGAGAACTGTCCTGCACGTGCTGAAAGCCAAAAGGTAAGGAGTGTGATGGTAAGTGTCGAGAAATGGCTCCCTGGCTAGGGAGAAAGATTGACATGAAAGTATTGACCGAAGTTGATTTCTTCTGATATCTTAATGTATTTCATGTATTTCTTATCTTGGGCAAATTCATGGACTAAAGTGCCCTTAACTGTAGTATTGACTGAAAATGATCTCTCAGGTTTCTGTTAGTCTTAAAATAACTGGATTCTGAGATCTAGCTTTGGCACCCCTGAATGTTTGGGGTAACCTTAAGCAGGGGATGAATCCTTTTTCACATTCATTTCTGGTGCGTACAGTGTGGCAGAGTAGGTGCTCAGTGCACGGCACAGGTGGTTTTCTGACTTGATTGTTGAAGTTGCCTTTCTCCGGAGGTTTTAAGGTCCAGGACGGTCCTGGGTCCTGGTCCTCCGCCTTGGCTGTTTAAATGCTGTCTCCTGATCATGCTGTCTTTGCTGCTACTTACAGCCTAGGTTACAGTTGAGGCAGAGGCAGGGGCACAGCAGCACACCCAGTACGCTGAGCCTCTGGCCAAGTGTGGGAGTGGGTTCTTCCGGCATCATTGTGCCCCCTGCTGGGAGAGGAGCGCAGCCCTCCAGCCCCACCCAGCTCCACGTGTGAACTGCCACCTCTCCCCATCCTTGTCATCTTCTGAGCTTTCTACACTTCTCTGACCCTGGGCCTCTTAGCCTCAGCCTCTTATCTATTTTGTGTTGTGTAGTGGGTTCGAGTCTTGGTCTGCTATTTGTTCTTACCCTGGGGAAGCCACTTAATAGTTTATAGTCTCACTTTCTCCATTTATAAAGTGGAGATGATGATAATATACTATCTCTCCCATCAAGCTCAGGAAGGAGCTTCAACTATAGTAATATGTGGAACTAGTTTTTAAACCATGAAGGAGTTTTCAAATGTAAGTGGTGGTTCTTTTGTGTTTTCAGATGAAGACTAAGATAACTGCTTGCTTAGAGAAAGAGCAAGACTCCTTGACTAAATTTTAGTCAGTTTCAGGCACTCAGAAGGTGTGGGTCTAACGTAAATAGAACTTAGGCTTTGAAATTTATCTTCAGATTATTCTTGGCCCTGGCCGGCTAGCTCAGGTGGTTAGAATGTCATCCCTATACGTCAAGGTTGTGGGTTTGATTCCCCAGTCAGGGTACATGCAAGAAACAGCCAAGGAGTGTATAAATAAGTGGAGCAACAAAGCAATGTTTCTTTCTTTCTCTCTCCCCCTTGCTCCCCAATCAATAAAAAAATTAGAATGCTCTTGTTATACGTTCTATATTGTCCACAAGTTTGGTGGTCTCAGGAGGGGTCAGCCCAGGAGCACCTGCGCATTGAAGCTGGCCTGCTGTGGAAGAGTCTGCTCTGCCTTCCTGCTGCTTGGGTCTTGTGCTTGCTGAGCTGAGCAGGAAAGCTCTCACCATAGTTACTTCCTACTTCCTAGCGTTGTTTTTTTTTTTTTTGAAACTAACTTTAAATTTTATTTTTCAATTGCAGTTTACATTCAACATTATATTAGTTTCAGGTGTGCAACAACTTACTAGCTCATATTCTGAGCTGTGAATCCTCCTGTAACATTGTATGTATATAATTTACATATACAATAACTGTTTTAAACTTTAAAATACTGAAAACTATTGTTCTTGAGTATAGTTTATTATAGGAATTTATTTTGGGAAGAAATTATATGAGAATTAGGTATTTAAGGCCATGAAATTTAAATTTATTGGGCATTCCAATGGAAATTTCTGACAGTGGCTATCCCCCCGCCTAAGACAAAACAAATCAAAACCAGAGTACACAGAGCAGAAACCTAAGCCAGACTCACTGCATGTCTGCCATATAGGAATTTCGTAGCCTACAACAAGGTGTCTACATTTCCCCTAATTGTTTTGGGATCCGTTATACAAGAAAGTCAAGTCCCATGTGAGGTGTTACAATAATTAAGAAGCCAGGCCCACCTGAACTTTAAGAGAAGTTTTTTTCAGCTCTTGCTCAGGAGTCTAGCTTTTGATTTTCAGAGTCCAGGGCAGTGGTAGTTTGGACCACTAGTGATCTGGTAGCCCATTGATATGGGTGAGGCATACGCTATTTATCTTAGTTGTCTTTTCAATTAATAAGCCTTGTTGATTTTTAATTGGTCAGTTTGTAATTTTGCCCAAAATATAACAAAAGCTTTGAGAGTCCCCCTATTTTATTTAGGTGTTTCTTTTTTTAGATAAAATTCACATAGCATAACATTTTTATAAGCATTTATTGAATGTTGATGTTTTTGAGATACTGATTCAAGCACTGGATAATTAAAGTGTAAGACTCTAGATTACATACTGGTTTATACAAAGATGAACAAAATCTAATTTCTGCTCTCAAACTGTTGTGGCTAGTGTGTGTACCTATATTACAGAACTGAGAGCTAGTTCTCACTGTGTAGTTTAAGGACCACTTGAGTCTGAGGCCCTGGGGTGACTAAAAAGTAGTCACCCCAATTTGACCTACAAAATTAGGATTTCTACAGGCTGGCTTTTGTAATCTGCATTTCCCACAAAGACTGAAGGTGATTTTTCTGCCACCTGCTGCTGTGTGAGAACCACTGATAAAGGGAATGATAATGCCAAAGTCAGGTATGGATGGCATTCTGTAACCGTGCGGAGGAGGACAGCAGAGAAGAGCTTCGCAAATGGAGGGCTGGTAGCTTGGAGGCAGGAGGCCCTCTCCAGGCTTGTGCCCGAGTGGTCTAACCTGAATGCAGAGACGACTCTGGTTGGAAATGTGGGTCTGAGCTATATTGTGGAGGCCTTTGAATGCAGGGCTGAGGAGTTGGAACTTCACTTGGAGATGAGTGAGGAGTCACTGAAGAGTTTTTGATTCCCCTCTCACCCACTACACATGTACCTGTACATTTGCTCAGGCACACACACCCACATCGATGCAGACTCTCTGTCACTCAGGTCTTAAAAGAACCTTTGGTTCAAAACCCAGCTCTGCCTCTTACTGTCTCCCTTTAGCAGCCTCATGTGTGAATTGGGATAATATTGATAGTAGTGGTTGCCTTGGTTTTAGTGAGGAAGGAATGAGGGGATAAAACATGAAGCAGCGATTAGAACAGTATCTGGCACAAACTAAGTGCTTTGTATTTCCCGTTACACTATCTATCCTCAAGGTGTTTATAGCTGAGATGTGTTAGAAAAATTGCTATAGTATGATTTAAAAATTTTTTTTTGTCAGAACTGAAGGTTTACTTTCTCAGTGTGGTGAGGTTGACTGATAATATAAATAAAACTCTTTCTACTCTTTTAAAACATGCAGACTTGGCATTTGGCTGTTTATGTCAGAAATGCCTTTTGGAACACTGTCGGTCCCGATGCTCTGGAAGCTCTTCTACCTCATGCACCAGGTGGAGAGCGGGAACCTGGAGACTCTCTGCACTGCCCTCCCGCCAGCAGAGTGCAAGAAGCAACTCCAAGGTAGAGCCTCACCGCAGTGGGCAGCATCTGTGCCTGTCATCGTTGCTTGCTCCTCTTTACTCTTAGAAAGACTGAGAATGTTTTACTTTGTGTATTTGTGTGATAATTTTGAAGTTCAAGAGACTGTGGTTTTTGACATATTAGAATATAATTCCAATTTTCATTACTTTAGAAATGCTCCGGGTAGTTGTTTCTATGGAAAACCCAATTTGTGGATAGGAAATGAAAATTGAGTTGATAAATGCTTTGCAAAGATAATTTGAAGATACAGGAAATTTGATGTCCTCCCTTTTTCTCAAATGTGTAAATATATGAAAAGCATTGTTGGCTTGTTGCTTTCTTACTGTGAAAATGTCTATCAAGGGAATATATTTTCTAAGATTTTTTTCCCCTGCATTCCTCTGTACAACTTGCCTTTGAAGCATTTAATTTTGTTATATACTGCAAAGCTGTTGATCAATACTGCCCCCTAGTGACAAAATGTAATGTTGCTTACAGAGCATCCTCTGAGAAATAGACAACTGTGTCACATTTCATTAGTATTTCAGTTATTGTTAATAATTTCAGTTATTAATATAATTAATTTCTTGTCTGAAATTTTCATTTATAATCAAATATCCTTTGTTTGGAATGCCATGCTTGTGCTGAGTAGTTTGCCAGTCTTAGTGGTTTTGATTAGCAGGGCTGTCGTTCATTTGCCTGGCAAGTTATCAAGTAGCTTCAAGCTGCCATTTGAAGATGTCTCACCTAGTGACAGTACTAATGCTTTTTAGTTGACAAAGCACTTTTCTAGTGAAATGTCATTTAATCTTAAATAACCTTTGGATGAGGAAAGTGAGGCTTGGGGATGTTAAATGTCACCTGAGGCTACATTATGTTATATTTAAAGTTGGCCCCGCCTTCTTCCTCTTGGTGTCTGTAGAAATCCATTCTAAAGTTTACGAACATGTATACCCCTGTGTACACAGCAGAGACCCAGGAACACTGAGTAACTTCAAGAAATAACTTTTGTATCTTAAATATTTCTGAGCATCTTTTAATTTTATATTTTCTTTCTCTCTGAAAGAGTAATTAAAGTGATATATATTTATTCATTCTCCATTTTAATTCTCTTGATGTGAACCTGCAGACCCAGAACATTTTGTGAACTTTGAGAAGTGTCTTTCTTCCATGAATAGCTCGGAAGAGATTTGCCTTCTGACTGCATTTGCTCAGATGGCTCAGGCCAGAAGAACCAATGTGGATGAAGACTTCATAAAAATTATTGTTCTGGAGATATATGAGGTTAGAATATTATGTTTTAGAAGCCAGCTAAAAAATATTTTCTTTTGATTGTCCACTCACTGCCTCTTTTGGGAATGCTTTAAAAAAATAAAAGTGACTACTGTTTACTGTCTGCACTCATGGGAGCAGATAATCAACAGAACATCATTTTGCTATAAGGAGTATTGAAAATACGGATCATACCCATTCCATTTCCCCCTACTATTTCTTGACCTTTGGTACTTAAGTTTTGGTAAGGAGTAGACAACCTGACATAGCCCGACCCTCGTAGTTTTTATACTGTCTGTTGTCTCCGTCCTCCTCCCTCTGACCCTGCCAGGAATGTGGAATGCTGGTGGTTAAGTCAGTTTAAATAAGATGAGGGAAAGAATACTGAACATAGAAGGCCTGGAATTGTTTTAAATCTGCTGTTAATTGTCCATCTCACATCAGAAAAGATACCTTACCATTCTGGGCTTCAGTTTCCTCATCTATAAAATGACAGGCTGGGATGAAATTCTCATTTTCTTCACTTTTTCACTGAGCCATCCCTAGCAGTGGAGGAGAGTGAACTTTGGACCCCCAAGTGTCTAGGGGCATAACACAAAATGGTTACTAAAACTTTCATTGAAGTTTTGTGTATATATATATAAAAACAAACCCATGTATATTTTCAGTTTAGGTTGTCACTTACCTGCTTATCTTCAAAAATAAGTATTTCCTCCATACTGTACAAGTAAAGTTATGTCCCAAGAAGGTTCTCTGAGGTTATTATCCTCCACCCAATACTCCAATTTGAGAATGGCAGACTGGATGAGTTCTTTTCCAGGATCTAATACTCTATGAAGCTATTCTTATACTTGTACGTTGTAACCATGCATGAGGTTAAGGCCTGGATGGATCTGCAATTCCAAACTATCTCCATGTGGTGAAAAAATTACTTTACATTAAAATTGCTTTATCACTGGATCTTGGCATTCTCCAGACCCTAAAGTAATACTTACGCTCTTGAATAATGTTTCAAGTGTCTGACCAGTACTCACAGTGAAAATTACATTCTGATGCTGTGTGTGCATGTGTATAAGTTCTTGCATGAAATTAAAGTAAGACTTAATTTTAGGTGTATGCTCTCACATTTTTCTATTCTATTTTATTCATCTATTATATTTCTGTTCTATTCCATTGTATTTAAAAAATAATGTTTGCCATTGGCACCAGTGGATTGTAACCTATAGTTTGGAGACATTCTTCAAGAGGAATTGGTAAACATTGATATTTTAGGAGCTCTTGTAGTTGGGGATCTTATTTTGTAGGAGAGAATGCGTATTCCCTTGAAATGCCTTCTGATTTTTATCATTTTTTAAAAATTTTATTTATTTTTAGAGAGAGGGGAAGGGAAGGAGAAAGAGAGGAAGAAAAACATCATTGTCTGGTTGCCTCTCATGTGCTCCCTCCTGGGAGTGGCAGGCATGTGCCATGACTGGGAATTGAACCAGTGACCCTTTGGTTCACAGGCTGGTGCTCAGTCCATTGAGCCACACCAGCCAGGGCTGATTTTTATCATTTTAGTGATTTCCTCAATTTTTAAAAACTTTTAACACTGAAGGGACTATTTTATTGCTAGTTCAGGATATACTTTCTAAACCCAGCTCTTAAGTCATTATTACATAGTTACCTTTCCTTTCCATTCCCTCTCTTCCCACCGTCCAGCCTCAGGGTACAGGTTTGTTCTTTGACATCTTTTTGAACATTATGTGAACTAAGGCTGTGCCTTTCTACTTTACTTGAAAACGTCCTAAGTAAATTATGGAAATGTGTTTTGACTGATAATTGGTATTAAAGGTGCCATTTCTACCCCCTCCCACGTTTAGGTATCTTATGTTACCTTGTCCACCAGAGAGACTTTTTCAAAGGTTGGTCGAGAGCTTTTAGGGGCCATCACAGCGGTTCACCCTAAGATCATTTCTCTTCTTTTGGATAGAGTTCAAGACACCATTGACCAGGTTGGAATGGTAAGAGCACTGCTTTTGTTTATTTGTTTACTTGTTTCGTCTTTTCCCCTTTTAAATCCTGGAGTAATGGAGCAATGGGAGAATTAGTAAGGTTGTTGGGAATGACTGAGTCATGGGCACAGCAGAATGAAGAGAACATGTATTGTGTTTCAGGCTTTGTGCCATCCACCTGCCTACTTGGGATTAGCTGCTGCTTATAAAAAGCTGTGATTTTTTTCTTTAGTATCCTCAAAGGAGGACGTTTCTACCTCCTTAATATCAGGTTTCAAATAATTATAAGCCTATGGTTTATTAACAGTTTTTATTTCATAATTTTATTTGGCTTTTATAATTTTCTGTTTTATCCTTGGAAGAAACAACTGTGATTAAGAAACAAGACACTATTTAAATTAAAAGCAAAATTAAAAGCAATAGTTGAAGTTGAGCAAGACACATATAGTTTCTGTCATTTGTCACAATCACATTCACTTTTGTAACTTTATGTAGTTTTTAGTAATAACTTTATTGATATAATTCATATGCCATACAGTTCATCTATTTAGAATGTACAAGTCAGTGTTTTTTAATATTTTCATAGAAATATGCAACCATTGCCACCGTCAATTTTAGAACGTTTTTATCATTTCAACAAGCAACCACATACCTGTTAACTATTAGACTCAGTGGTTCCATTCCTCTAGCCCTAAGCAACCACAAATCTACTCTCTGTTTATAGACTTAACTATTCTGTACATTTCTTATAAATGGAATTATATAATATGTGATTTTTTGTGACTAGCATCTTTCCTTAGCAAACTTTCCAGGTCCATCCATGTTTAGCAGGTGCTTCATTCTTTTTTATGGCCAAATAGTATTCCATTGTCTGGATGTACCATTTTAAAAAAGCATACACTTAGGATATCCTTCATCACCTATGATAAGGCTATAATTTGTGAGTTTTTCTAATGACAGATTGTCGTGTGTCATAACTTCAAGAGAAATGTTTAATGTAATAGTATTTTTCTTTGGGCCTATATTTACAAAAGGCCTTCTACGTTATAGTCACAGTAGGACAGGCGACTGATAACTGTTATTACTTTGTCACATTCATAAGTGGGCAGATTCCAATGAAAGATTGGCTTATGAGACTTTTTTTCCTACATGAAGAATAAATAATATATCATGCTTTCTTTGGAAAAGTACGTGGGAAAAGTACATTAAAATTTTTTAATTGCAGTAAATTATATACAACATAAGATATACCATCTTAACCATTTTTAAGTGTATCGTTCAGTACATTGAGTACATTCACATTGTATTGCTACCTACCATCACCACCATCTGCCCACAGAACTCTATCATCTTGCAGAACTGAAACTATACCTATTAAACAGTAACTTCCCATTTCCTCCTCCCTCCACCCTACACTGTCCGTCCAGCCCAGCCGCTGGCAACAGACATTCCCCTCTGTCTCTATGTGTTCTAGGTACCTCATGTAAGTGAAATCATATGGTATATATCTTATTACGACTGGCTTATTTCACTTAGCATGATATTTTCAAGGTTCACGTATATTCTAGCATGTATCAGAATTTTCTTTCTTTTCAAGCCTAAATAAAAGTTGTATGTATATACCATATTTTGTTTATCCATTCATCTGTTGATGGCTACAGATTGCTTTTACCTTTTGGTTCTTATGAATAACTTTGCAATGAATGTGAATGTACAAATATCTCTTTAAGACTCTGTTTTTATTTCTTTTGGGTATGTACTCATAAGTAGAATTATGGGATCATATGGTGATTCTATTTTTAATATTTTTTTTTATTGTTTTCCAAAGTGGCAATTTGTTAGTACATGGAACTTTGCATTCATTGCATTCCACTGCGATATGATTATATTGAGATGAAAGGTTCTTTAAAAGAGCAATACAGGAGCATGTTTTTGGTTCCTCCTTTTTTGAGCAGACATCTAATGGAATGAATGCCAAAGAAATCTATAGTGGGTCATGTGATTCTTTCAGTTTGATTGAGCCTATGGCCTTTTTCTCTAAAGTGTTTTTCAGGGTTTGGCCACACTTACATTTTTAATTTGGTCATGATATTTCTAAGTAGTAAACTGTCCCCAGAGATATGCTTAACTCTACGTGTAAAAATTAGGACCATAATCTTTTTTAGTGCACATCTAAAAGGTGCCTCCACTCTTCATCTATACGTGTGGTTCCTGTGTGCTTTGTGAACTTGCTGACGCTTCTAGAGAAAACATGAATATAATTTAAAATACCCTATTTAAATTCTGTTTTGTTGAGAACTCTTAGTAGGATGTTCCCTCTTAATTGTTAGGCCATTAATTTCTTTCTTACCCTACTGCATTGACTATGTCCTTTATTATAATATTGAACAGAAATAGGGAGTGTGTACATTCTTCCCTTGTTCCCTCTCATAGAGGAAAGTGGTCAGAAGTTCACCATTAAGTAAAATATTAGTTGTAGGCTTTTCATTGATGCTCTGTATTAGGTTGAGAAAGTTTCCATTTCTAGTTTGCTCAGTTTTTTTATGAATGGTTATTCAATTTCTTTCTTTTTTTTTTTTGCATCCATTGAGATTATCTTATGATTTTTATCTTTCTATTAATGTGGTAAATTATACTGACTAGTTTTCAAATGTTGAAACATCTTTGTTCCTGGAATAAAAACCACTTGATCATGGTATATTATTCTTTTTATGTATTGTTAGATTCAATGTGATGCATAAAATCAGTGTTTTTGTTGAGGATTTTTACACATATATTCCTGAAGGATATTAATTTTTAATTTTTTTTCCTAATGTCTTTGCTAGTTGTTGGTTTTAAGGTTGTGTTTACTACATGGGTTGGGAAGCATTCCCTCTTCTTCTGTATTTTGAATTGCTATGTACCCATTGTCCAGTTCCAACAATTACCAACTCTTTCTTGATCTTGTTTCATTTTTAACTCCATCCACCTCTTGCTTCTCCTCTCTGTCTTGTTTTGAAGCTAATAGAAATATTTTTTAAAATGCCGCAGAAGAAATAATTTTTTTAAAGTGCTAAACCTTTTTGTAAAATAATGTGAAGGTGGAGAACCATCATATTTAACATGACATTAAATTTGGGTCTTGATATGGTGGTGTTCTCCAGAGGAATTATTCCAGTTGACATACTGAAAAAAAATTGACCTTTATAAAGTATTGCAAAATGTGCTTTTGGTGTATCATTATTTTTATTTTTATTTTATTTTCAATTATAGTTGACATTGAATATTTTATATTAGATGTATCCATTTTAATATTTATTTGATTTGATTGTCCTTTTCACTTATCTAAAAATCAAACAAAACCCCTCTTTTTGAGAAAAAATTTTGCAAGCAGTTTAATGATGTAGTATTATAGTGATATAGGATTGCTTCTAAGTTTTTTTATTTTAATTATTATCATTTTCTTTTCAATAAGGTGTCTTTATACTTGTTTAAAGAACTGCCTTTGTATCTTTGGCGACCTTCCGCCTCTGAGATAGCCGTGATTCGGGATTGGTTACTAAATTATAACCTGACAACAGTGAAGAACAAATTGGCTTGTATTATTCTGGAAGGACTCAACTGGGGATTTAATGTACAGGTATGTGTTAAAACCATTCTCTAGTGATATTCAACCTTTTTAATCTCATTGCACATAAAGTAATTACTAAAATTCTGTAGTACACCAGAAATATATTTTTTGCCAATCTGACCAAAAAAAAAAATAGGTATAATTTTGATTTGTTCACACTGGATGGCTATTGTTGTGTTGGCTGTTGTCATTTTTTATTTGACAGTCTAAGGGAAAAGACGTCAATGCTCCTGACTAAATAGTAAGGTATTGCATGGTCTAAAAATTCTTGTGGCTCTAGAAACTGTATATTCTATACACATCCTTTTCAAAGAAACATTTTCTCAAAACATTAACATTTCCAAGTGTTATTTGCAAGGTTTGCATTTTCTTGTAGCTGTGTCAGAGTTTAGAATCTTCTCTTTAATCCTGTTTTGCATACAGAATATCCTCCGTATGAAGATAAGTTGTTCCACACTGAAAATTCTTCCTTTTTTCTTTAGACGATTTGTATCTGCTGTTTTCTCGGTGGCTATTTACTGCAGTTCTTCCTAATTACCTCTCCTGTTTCTGGTCCTTCTTCCTCCTGCATTTTGTCTTGCATGTTATTTCAGATTAGTTTTGTGAAACACTGCGCCTTGGTTATGAGCCTGAGCCAGCCCGCCTGGGTTCTGATCCCAGCTCTGCCACCTCCAGGCTCTGTGACCCTGAGCAAGCTTCTTGTGTTCTCTGGGCCTCAGTTGTCATCTCTAAGCATCAGTACTGATAAGCTTACTTTAGAGGGTTGATGTAAGGATTCTTTAGCTTAGGACATGGTAAAACAGTATGGTTTTTGACATACATTAAGTACTCAGTGGTAGTAGTTTTCATTAATAATAATTCATTATTTTGAAGGTCTTGCTACTTATTATGTCTCCAAAGTGTCAGGTGAAGTGTTTTTGACTGTTAAACCCTTCCTGTTTCTTTACCCTGTGCCTTAGTGGTTGCCCTCCTGGGTCAAAATAGACAAGCATTTTAAAGGGAAAACAGGAGAGAACTCAGCCCTCTTCAGCTTTTGTTCTGAGCACGTCACTAGTCCTGACAGCCATTGTCAGTGATGTGCATGAACATGACGCCTGTTGTATAGATGAGGACACTGGAGCCAGAGAGCTTTCCTCCTAGGGTGACCGTGACCACATGGGACTGCCCATAGGTTCATCTGGGTCTTCTTTCTCTCAAGAGCTGGTGGGTGAGCGCTGCAGGAAGCTGTTCTCTGCCTCCACATTCCCAGGTCCTCTTCCCTTATCTGCATGGAGATTCCCCCGTGAGAGTGTCCTTGCTCCCTTGTTAGAGTTAGAAAAGCCATTTTCTGTGAGAGAGTAAATGAATGGATTTCTTCAGGCTGCAGAGGAAGACTGGGTGGGAAATTTGATAGACAACTTTAGGCTCCTCAATATTTTACCTGAGTTGTTGAGTATTTTTTATATTTTCAATACTGATAGAACAAGAAAAGGAAATAAAAACTTTATTAAATATCTTCCTATTTAATAATAATTAAACATGTTCCTCATTTGGGGAAATGCCCTTAAACCTGTAACTTTATAGAGATTCTAGGGAAGGGGAGGAGGATTACATCAAAGATAACTTTTATGCTGGAATCTTGGATGATTCAGTTCTGAACCTATGTTGGTACAACATGATGGTTCTTTAAAACAAGACTTTAATTTTTTTTCCTATTGTCATTTTATAACTTAATAGTTAGGGAATGTGATTTTCGGGAAATTGAGCTTCTGCATCCAAGATTCTTTTTCACTATTCTGCCTAGTCTTCTGGTTCAAAAATAAGGACACACACACACACACACACACACACGCGCGTATATATAAATTAAAATTGCATATTTGTGATTAATTTTCTCTTTAACAGGATATCCTTCATCTGGAGCAAGTAGTCCATGCTGAAGTGGCTTTAACAATTCTCGAAGCATACCAGAAATACCTTGCACAGAAGCCATATGCTGGGCTTCTTTCTGAAAGTATGAAGCAGGTATTTCCATCTCTGTATTGAGGACATATATCTTTATTATAAATAGCCTGGGGAAATCAAGTTACAGTATTTACTCTATGGTTGGATAAAAATTTTTCTTTAAGAAGCAGTCTACATATGATGATTTTAATATCATGGAATTTGAGTTGTGCTACAGTTGTGTGCTGGAGCTGGCTTGTACTCGCTCAGGAGAACTGATTGTGGACATTTTCAAGAACCTCTAAGCCAGGATTATCTATTAGTAGCTTGAAAGTGACCATGGTGGGAATTTTTTTAATCCACTAAAATTGGCGAATGGTGTGAATTAGCTTCTCTCACTCTCCAACTGGTTAAATTTACTTACCAGCACACCGTTTTTTGCCTGACTTTTATATTATTACCCTGTTGCTTGAGCTGACTCAGATCAAGTTCATAAAACGACTAGCAAGTAAGCAGAAGTGGTCACTTTGAGAGATTGCTTTGGTTTAGTATCACAAGCACAGAATACCAGCAAGTAATATGTCCTCTCTTCCGAGGGCATTGTTGATCACAGAAGGAGATGGTTGGGTGATCTTGCTGATTTAATGTGTATGTGACTAATGTAGTTTAAAATAAAAATTGTTCTAGGTTTCATACTTGGCCAGTATTGTTCGATATGGAGAGACACCTGAGACCTCATTTAACCAATGGGCCTGGAACTTGATCTTGAGGTTAAAACTTCATAAAAATGATTATGGAATACAGCAGAACTGTCCAGCAGTCCCCTTCTCCAGCACTGTGCCTGACATGACCGAGTCACCCACGTTTCATCCTCTCCTGAAGGCTGTCAAAGCGGGCATGCCCATTGGCTGTTATCTGGCCTTAGCTATGACGACGGTGGGCCACAGGTACCGTGTTTGGGCTGAAGCTCTAGGGTTGTTGAATCTTACAGTCACTGATTCTGGAATCTCATCTTTTACATCCCAAGGTCAGAGGACTCCATCATACCTGCCTAGGAGTCATCAGGGCCCAATCATAAGCCTGGATTAATAGCTTTTCAAGAGGGAAATGCTACCCAAATTAATAGGATACATTTATGCCAGAAAGTCACCTTGTTACATTATGAAGACTGTTGAACATGTCATCCAGAATGGAATGTTTATGTCAGCAGTAGATGTATTCTCTTCCTCAGAATAATGATCAAATAAAAATTATTGGTCACCTGTACAGAATTTTAAAGTGGATGGCAGCCCAACTCTGGTTCCTCAGCCAAAGGGCCAAACATGCCCAGGGACATGAAATGCTTGATGAGGTTACATACTTCTCTGTTACGAGCTCGTAGCTGTCTGGGTTGCTTCCACAGGAGCGTTTATCACACTCCTTGTAGTTGTCTGCTTAATTTTATCAGGGACCTTTTCTGAGCTTAGGACTTAGGAACTGTGTTCGTCTTGTAGTACCAGTAAATAACAATGAGTGAATGGCTTCTTAGTTGGTTAAAAATTACTTTCTTTAAAGACCATTTTCCTATGATGTTTTCTTTTTATTTTTTAGCCTCCTTAATTTTCTAAAACCTCTCTTGACCTGTGCTTTCTGGTTCTTGCATTTCAAACTCATTGTAGCACCTTCTTAGCATTCTGATTTCAATGTCATGTTCTACACTGAGTATATTTTCTATCAGCTGTTAGTGTTCAGCCCTCTGCTATACAGCAGGGAAGATACAGAGTTGTTAAAAAATGCCCTTAGGTTGTTGACAGTTTAGTGGAGATGGTAGACATAAAATAGTTGGCAGTACCAAGCAGGCCGAAAACATCTCTAGGCCTCAAAGGAATTGGAATCATTCGTGCCCCTGCCAGCCGTCCACTTTGGGGGCTGGGTTAATCTGAAGTGAAACAGGAAGCTAGCCTTGAGATTTGAAACTTGTCCTCCTCCCTCACATCCATCTCTTCCCCCACTTTCCTGCATTCTGTTCTATAGCACAGATCACAGTGATCACTTTTGCAAACTACATTTCCCAGATCCCAGCCAAATTGGTTCTTTTGGGGCCCCGCCAATGGGAGGCACAGGCTGGAGGCTGGAGGCGAGAAGCCAAATTATGTCGTCTTCTCTCTGTTTTTGGAGGTGTCTTTATCAGCGTCTGCAGTGACTCTGTGGCTGCAGCTGCCACAAGGCAGTGCTTTCCTCTGCAAGTCTCCAGACTATTCTAATGTACAATATAGATTGAGGGCCACTCAGCATGAGCAGGAAGAATTATTTATATATTTTTTTTATAAATAATTTATATTTTTTAATTACTTTTTTTTAATCCTCACCTGAGGATATGTGTATTGATTTTCGGGAGAGACAGAGAGGAGAGGAGAGAGAAACATCGATGTGAGAAACATCGATCAGTTGCCTCCCCTATATGCCCCAACCGGGAATTGAACCTGCAACCTTTTGGTGCATGGAACGATGCTCCAATCAGTTGAGCCACCCGTCCAGGGCAGGAATAATTTAAAGGAAGGAGAAGCGTTAGAGCACATTACCTGCATGGAGGAGCTAAGCTTTGGAGAGGAATCTTAGAGAAGACTTCTACAGAGCAGAGTGGTGACTCACCTTCTCCAGGTGATCTGTGCCCACAGTGTTGAAGATTTACCCCTTCCCACCCTGCAACTCCTGTGCATCCTGAGCAGCGCACTTTCTGTGCTGTAGTGTAAAAGTTTCTCCCTCGCCCTCCTTCAAGGTAAGGGCATTGTCTCATTCATCTTTGTATCTCCAGAACTTGAACTGAGTATGAATTTGATTGCATGAATGCAGAAAGGAGCCCCAGGTGGCTGAGGGGTTACGAGGAGAGGTGGGGTGATGATGAGGAAACACTCCTGACTGAAACCTGTGGTTCATGTTGGTGGATGGAGGTGATCAGGTAGGCCAGGAGGGCCAACCTGTGGACACATTTGAAGGCCAGGTAAAAGGGCAGAATTGATCTACTAGGAAGAGATTGTCTGGGCCTTTTGGAAGGCACTCTGCACTGATTTCCAGTAGCTCTGGTATCTTTCAGTTTTCTGTATCTCAGGTCTCTCATCTTTCAAACTGAGATAATAGTTTTGGACTTTATGAGGCTTTTGTGAATTATAATACATTTAACATGCCTAGAACAGTGTCTGGCATGTGAATTCTTTGAAGGTAGTGTTCTCAATATAATTGTTTCATGATTTCTCTAATTTTTTTTGATACCCATTTGGGAACTGTAGCTCTTTATTCATTGATACTGGTATAGGTCCTCTCTAAAGAGAAGTACTTGTTTAGTGCAAATTACTGAATTCTCAGTGTGAGTGAGGGTAAGGATAAGGGTTTTTCTTTGATCGTCTGGGATGTGATTATACTAGAACTAACTTAAGGCACTTTTATGAATGGGCTTGAGGGTTGGGGTAGAGTATGCAGGGGTACAAGTTGCACATGAATATAACATCACATACAGTTCGGAGGACAGCAGTAAAAAAATTCCCCAGAATTTTTCTCACCCTAAAACATTGTGTCTTGTTGTTTTTGTTATTTTTGTGCAGTATTTTTCCTTTGATCTTTTTTAGAGCTATAATATATGCCACTGCAACAACAATGAGCATTTTGGTGCCATTCATTCCTGTGTTTTTTACCCGTTTGTATAATTCTTTTCCACTAGTAGTTGTAGTCAGAAGTATAAAATTTTATGTTTTGTTCCCAGTATTGTTATAGCAGAAGTATTTTTCCATGTTGCCCTTGGCCATCATATGCATTGTTTTAAAATTGTGCAATAATATTCCTATTGAATGGATTTTCCCAATATTTCCATGTCATTTTGGCCTCTGAGTTTGCGATTATAGTAATTCTGTAAAGTGCATTTTTACATGGGTTATCTCTCTTTTTATTTTTCTATATGTGAGGTTATTTCTTAAGGATAGATTTCTCTGGAGTAAAAAAAAAAATAAGTAAATTTTGATGCCAAGTGGGTTTGAGAAGACTTTTGCCGGAGTTTACTGCCAGATTGAGCTTACTTTTGAATCTTCTCTTTGCTGTAAATACCTTGTGGGACTTGCACATGATGAGAGTCTCTTGACTTTTAGAAGAAGCACCATTTAAGAAACAAAAGAGGGTAGCAGCAAGTGCTCTGGACTAGAAATTTTCAAACCTGGGTTCTCATTTTGACCCTATACTAAGAAATTAGGTGAATTTGGGCATGATACTTCACCTTTCTCATCTATAAAATGAAAATATAAATGAACTTTTAAGTTCCTTTGTACTTCCAGAGTTCTGATTCTCATTTTTCATGTGTGAAGCTTGGTTATGCAAGAACGTGTTGGAGAATGGTCCTGGTAGCATGTAGGCTGACAGCTCATGGCAAGAACATCATTTTATGGACTGGCTACCTTGCATGCTCATTGCGTTTGTCTTTTTCCATAGCATTGAGAAGTTCTGTGCAGAAGGCATCTCACTGTTGGGAATTCTGGTCCAGTCGAGGCATTTGAGAACAGTGGTCCATGTCCTGGATAAGATTCTGCCTTTGTTCTACCCTTGCCAATATTACCTTCTGAAGAATGAGCAGTAAGTAGAGAACAGCTCAGCAGGTACAAAGGACTGTCTCTGGTTTCTGTGTGCCACCACCACCTGTATCGTGGTGGGCAAAGCTGGCCAGGCATTGCCCTCGGACACACAGGAAGTTATCCAGTCTTGAGGATGTAGTTACTGATTTTAAGGACCATGAAGGAAATCAGCAGGGTGCTATGAGAGAGGTTAATGGGTTGGAAGATCATGAGAGGAGTCAGGAAGTGTCCTCTGAGAAAGAGAGACTGCAGGTGAGATGCGAGGAATGAGTAGGAGTTTGCCAGGTAGGTATGGGGAGTGTTTCAGGCAGAAAACCAGCAGAAGCAAGGGCCCTGAGAGAGGAGGCAACGTGGTACGCCCAGGGAACTGGGGGCACTGCCATGATTTCATTGTGGGGGAATCTTCCACAATGCCTCATATGCCAACTGTGTGAAGTTGATACCCAAGAAAATATTGTGGAATGATTTTATAAACATTTCTGCTTTTGTTAGTGGAGGTGGAGAGTGTAGAGGGGATACTGGGGCAATCGTGGGTGTTTTTCTCCCGTCCAAGTACTAACCAGGTCTGACCCCTGCTTAGCTTCCGAGATCAGATGAGATAGGGCGCATTCAGGGCGGTATGGTCGTAGACGGGGTGTTTTTCCTCAGATGCCCTTTAATATGCACACATTTCTGTGTCTTGAGTTTATTAACTATACTCCTCCAGGTAGATAGAGTTTCTTTTAACCCACATGAAATTGGAAAACTTTATTCTTTGAAATTTCTGAAGATTTATCAGAATCTCTAAGTAGAGCTTTGGTCTAAAAATGGGACTGTTTTGATATTTTTCTGTTTTCTCATAAGTAATTAGACCCTGGAAATTCTGTTGACTTCTATCGGAAGATAAAGTGTGTTGTCCTATGTGTTGGCAGGTTTTTGTCACACCTCCTTCTGTTCCTGCACTTGGACAGCGGCGTCCCTCAGGGTGTTACGCAGCAGGTCACCCACAAGGTGGCACAGCATCTGACTGGAGCCAGCCATGGGGACAACGTGAAACTTCTCAACAGCATGATCCAGGTCAGGGCCCTAGTAAGCCCCTAAACACACCCTCACCTCCCTTTCTAGTCAGATATCCCTAGTGCTAGCACATTGATGTGTTGGTCATTTCAGGGCACCTGGCACAGTACTTTTAGTCAAGAAAGTCAGCAGATTTGGGTTTGGGAGTGGAAGCAGATATTATTTTATTAGTGTTTTAAAAATGCGAGGTTGGTTATTACCTTTCACCTTACCTGGGTCCTTTCTCCGTAGGCCCACATAGCTGTAAGCACTCAGCCCAATGAAGTGGGCCCCATTGCCGTATTGGAGTTTTGGGTTCAGGCTTTGATAAGCCAACATCTTTGGTATCGAGAACAACCCATCCTCTTCCTTATGGACCACTTGTGTAAAACAGCTTTTCAGCTGATGCAGGAGGACTGTGTTCAGAAATTACTCTACCAGCAACATAAGGTAAACCTGCTAGAGATTTTAGGTTTTAGTCCTTGGCTAGACAGTAGCCTTGTAAGAATCTTCTCCCAAATACAGCATTCTCAGTACTCACTGTGGCCACTGAGTAAGCTTGCTGCAATGGTGCCCTACCTCAGTAACCATAGTCCATCAGCTCAGATCCCCATAAAGCCAAAGGACTATCTCCTTCCCTCCTCGGTTACATTTTGGCTGTAATACACTTCCTGGATCTGTCACTGCTGGTGGACTAATTAATTACTGAGATCCGTGTCTTACAAGAACCTTCCATTGTAGTAAGACAGTTGCTGATATCCCTGAAAAGGTCATGAATAAGGTTTTTTTCAAAGCCTCCTCTCTCTGCTCCACATCCTCTCCCCGGTGTAGAATGCTTTGGGTTACCACTGTGACCGGAGTCTGCTCTCTTCCCTGGTGAGCTGGATCGTGGCAGGCAACATCACTCCATCCTTCGTGGAGGGCTTGGCCATGCCCACTCAGGTAGGAAGCCCTCTCAGGACCATTGCTTATCTCAATGAACTTGAATATTGTTATCATCCTTACTAGTGCATTATTACTAGCCTAACACAAATAGCATTTATTTAGCACTCACTAGGAGAATACTTTTTTACTTCATCCCCGCAGCAGCCCTCTGTGAGGTGGCACTGCTGCTCTTTCTCTTTTTCGGAGGGGTTAACAGAGGTTTAATGGCATTAGTGGCTGGCTCAGGGTCAGACCACAGCTCGTGATCAGACCCAGTCTGCCCGACTGCACAGCCTGCCCAGCCCCATGACCGAGTGGTTGAGAGTGGACCCTGGAGCCAGAGGGTTCTGCCATTTGCCAGCGCTGTGCCTTGGGCAGCTTGCTTACCTCTATATCCTCCGTTTCCTCAACTGTCAAAGGGGAATAATGGTTGCACTGACGTGGAAAACATGAGAATAGTGCTTAGCATATAGTGCCTACTAGGTGTTGGCTATTGATTATTGTTGTTGTCATTGTCATTAGCACATTATTTTCATCATTATTACCACCTCTCAGACTTTGTGTTGAATTATGTCCATTTCATCACTTAACCCAGTAATAACCTCCTTCAGCCTCCTGTCGCAGTCTTACCTCCTGCGTATGCCTCTTGTGATCTGGCTGAAGCCAGCTCCTGGCTGTTACCTGCATACATCTTTGCCTTTGCCCAGCTGATTGTCTTAGCAGGCATTTTTACCCACCAGTCTCTATGTAGAGCCTTCTCTGATCCCGCCTTCCCTCCTCTGGCCTCTCTTAGTGCTTTACCTCTGATACGGTAGTCACCACTGCTCACTTCACATTTGGTTACTTATATTTTAGTCTTTTCTCCTAATAGATGGGAAACTTCTTAAGGGCAGAGCTGTGTCTGGCCCTTTTTCCTGTCTCCTGTGCATACAGAAACCACCCACCAAATATTGTTGAGCAAACAAACATCCTTTCTTACTAAAGAAGAATTTAACATTTTTTAGTGGTCTATTTTATCTCAATTTATATCTGTGATAAGGATACAGAGTGGTATGAAAATGTGTTAATTTTAGAAACCCTAAATATTTGTCAATTGAGATCTGCTATAGAAAAGCTGGTAGTTTGTGGAACATTAGGCTGTGTTTTGTTTGTCCAAGTGAGTTGCTGATTCCTGTCACTTTTACCTTCTTACATTGTAGGTCTGGTTTGCATGGACTGTCCTGAACATGGAATCCATATTTGAAGAAGATTCTCAACTCCGAAGAGTTGTTGAAGGGGAACTGGTTATAAACCCTTCTTTCACTCCTGACCAAGCTTTGAAGGTGCAAATAGCAGTTCTGCATTTGAGCGGGAGAAGGTGGTTTATGCTTGGATGCTGATGGGTTCACCTGTATTTTTTGAACGCCTGTGTTTTCTGTTGCTGTGAATGTTTGGAAAGCACATAGCCAAATCAATGCTGAAGATGGTATACTTGAAGTGTATACTGCGTTCCCAAGTTTCATTTAACGTTGAGGTCACAGCCTGATCATTGAAGGCTGTGTTCATTGCATGTGTGAAGGAGATAGTCATTGTTTTAAAGCAATTTCCAGCATAGAGCTTGTTAAAAATCAGATTCTTAAACCCCCAGTGTCTGAGATTCTGAGTTTCTGAGTCTGGAGTGGGGCCAGGGATTTATTTTTAACAACTCCCCAGTGATCCTTAGGCTCACTCCAGTGTGAAACTAAGAAAAAAACTGGTATAAGGCTTTAGAATTAAAGACCTTCTCTTTTAGGGTCCTTTGGTATAGACTTTGCTTTGAGATTTTGGAGGCTTTCAAGGAATTTATCACCCTTCAAAGTCCTTTTAAAAATCTAAATTTTCAAGAGATAAAGTTTGACAGTGAACTTTACTTTTGGTTTTCATAGCCTACTTTCTTGCACTGTAGTGTTTTGTATGCAAAGGATGTGAAGGGCATGTCAAGGCATGGGCATGAGATTAGACAATTAAGACCCTTTCCAGTTCTGGGGTCTGAAATTACTGGACATAATAAAAGCTGCCGCTTGCCTCTTGCTAAGAAGGAGATTAAAGTGTTAACCAGTGGATTGGAGAAATAGGTTTTGGATCATTTTGTAAACTTTGCAGTTGGATTCATTTCATGGTTGCTCCAAACCCTCCCTCTTCTGTAGAAAGCCCAGGCCCAGCTGAAGCTCCCCATCGTCCCGTCTCTCCAGAGGCTGCTGATTTATCGTTGGGCCCACCAGGCTCTCGTCACACCTTTTGATCATCCTCTTCTGCCACTCATCTGGCAGAAGTTCTTCCTCCTGTACCTTCACCGCCCAGGGCCACAATATGGGTAGGTAGCCGTTGTAGGCGGCAGTTTCTGTGAGTCCTTCCTTCTGTAGCACTGCTCAGCTGCTCTGTGTTCTCGCTCTGTGGCAGGGCAGTTAGCTTCTCTCTCCGGCTAGGTGTCTCCCTGTTTCGCATTTATTAGACGAGACCTTTTTTGAGTTCGGGGTATCTTGTGGCCACTCTCTCTTTCCCATTCCCCATACCCAGTGTGGCGAAGACAACACCCTGGAACCTGGCAGGGTTTAGCATAGAACCTCTGGAAATGCAGAGGGAAGGAAACTGCTGTGAAGAAGCTGCTTGTGTGACCATCATGGGGCTTATTCGAGGAGACGTGTGATGAGTCATGCAGGTGTGGACAATCGCCTTGCCAGGTCTGCTGGCCCTTAGGCTGTACCTGGGGGTGTCCAGCATTTCCACTGGATATGAAGAGACTCTGGCCAGCCAGGACTGTCCACTGTTACCAGCCATTGTTCTCTAGCTCCAGCCCAATTCCTTGCTCGCCCTCTCACTTCCTTAACTCACTCCCTTGAATCATAAATGGTAATTCTTCAAAACTTCTGTTTTCCACCAGATTGCAAGTTCTTCAAGAGCAGACTATTTTTAATTTATTCTCTGGTGGTGGTAATATCTTGAATCTGCACAGCATTTCATTTTTTTAAAAACTATTTTCATGTATACCGTCGCAGAGCCTCATAATAATCATTATGGTAGAAATAGTATATTAATTTAATGCGGTATATATACAGCTATGCTAAATTGACTTCATTAATTGTGACTTTGTGTCACATGGGAAGAACACATTATATTGAGCTTGTTGTGATCTGTCCTTGTATTTTTTAAGGTTACCCGTAGATGGTTGTATGGGAAGAAGGTTTTTCCAAAGCCCTGCTCATACCAGTTTGTTGAAAGAAATGAAGAAGCGCCTGACTGAGGTGGCTGATTTCCACCATGCGGCGAGCAAAGCCCTCCGTCTGCCAGCAGAGGGCAGTGAAGGGCCGCCAGCGAGCCAGACTGGTGCCCCTGGTTACCTGACTTCACCGGAACTGCACAGGGAGCTCGTGAGGTAGCCCGAGGTTATTTAGCCATTTACATTGTTTGCAGCACAGGTGCCGTGCTCGGGGCAATTATTTGTGTTACAAACTATTAGATGTTATTCTCTTGCTGGACTTGACTGTTGAAGGCAGACTGTAGGTTTATATCCCGTAGTGTTTCTCTTCTATGTTCCTTGTGGGAAATGAATCAGCAATTTGGATACACCTCTGCTGAGTACCTGGAGTCCGAGTGAAAGATCTTAAACCAAAGGGCTGATGTCCTTTTGATGTAAAAACAGAAGCAAACCCAAACAGTTGGTTGTAGCAGGTGGACAACTAGTGACGCTTGCTAGGATAGTTTTCTAAAAGAAAGAAATGAGCATGGCAGGGTTCAAGTGGGAGTTCATAGACCCTCTGTGGGGCTTCAGGATTCACCTGGGGTGCGGTGGGATCTAGTAATCTCCCAAAACTGCTTCCAAAATTAGGCACAATATTGACATCCCCAAAAGGTTAAGAACTTTGAAGTAAGTTTGGGTCCCTTTCAGATTTTCCTTCACCCTTCATTTATAAGTTTGCTATAAACCAGATTAGTCTTATAAATAAGATCTAATAAAAATGGCTCTTAATAATTAACCATGAATACAAAATGTTTTGGTGTGGACACCCAGCATTTTGAGCCAGCAATGAGGCTTCAGGCTTGACCTCAGAGCACCTTTAGGGGTATCTCTCAGCCTCCACATGATTTCCCCCTTGTCTTGCTTGCTTGATGGAAGACTTATTTTTAACCAGGCCTAACCAGTGGGAAGACTAGTTTTGAACATTTAGATCAGCCAGAGAAGTCCTTGATTTTCCCTTCTGCCTCTCTTAAATCCCCCCTCCTTTGGCATATTGGTAAAGTATCCATCTAGTCAAATCAGAAGCTGAAAGAGAGATCCATCCCAGCCTCTGCCCTTCCTACACAGACTACGGCAGAGGTAAAGGAGGTAATTTTCCACTTCATTGAGCAAAGCCAAGTCACACCACCTCCACCCAGTTCCCCACCCAGTATTTCGTGTGCTGGAGACACTACTCTGGTACCTTTTATTGCAAACAGCTGCTTCAAATACCAGTGATTTTTTTTTTTTTTTTTTTTTTTTCTAAATGGACTGTGTTCCTTGTAAAAATAAAACAAAATAAAAACAAAGGAAATGTCATTCAATTTTTAAAAAGTTTTTACTGGAAAATTGAAATTTGTTTTTCTTTCTCTTTTTATCCTGGCTTTGTTTTATTTCTTCTTAGTGGGAACAGGGTGCGCACATGTTGTGAGTCCTGTTTGTGACTCCTTGCTGTAGGAGATGTCATTGAGCCTAAAGCTGGCAGGTTCTCCCAATTCATAAGGTGAAAATGGCTTTTACTGTTTTTTCTGGAGAGGAAGCGTATTTATATGAATATTATTTAAACTTTTCAAAGCACTAAGGCTCACTGTGACTGGGTTGCTCAGGAAAGAACAGTTTTTTTTCCTGTTTACTGTATTTAGTCCTACTTTAATAATAGAGTTCTCAGAGCCCTTTCTTCACATCTTTTGTTTTAGCAATTATTGCATCATATTTTAGTCATCTGTGACCTGTCTTTCTCCCCTGTTGGCTTATGGCTTTTCAGGAGGGTGGTGGTGGTTGGAAACATTTTCTATATTACATGCTTTCTTTTATGTGGTAGTATTGTTTCTTGAGGTGTAAGAAACTTTATTTGTATGCACATCTTTTTATATTTTATATAATTATTCTTTTTTCTTTTAGGCTCTTCAATGTATATATATTATGGCTGGAAGATGAAACTTTTCAAAAAGGAGACACCTATATCCCTTCTCTACCAAAGCATTATGACACTCACAGGCTAGCCAAAGTGATGCAGAATCAACAGGTGAAATTATGGCAATGTCTTTTTTAACATTTCAGACTGCAGTTTGAATTGGTCACATTCATGATCGAATGGTAATTCCATTTATCAATATGGAAATGGCTTACTTGAGTGGCCATTGTTTTTGTGGATTTTCAGTATATAAATGATTGTATTAAAGGGATATTCTTTTTAAAAAATATTATTTATTTATTTTTGGAGAGAAGGGAAGGAAGGGAGAAAGAAAGGGAAAGAAACATTGATAAGAGAGAAACATCTGTCAGTGGCCCCATACGTGCCCTGACCAGGGACTGAACCCACAACCCAGGCATGTGCCCTGACCAGGAATCGAGGTGGCAACCTTTCACTTTGCGGGATGATGCCCAACCAACTGAGCCATTCCAGTGAGGACAAGAGATGCTCCCTTTTGAATCTCTGGCTACCTGAAGGCTTGAAACTTGGTCTAGGATTTTCTACAGTCTTGTAGACATATCTTCTTGAGATTGTTTCTGTTCTTACTTTAAATTGTTAGAAGCTGAACACTTTGAAGCTGTCATTTCTAGTCCCATAAAAAGCATGGTGTAAGAATGTATTAGCATCCATATGTTACATATAAAGTTAATTGCATGAAATAGATAGCGAATCACTTTTGTGTAGCTTTGGAGATGATTTACTTTGTAGGTGTCACAGTTTTGGTTGCCCTTCAGGAAGTACTCAATTCTAGTCTTCACATATTCTAAGCTGTTCTCTCCCTGGCACCTGGAGATGTCTATAGACCTTTTCTTGGCCATTATTACATCTGGTGGTAAATATTGTGGGAGTGCAATGTACAGGGTGCTGTAGGAACACAGAGGAACAGCACCCAATTCAGACTGGGCAGGACTGGTGATCTTTGAGTTGAGCCCTGAAGGACAAATGGGAATTGGTCAGGGTAGGAAAGGCATGGTGATGGGGAATGACAAGGAGGATGTTACCAGCAGAAAGCCCAGTATGTGCAAAGACATGGCAGGTGAGAGAGCCTGGCGTGCTTACGAAGGTGTGTGTTAGGGCATGGCACTTGAAGATGACAGATGAAACCAGAGGTGAATAGGGTCAAATCTCTAAGGGTCATGTATGCTTTTCTAAAAAAAAAATTTTTTTTTCTTGAAGTCTGTTTGGAGAGCTATTGAAACAGTGGGAGTTATTAAATAAATAGATGAATTAAAAATATATTGAGGAAAAATTGGTAGGATCAGGAGGCTTTTTAGATACACTGTAGGAATGATACAGTAGTAGGATTGATTAGATGCACAGGGACTCTCAGATTTCCACTTGGGCAGCTAGAGGTGCTGTTTACAAAGACAGGAAATACTGGAAGAGGAGGTGCTGGAGAGGCTTCAAAGCGAACCCTCTATCAAAAGAGTCAGACGGGAGGGCATATACAGGTATAGAATTCAGGAATGAGGCAGTATAGGAAATGGGGATTTAATGGTATTAGGCCATTTAGATTAAGAAGATGAAAATCTGAGGGATGATAACATTTAAGGCACAGAGAAATAAGGCTGAGAGTGTAGAGCCAGAGAAATAGGAAAAATAAATAAGTGATCTCGGTGTCTTGAAACCTTGAGTGAAGTTCCATACTCGTTTCTTCTTTACATTGCACACATCAAGACCTTATCCAAGGTTTTGCATGTGTAGGTACTTGGTCAGTGTTTTAAAAAATCAATCGTAGTGCCCTGACTGATGTGGCTCAGTTGGTTGAGCATCGTCCAGCAAAGAGGAAGGTCACTAGTTCGATTCCTGGTCGCACATACCTGGGTTGCGGGTTTGCAACGCAGTGAAGTACATAGTCAGAATATGCAAGACAGCTCACAGAGAATTCTAGAAGTCCTATTTTTTTCTCACTTGATTTAATTATTTCACCTTTTACCATGAAAAAATTCAATCATACAGAAAATAGAATAGTATGATGGGCAGGCATGCCCATTCTCCCCCCGGCCCTCTGTGTACCGTGTGTCTAGTTTCATCTGCAGTTCACTCACACCCTCTACCATATTATCTTGGAGCTAATCTTAGAGAGCATTTGATGCATAACGATTGAAAGATGAGGATTAAAGAGTGCTTACCTGGCTTGCCATGTTTGCATTCACTGGGTTGCATCCCTTTGTTTTTCTGTAAATTCTTTTTGATGGTGAAAAAAATGAAGATGAGGATTAAAAAAACAATATAATCCAATAGCATTTTGCATCTGAAAAACATTAATAATAGGTTATTAAAAATCAAACATTGAGTCAGTGTTCAAATTTCTAATTGTTTCATAAATGTCATAAAAGTTTTGTTTTTATTTTTTTACGGTGTGTTTGAATCAGGATCTGCATTTTGTGATTGGTTCATAGCTCTTATATGTGTTTAATCTATAGGTCTTCCCTTTAACCCCTATCCCTTTTTTAAAAATCCTCATCAGAGGACATGCTTAGAGTGAAGAGAAAGGGGTTGTGGGGAGAGGGAGAGAAACATCATTGTGAGAGAACAACACGAATCAGTTGCCTCTTGTATGTGCCCTGACCGGGGACTGAACCCACAACGTAGGCATGTACTCTGACTAGGAATCCAACCAGTAGCCCTTTGGTTTGCAGGATGATGTTCCAACCAACTGAGCCCCTCTGGCCAGGGCACTCCTCTTAGCCAATTTTTTTCCCTTGCGATTTATTTGTTGAAGAACTTGGGTAGTTTGTCCATAGAGTTTCCCCACAGTATAGATATTGCTTACTGAGTCTTTGTGGTGTAATTTAAAATGTTTTTCTGTCCCATATATGCCTGTAAATTGTTAGTGGGACATAGAGTTTGATGTAATCCAGTTTCTCTGTAAAATGTCTGTTATTTACCTATGTCTTACAATTTAGCTCAGTAATATGTGTATATAATTTACAAATATACATTTAGTAGGGCTGTTAAAATTATTTTTTCTGATCATGGTACATAATCAAAAAACTTTTGAGATTCTTGGTAAGATTGTTAGAGTATTGATTTTGGATATGATTCATCCTAATGCTGGAGAACTTGGAATGGACCACCATGTGTTCACACTTACTGGTTCACTTTATAGTTAAATATGTAGTTTTATATGTGAATATATCTGTGAAAATTAATGTCTTGTGGTTTCATTCTAGGATCTGTGGATGGAATATTTAAACATGGAGCGCATACATTATGAATTTCAGGAAACCATTGGTCTATGGACACAGACCAAGCTTGAGTCCCATTCTGCAGCCTGCAGTTTATCAGTGCAGCTGGACTTTACTGATGCTTTTCTGGGTGAGTATTAGGAGCATCACGCCATTTGAATGAATGAATGAATGAATGAATGAATGAATGAGTGAGTGAGTGAATCAGAGCCATTGAGGGTTAAGTTGTACTCAATGTAAACCTTCGGTAGGGATTCCTTTTATAGGAGTTCATAGTTAACTTGCCTACCACTTTTAGGTTAGGCTGTGAGTGCGAGAAAATTCCAAAATAGTAATGGCTTAAATAAGATAAAGATTTAATTTAATTTTTCTCATGTAAAGGGAGTCTGGAGTCAGGCCTTTCAGAACAGTACCTTTGTGCCCTACAAGCCTCAAGGACCCCTGCTTCTCCTATCTCGCTGTCCCATTGTTTTCACACGTGACATCCACATATGGTCCAAGATGGCTGCTGAAGATTATGGTCACATTCACTTTTTACTCAGCAGGAAGGGGTGTCTTCTTTGTTAAGGACTGTTTTAAGAAGCTGCTTATAGACTATGCAGTTACATCTCATTGGTCCAAACTGAGACACATGGGTCTACTATCTGAAAAGAAGACTGGAAAGTGACTGAGTGTGTTTGTTTCATTTTCTTAGTGATGCTTTAAAAAGACATTTTAGCTGACATCAATGTGTGAATACAACTTTTAATTTCATTATTTTGGGTTTGCAGTTTTAAAATTAAGAAGTCTTTGTCTTTTATAAACTTTTCCTCTTTATCTGGAACTCTTACCATGCAATAGAAGTGTATCATATTCCCCAAATTTCTAAGTTGGTTTTTCTTACAGTGCATTTTTCTAGAGAAACAATTTTATAAATTATCAGTTAGTGTTCTATGCCAGGCCACAAAAACTCATTTAACCTGGAAAGTTGATGACATATCTTACAACAAAAATAACATAAAGCAATATTTGGGGGTCACAATTTTAATTACTAAATGTAGGACATATAAAAAATGTGAGTATAATTATTAAACAAAATATTGTAACATGTAGTATAATAGAGCCCTGAAGTGACTCAGAGAAAGGCAAAAAGACCTTCTTGTTCCAGCTCTGCCATTAACCAACTAGTTGTGTGATCAGAGAAAACTAGGAACCTACCTTGGCTTTAGTCCACTTGTCTGTAAAATGAAGGTGCTGGACGGTCTCAATGAAGGCTTTAAAATTATTCTCTCCAACATCTTTCTCTCCTGAAATAATAATAGTACCCCCCAATTTTAAAAGTTATATGTGTTCATTAAAAAAACAATATAGAAAAGTTTATAGAGAAGGGTATAAAAGTTGCCCTCATCCTAGTCATATTGAGTCTCATTTTTATTCCTGCAAGGTTATTAAATGAGATGAAGAAATACTTGTATGTTTATAGCCCTGGAAGCTGTGGAATGCTTCGGATCATGCCTTCTAATTTGTAGTGCTTTTACATCGCCTTAACATTGCCCTAAAAGGCTGATTGTTGTCTCTGGAGTAAAGCTAGTAATTTATTAAGCCTTTAGTTTGTTCCAGGCTCTGTCCCAGTACTTCATACGTGTTAATTTGGTAGTCCGAATGACCCTATGAGATTTATCCCCATTGAGTAGGTCATGAACCTGAAAGATGGAAGGTGGTTAGGTAACTTGCCCAAGTCACAAAGCTGGTAGGTGGTAGACAGCCATCTCGTTCCAGGGACCCTGTTCCTCATCACTTATTATCCTTGTTTCTGGTGAGCAGTACAGGTTGCAGTTATAAATAAAATTAAGACCTAGATTTTTAAAGTAAGAAGCTTCAGGCTTTTGATAGCAGGTTAGGTGATGATTACATCAAATGAGGCGACTTGTGGTTGTGATGGTAGGATTAATTCTAGTAGTACTTCTTAGGATATTGCATACTATGACACCAACTTCTTTTTCTTGAATTAAATTTGTTTTGTTGACTTCAAAATTTTTGTCACATGTGGTCCAGAGTGGTATTTACAGTTAAAAATGCTCTGAATTTATTTGTTTCTCTCTTTTAGTTTGCATTTAAAACATCCTTGTTTTTTTTTTTTTTATGGTAAGTGATACTAATTTTGAAAAAGTTTCTTGAGACAAACCTAAATACAGTCAGGAATCTTAACCAGTGATGAATATCCAACTTTGTTACCTTCTGTGCAAGGAATGGTAGATTCTAGTGGAAAAACCCCAGCTATAAGAGATGATCCTGTACTTGACCTGTTTGGAATGTTAAATTCCATCTGCTTGAGGTACAAACAATACAAGTCTTCTTATGCCAAGTAATAAAGTCATGGCTATTAAATTTTCTTTGACTTTTCTATTCTAACAAGAATAGAAAATTGAATGCTACATTTGGAATGAAATCAGAAATTCATAGTAGTCCCTTAAATGTTTTTTGACTTGATTATTGATTTGAAACTCCCTTGACCTCTCTTGTCTCCCGTTATCTTACTATTGAAAAGAATCAGGTATGTGTCAGCTTTTCTTTACGTTCTTCAGTTCCCACCTGCTGTATAGTATGTGTATAGTGTTATAAAGACAAAAGGAGGGAAGGTAGGATATATTGGACATCTACTGTGTGTTCAGTTCTGTACTAGGTATAGAAATGTAAACATATAACTTGGATTGACCAGTATGAGATAATATACAGTGTCGTGTGAAATTGGATGATACAGATATATCTTTTTTTAAAAAAAAGTTTTAGTTTTAGGAAAAGATATGGCACCTGATTTCTTATTTGGACTCCATAAATCATTTATTGAGTAAACAAATAAGTGAATGGATGAATGAATGACTACCTGACTACATAAAATAAGTTCTGTAGGAGTTTGTGTCCATGTCTTTATTCATTTTAACTCTTCTATTTTCAGCCTTTGTCTAAACCTTGTCTTGTCTAAACCTTGGCCTAATTTAAGATTTTTCACTTAGCTGTATTCTCTAATGCTCATTCTTTTTTCTACCATTCCTATGAATTTTGTCTCTGGGATTACAGTAAACTTTTAACTGGGCTACCTGCTCCATTCCCCCAATCCATTGTCTGGTGGTAGCTACCATCTTTCTCAAGCTTACTTGAGCTGTTCACTAGATTCCCTTCATACTGGTATAAGTCCAAACACCTAGTGCCTCATTCAGGGCTATCTAGGGTAATACTTGAAGATCGTGAGCTTTAACTCTTCAGCTATCATTAAAACTTTTTAAGGATAGGAATTCTATTTAATAGCACTCCATGCTCCTGATCTCCCTACCACTGGCAGAATATTATTAGGCCTGTGGGTGCTCCCTCAAAGCTTGTAAGTAATAAAAGATGATCATTTTATTCATTTAGGTCTCTGATTTATCTACTCGGTAGATTTCTACCATTTTTTATGAATGTAACAGGCCAGGGCTTTGCACCCACTTAGTATGTTAGCTGCCCAGCAGTAGCCATTACTCAGTCAACATGACTTCATTTTCTTTCAGCTAAAGAGAGGGTTTTAAGTAACTTGCAGATGCACGAGGCCCCCCAGCCTCCCCTCGTTCTGCACCCAGTGAGGCCTCCTGTGCCGGTTATTTCGTCTGCCGTGCTCCTGAGTCAGGAGGACACCACCCAGCTGGTGCGCACAGACCTGAATCTGTTGCAACAGCAGGCCAGGTAAGACCATGGGGCCTCCCGGATCACGCTTCTGTGCTTGCTGCCTTGACAGCCTGAGAGACTTAATACCTGGAAGGGCTTCCTCATCAGTATCCTCGCCATGGGGAAAATTGGACCAGACTGGCCCAGGCAGTTACTTAGTTAACCAAGTTGTGACGAGTCTTTTAATTTCCCATTGAAATTATGTAGTGCTTTAATGGACTACAAATTTTTACATGTTTCATGTGGTGATGTTTCTGAGTGCCAGCTAGATGTTTCTTATGCTTCTCCCGAGGAGACCTTCTGATAGTGGAAAGATTGTGTGTAAAGAGCATGAAATGAGATTTACTTTTTTTTTGTCGCTGCTTTGTTCTCTCACTCTCCATATTTTAAAACTTGGCACAGACACTTAATTGAAGTGTGGGCAAATCATTTAGTGTTTTGAGTTCACGAGAGAACTCAGAGCACTATTTAAGGTTTTGGTTCTAGCTTGCTATCTTGTGAGAAGGAGGGTATGTGTAGTAAATCTATTTTATAAAGTAAAAGAGCATTTGGCAAATCCCGTGGGAATCAGTCTCTTATTGGCCTTTTTTTCCTTGTTGTTTTTGGCCAGGTATTTATTGTGTGCATTGTGTGTGCACATGACACATACACATATGCATGTATGTGCTGGCCTACATGTCAAAATAATAACTACAGTTATAACAGTATTGATACCCAGGTAAACAATTACCTTTCTTCATCTTTGAAAATTCAGTTTGAGTTGCTAACTCACACTACAGTAAAGAAATCAGTGGTACTTATAATTAAGGGTACCCCTTTGGGATAGTTAGATTAGAATGCGTTCTCATTTGTTGTATATTTAAGGGTCCATTTAAAAAGCACTGCTGATATAAGACAGATTCTAAATGGAGCTTTATTTCTCGCTAAACAGTTGTCCCACTTTTCCTTTGTTTAACTTTCTGGTCAACATGACTGCCAACGAGAGCGTCTGGGTAAGTCTTAGCACACACACCTTTGGTCTTCTTACTCTGGAATACTTGTGTCTTGCAGTGCTCTACTGCAGGCTGGGGGTAACGGAAGCCTTTATCACTTATCATGAAACCTTTCCTAAGATTTTCTTTTACCTCTGAATGATGTTTTTCAGAACGGCTGCCCTTCGGGAATCTCAACAGGTTGCCTTGGATAGTGAGCTGTTGGACACAATACCCAAACAGTATGTTAATCGGGAAGAACAGACCACACTACATTTGGAGTGTAGAGGCAGTAGTGGTAAGAAATGCCAAGGAGCAGCAGTTGTAACAGTTCAGGTAAGATTGTTTACATTCCTTTGTAATTCAGAGAATTTGACTTGAGACCCTAATAATTGGCATACCATTGAGAAAGACTGAAAGAAATATATAGCAGGTGGTCCATGTCTCAAAACTTTTAAAAGTTTTTAGGAGAGTGAAGACACACACAGAGCTAATCACCTGTTTCCACAAGTGCTGATGCATCCTGTAAAGCAGGAATTCAAAGAACAGCAGAATCATTGAGAAGATTTTGAGAGAGAGAGGGCCTTAAACTGATTCTTAAAAGATTTTGATAATGGTAGTTTGGATTCGGTTAGAAGCAGTGTGGGCATGGAGTCAGCATGAGTTCTACAACATGAGTGCATCTAGGGGTCACCGGCCAGCCATGCCAGTCTGTTTCAAGTTGCTCTTGGAAGTGGCAGTAGGCATCCACCTTGGGAAGGCTGGAGTTCACATTGGAAGGGTCAGTCACTTGGGAGCACTGGCTGTGTGCTGTGGACAGTGGTGCGGGCGCGGAAGACAGACATGGGAAGGACCTGTGGAAAACAGACTGGCTGGGTGGAGCCTGCCAACAGGCAAAAGGAGAGATGTGCAACAATCTGACTGAAAATTCAGCTGCCTCTCGAGTCACCTTCTTTAGTTGGAAAAATAAAATTAAGTTGGATCTGTGACTTTAGAAGGACGTCTAAGTGGAAGTTTAGCTTTAGCCAGCCTGTCAGCATTCACTTCATGCCAGGCTCTGTCTAAAGACTTCACAGAACTTATTTCTATCTTCACCACAACTCTGTAAGAGTTTTATTATCTGCATTTTTCAGATGAAGAAATAGAGGCATAGAAAGTTTAGGTTACATGTTCAGGGTGCCACAGCCAGCGAGTAGCAAACTAGGAAGTCCCAGGCAGTCTGGCTGCAGAGCACACGCCCCGTAATCACGGCGCCTTACTCGGTCTGCAGGTGAAGTCAGGATCCCCTGAGCCTGGAGAGAAATGCTGCTAGAGAGCCCCACCTGTTGCCCAACTACAGTTGCAGAAAAGTAGATCCTCCTTTTGGTTAGCTTTTAGAAATGAGGGAAAATTTGTTTTACTGACTCTTGGTTTTCTTTCAAATATTTCTTCTCTTTTTGTGCTAAGCCCCATTTTAACAGTTCTAATGTATTCTTCATCAGTCTCCTTGGGTGACTGTTTTCTCTAAAATGTCTTCTCAGAAATAACCTTTATATTTGTATTTTTCATTACCTTCAAAATTTACTTCTGAAAAAATAACTCTTTGTAATCATCTAAAGTTAGCAAATTCGATCCAGGTTGTGATCAGTGATTAGAGAACTCATGGATTGGATCAATTTTTAAAATCAGTATCATGGGAAATGATTTTATATTTTAAAATTAAAATTTATAAATTTAATTGTGTTTTAATATAATTTTAATCGCTCATTTGTGAAGACTTTAAATTATATCATGAAAATATTTTATTACTTGATAGACTTTTCCTGGGAGGGAATGCCCTGGAAATTTCCAACCATCCGGAAGGGTATGAACTTGTTTGGGGTATACAAAAGCCAAATATATTTTATGAGAATTGAGACGTGCTTCTTCCGTGGTTGTGTCTCCTAATAGCAGCCTCTAATAATTCAGTGATATTCCCTGAGGAAATGGGGTGTTTTATAATAGGGTTCCTTGTGTTTTACTTTGGTATTGTGGGGCAGGCCCGAGAATTGATTTATTGTCATGTGAAAAATTTGTTCATTCCTAGAAATGAAAGATGGAAAAGACCCACTGAGGGCTTCACATTATTGTAAAAACTTAACTGAAGGGCCAGCTGTGTCCTACTTTTAAATTTCTTTGTCTACTTAAAGTGACTCAAGAGGAGGGGCTTCCACCATGCTGCTTTGTTCTATTGTCTACGACTTCTTGTGATTATGAGCAGGTAGTCATTCAATCTCTCTCACCCCCGCTCTAGGAAGAAAAGAAAACTTTCAACAGTCATTGGAACAATGAACAAAATAAGCAGTCTAGGAAATAATGATAATTTTGGGAGAGTGTCTAAACTTTCCTGTGTTAGTTGGTTTTCTTTGGTCCTCAGCATTAGGCGTTTCTACAACATGAGAAGGCAGTTAACGAAGTGGATTTGGTCTTGGTTCTCTGTACTTCCCTGTCAAGTGAGCCTCTGTCATTTTTCTCTTGTCCTTAGTCTTTCCACTTCCTTCATTCTCATTGTCTTTCTCCCTTCTCTCAGATTCTCTCTTTTCCTCTCTGTTTAGCAGTTTCTCTCTGGGCCAGTCAAGGGCTGTGGCCCTCAAAGTCCCAGTCTCATTGTAATTGGTGACATATTGGGCAAAAGAGCTGACTGCACATATTCCTAATCACATTTTAAGATATTATAAATTAGTCTGTTATTTGAAAGATTTGAGATTTAATACTTGTATTGATTCAGTAGGTGGTTTAGTGGAAGTAATTTAATTTCTTATCTTTCATCTCTCCAGGAATAAAACCTAAAGTAATTATTGTTAATATTACATCTTATTGGATAGTCACATTCATGGCTTTTGTTCATCCTAACATCCTGGTTTTTCTTTAGAATAAGAAGTTTTGTAAAGATTTGTACCACGATAGGGGTGCATTTTACAGAAGAAAGTTGTCATTGTGACCTTAAGAGTATGAGTTCAGTGTATTGTCAGAGGTGTGCTGAGTGCTGTGTAAAGCAGCACAAACAGGCCCATTCGCCCTTCAGGAGCTTTCGATTTGTTATTTATGTCCCCTGATAGGGACATAAGAGCCTTGATTAAAGAAGTTTGTGAATTAAGTGTTTATATTATTCACAAAGGATACCTGTTACCATTGTAGTGGTAAGTTGAAGACTAGGTTTGGCAGGTCCGTATAAAGGAGAGCGTAGTCCCTACTGCTCTCACTCATGTGGTTTTGGAAGACCGTCTAAAGACAATGTAGAATTTAAAACTCCTGCCTTCTAAGTGCTCTGGTCTTTTCAGCATTCTCTGCCATGCCTGCAAGATAAATCCAAGTTCCCTAGTTTGCTTTAAAGGCCTCTCCGAGATAGGCCCCTGCTGCCCAGTCTCACTGTCCTGCACGCTTCAGCCCTGATCCTCGGCCCCCAGTCAGCCTGTCCAGGCTCCTCCTCAGTGTCCTGTCCCCACATCTACTCATTGGTTCTGTATTTGTGTTGCAGCCTCGGCTTAGGATATTTTCTGCATCACTTCACATCCAAAAAAGGACATTACAGATGCATGAACATAGCAGCTATTATATAGGTCACCATCAGTTCATTAGAGTAGGGGATTTTAACAGCCCCCTTGAGTAGGACTGACATAATCTTAAATAAAAGATAGTCTTTTAAATTGTGATAAATTTAGTTTTTTTGAGAAGCTTAATTTTCCTTATTTTGTACATCTTTACTGAGAACCAATAAAAATTTTTATCTCAGATCAGGTTTCAGGAACCACTGACTTACTCAATTGCGCTTTCCTAGGCATGCAACTGATTTGAGCACTTTATCTTTTGTTTTTTGCTTTATAAGTATATGTCTTTTTTCCTTTCAAAATGGCAAATGTTTTAATAACAGCCTCTGTGTCCTCCTTTTTTATGCTGGGCACACGGGAGATGTGGAGCCCATGTTTTGAGTTGAACTGGATGTGCTGTTCAGCTCGGAGAGCAGAGGGGACCCATGACCAGCAGTGGGGGAGCTTGGTGGGCCTCAGCACAGCCGGAGCGGTGGAAGACGTTGCATCATTTTTTGATGAGGGTCGGGGAGTCGAAACATGAGTGACATACAGCATGTCTTATGGAAGACTTTGAACCAATGATAAACTAATTCAAGTTTGAGTCTTTATGAAAAAACCTGATATTATGGAATAGGTTTTTGAAAATTCGTTCGTGTTCCTGTCAAGTTCAACGAAGAGTTTTGAGTTATCATATTAATTGTAATAATAGCCTTATCACCGTATACCCAGTATATATGTAATAAAATATCTGCTTCAGAAACATGTAGGGGCAAAAATCTGTTGACCACTTTATTTTTTGTTAGTTTGAAGGTATGCATAAGAATGAAGCAGTAAGCCAACAGCTTCGTGTTTTGCGGAAAGAAGTGAAGCAGCTGCAAGCAGAAGCTACTACACCACCACCACTTAATGTTGTGGAAGCTGCTGTGCATGCAGAAAACTTGATTACGTAAGTTTTGAGGGCATTTTACTTTAAAATACTCTTTTGTTGTTATGGATACAAATCATGCTGCTACACCCCATAGGCCCCTGCTAATTAAATTAGCACAAGGATCGGGAAACTGGTCTTTGGACCAAATCTGCCCTGCCACCTATTTTTATAAATAAAGTTTTATTGGAATTCAGCCATGCCCATTTATTAATGTATATGGCTTTTATGCTGCAGAGGCAGAGTTGAGTAGTTGTAACAATTTATGGCCCATAAAGCATAAGATAATTATTATCTGGCCCTTTGTAAAATCAATGTGCAGATCCCTGAAATGAGAGATGATACAGTACATTGAAATTCAGTAATGGAAAGATTTAGCGCTGAAGTTTTATATCAGAGTCACACATTTACCCAGGAAGTCATCATTGTCAACTCAGATTATTGAGCACAGTTTACAGTGGATTTGCTCAGGGGAATTAGGGCTTTCAGATATAGGTGCCAGCTTGCATTGGGCTGTTGTGGTTTTCCTTGGGAGCTCCTGGCTTATTCTCACCACTGCCTTTCTTCCCAAAGCTACCAGGCCATGATTTGGGAGAGGGGAGGTTGATTCTTCCTTTTACTTTTTATTAACTTCACATTCTAGTACCAGCAGCAAATCCTAGGGCAGATTTGGGATGGTGGTGTGGAGGGGGGCACTGAGTCTTTCTGTGGGTTGGATTGGGGGCTCTGGGAAGGAGGGAGGAGAGAAGGTGAACAAGAGGTTGATGTTTCTTTTACCAGTGAAGGAACTGGAAAAAAAAATAAAAAGAGAATTAGAAGAGATTCCTTTATTCTAGGAGCTTATTCTATTCAAAAATCTTTATCCTCAACCTAAGTCACCGTTTTAGATTTTAAAATTTAGAGGTGTCAGTGTTCTTGTTTTTAAAAATATGTATTATATAAAAATATATGAAGTTAAATAATTATGAATTACATATGAAATGTGAAAAAATTTAATAAAGGTAAGAAAGTTAATTAGCCCTTATAATACAAGCTGATTTTCTTTTCCAGGAGGGCATAAAGTCATTTTTATGTATTGAAAATGAGGTGTTGGGTCAAGTTGGAAGATAACCCATAAAATATTTCTAAAGTGACATTTGTATGAGATTCTGAGCACTCTTAAGACTATTGCCTGGGAAAGGTGGAGTGTCGTAGAAATACTAGTGAGTCTGGATTCTCATGCTGTAGACCGCTTCTTACCTGCTTTCCTGCAGGGCCTTAGTGAACGCCTACAAGTTGCAGCCTACCCCTGGGGTTCAGAAGGTTGGCATTAGCCTCTTCTTTACTGTTGTGGATTATGTCAGCGATGAGACCCAGCGCCATCCTCCTACGAGGCAGTTCTTTACTTCATGCATTGAGATTTTGGGACAGGTAAGGTTAATCTGTGTTGCTAGCCTTTTTCAGTTACAATAAGTCCCTACAGTATTCTCATTTGATATGTGACTTTAGACTTATATTGTAGGTTCAGAGTCTTACCTAAGTCAGAAGCCACTTTGAATTGTTGGTTTCTAGAGATGTGAATAGAATTGTTGGTATAGAATTCTGCTTCTCATTTCAAGAGATTAATTATTCATATTTCAAAGCCTCTGGGGAAACATCAGATTCTGTCATATGCTGTTGGTGGTGTTACCTGTAATATCAGGGAAACTCATGTTTATAAAGTGCTTTCTGATTCATTATTTTATTTCATCCTCACAGTGACTTTCTGTGATTGATATCATTCCTATTTTAAAGATGAGAAAATGGGGCTCTAAATGATTACTGACTTGCTTAAAGGGTATAGCTGGTGAGTGCTGGAGCTGAGACTGGGTCCTGGGTCTTCTGACTCAAAGAGTCAAAGCTCTGCCACCTCCCAGTTGCTGTTTCTCAGTCACCATTTACTTATTTACTTGACTTGCTGTTAAAATATGGATATTTAATAAAAGCAAAGGCAGTGTATCCATGTAGATTTATGAAATGGGTCATAAAACAAAAAAGCCACTTGTGGAAAATATGTAAACACTAAGTAACCAGGTATTCTCACCTAATAAGTTCATTTCATGAGTACTTATTTATTGGATTCTTATAGGGAGGTGATGCTGAGAAGATATTGAAGTAGATTAACATTTTTTTCTTGATTATAAACTTGATGTCTGTTAATTTGTTATAAGCAATGCAGACAGTGCAGAAAATATAAAGAAGAAAAGTTTTTCAGAATTCTAACTTAGAGATAATGGTTACACAGCTACCATTATAGTTTGTCTTGTGTATGTGTGTATATTAGTGTATGTGTGTGTATATGAAAATGACATATTATCCCTACATATAAATAGATGAGTAAATACAGATATGCATTCAGAAACCACAGATGCTATTCTGTAGTCTGCTCTTTTTCATTCAGACACATCTTTTTAGACATTATTCTGTGTTAATAAAATAGACCTATAATAGAGCATTTATTTTTAATTTTTTTAAATTTTATTTTTCCATACAGTCAACATGCAGTATTATTCTTTATTAGTTTCAGGTGTACAACGTAGCGGTTATACAGTGATATAATTTATGAAGTGGTCCCCCTGATAATTCCAGTACCCCCCTGGCACCCTACATAGTGATTACAGTATTATTGGCTATATTCCCTGTGCTGGACTTTATATTCCCGTGACTATCTTGTTAACTACCAATGTGTACTTTTAAAAAATTTTTTTTTTTTTAGTGTTCAAGTATAGTTGTCTCCATTTTCCCGCCACCGCTTTCCCCTGTACTTCTTAATCTCTTCATTTTCTTCATGCAGTTCCCCAAACCCCTTTCCCATGCTGGCAACCCTTGGTTTGTTCTCTGTTATCTGTGCGTCTCTTTCTAACATGGTATTTATTTATTTTTTAAAAGATTTTATTTATTTTTAGAGAGAGGGGAAGGGAGGGAGAAAGAGAGGGAGAGAAACATCAATGTTTGGGAGGAACATTGATCAGTTGCCTTCCACATGCACCTACCCCCCTCCAGATGGGGACCTGGCCCACAACTTAGGCAGCATGTGCCCTGCCTGTGAATTGAACTGGTGACCAGTCCACTGAGCCACACCAGCCAGGGCCTAACATGGTATTTAATATGTAGTGTTCCACAGTACAGATATATTGTAATGTATTGAGACAGTGCCCTCTGAATAGATGTTTACATGGTTGGTTGGTTTGTTTCACTACAGTAAGTCTGAGATAAATAATCTTCCATGTCTTTGTGAACTTGGACTTTTTTTCCTAGTATAATTTCTTAGAAGTATGATTGCAATGTCAGAGGGACTAGTATTTGATGTATATTATCACACTGCCCTCCAGGGAAACTTGTACCTATTTACACTGTCATTGCTGGGTTTGAGTTTATTCTTCGTATCATAACCTACAGTAGGAATGATCATTCTTTATAAATCTTGCTAATCTAATAGGGGAAGTGGTGCTTTATTAATTATTTTAAGTTACATTTCTTTAATTATTTGTGAAGTTGCATGACTTTTCATATGTCCTGGCCATTTATTATCTTTTTGGTGATTTGCTGGTTATTGTCCTTTGCATATTTACTGTTGGATAGTGTCCTTTTTTTTTCATTGCTTTTTGAAGAGCAGCTCAGGCTTTTAACTTGGTATCTGGAATTTCTTACAAATTAACTTTTCTACATCATTTTTCTTTAATTTTATAACTCTTTTCATTGTAGAAGTTAACATTTTTATCAGTTCAAATCTTTTAGTCTTATTCTTTATTATTTCTGCCTGTGGCCAAGTTTATCAAAGCCTTCTTGACCCTGAGATTATTTAAATATTCACATATATCCTAGTATTTTTATTTATTTTTTAATTATGTTTAAAAGATTTTACTTATTTATTCTTAGAGCAAAATAAATAACACAGAGATTCAAACTACAGTTTATATATATGAGCACCTAAAAGAACCTGGGCAGTTCAATGACTGATGGGCGCCCTTACACCTCTCTCTCTCCCCCTCAGTTTCCGAGACTGCAGAAGCAGAGTGTTCTCAGCTCCATGTGCTTTTCTGTAACTTAAAAATCTTGGTTGCTAAGTTTTCCCTACAAGACCAGGATCAGAACCTTGTAGCTCTCTTTCACTGGTCAAAGTGCCACAGTGAAGGGAGGGAGGAAGAGAGGGAGAAAAACATTGCTGCAAGACTGATTGGTTGCCTCCTGCGTGCCCCCAACTGGGGACCTGGCCCTTAACCCAGGCATGTGCCCTGACCGGGAATCCAACTGGTGACCCTGGCCTGTGGGACAATGCCTGGCTCACTGAGCCACACCAGTCAGGGCCACGAATATTCTAGTACTTTTAAACATTAGAACCAAGTTAAAACAGTGTGACGTTATTCTGATTATACATTAATCATAAAAAGTTAGCTTTTTAAAAGTATTAAAATCTATAACCTAGAAGCTTTGTTTTCTTGACATAATGCAGGATCACTTTGGTAGGTATAATGCAAATTTTTATTTAACATTACCTACACTGGAAATGGTAGGTTTATACCTGTGTTGATTTTAGATTTCTTTTGATTGTTTTATATTTTCATTTAGAAAAAAGGTTTATTTGTCCTATATACTACCCCTTAAAACTTGGTGTAGTATAGACTTGCTTAAATAAAGGTTGGGTAGTGGAGAGTTGGTGACATTTTTCTCTTTTATTCTTTCAAGGTGTTCATCAGCGGTACTAAGTCAGAATGCAAAAAAGTACTTGAGACCATTCTGAAGAACAGAAGGCTCTGCTCTCTTTTGTCTCCTTTCTTTACCCCCAATGCTGCGCCTACAGAGTTCATACAGCTCTATGAGAAAGTGGTGAAGTTCCTTAGTGAGGACAACAGCGACATGATTTTCATGCTGCTAACCAAGGTGAGATGTCATCCAATCCTGATGTTAGCACTGAAAATGTAGGAACCTTGTTTGTTCCCCAGTTTGTATGCATCAAGGCCCTCTGGAGTTCCGTTTCCAGGTAGACCATGTGCTCACAGGCCCTTTTTTCAGTTTGCGTGACCTTTAAGCAGCAAAATCCCACAGCCGCTTCTAACGGCGGTGTCGGTTGTGTTGTGTGAGACAGTTTTATTCCAGTATAAAAACAACCTAGCTCCCAAACCCTCTTAAAAAAAAAAAAAACAGTACAGTTTTGAAATATTCATAATAGTAATTTAGTACATCCTTCTTTTGAATTTATCCTGAATTGACGCCTAAATTGTGTTTGATAAATGAGTTGTAACACATCCAAGTCTTTCATATTTAGAAAAAGCCAGATCTAAGCAAATTGCCTTTGTCTTCATTCCAAGTAGAATGTTAACTCAGACCAAGGCAGTGAATTTACTTAACGAGTTGGGAAATTTAGAGCCTTAGCTATTTTGTCTTCAGTTGTATTTCTCTGGCATCTATGGGTCATAAAACCTGGTAATTTTGCGGGGGCCAGGACTGATCCCAGTCTGTAATTGGGGGAGAACATGTTGTATGGTTTGGGATTCTGGAAGGTGATCTCAGGACCGTGGATTTCTATTAGCTAAGATAGATGACTGATGGAGGTTCAGAAATGTGGTTGTTGGATGGAGAGACTTCCAGAAAGTGGCTGCTTGTTTGTTGCACTTTGACCAGTGAAAGAGGTACAAGGTTCTGATCCTTGTCTTGTGGGGAAAACTTAGCAACCAAGATTTTTAAATTACAGAAAAGCACATGGAGCTGAGAACACTCTGCTTCTGCAGTCTCGGAGAGTGAGGGAGAGAGAGAGAGGTGTAAGGGCGCCCATCAGTCATTGAACTGCCCAGGTTCTTTTAGGTGCTCATATATATAAACTGTAGTTTGAATCTTTGTGACAAACTAAATGCTAGATAATCTTCGACTTTTAAACTAAATTTTACAGGCTTTGCTCTACTTCATTTAGTTTTCTAGTGTCAATAAAAATTGCTTCTTGTTTCTCTTTTCTTTTTAGTTCCATCTTAAGCAATGGTTAAACGCCACTAAACCTCCTCTGTCTGATCGTACCAGGCTTCTGGAGTCCATTCATTTGGCACTTACTGCCTGGGGCCTTGAACCAGATGAAGATATTTTGATGCCATTTAATCTTTTCTGTAAGCACTGGACTTACCTTCTTCTCTACCAGTTCCCTGACCAGTACAGTGACATTCTCAGGCTGCTGATGCAAAGTAAGTGACTGATTAGATTGCAGTGAATAATAGGATACCATTCACCATTCTACAGATGTCATCCAAAAATGTAAAAATAATATAAGTGTGCAGGAGTTTATAATGACTGATTTTTACCTGAAGTACTTGGTGAACCCAAAGGGTTCCTACCTGTAAAAATGGTCATTTATTGTCCAGAGTGTTAGAAAGAGCCCTAATTGGACAAGACAGTACTTAATCTTCGATGCTGGAGTCCACAGTTTTGCACCCATCTCTCCGCCTTGACTTTGCAGCTGTCTTGAATGGGTGGGGTAGATATGGGCTTGATTTCGCTGCTGACTACAAATTTGGTAAGAGAAGGAACTTGCGCTTTCTATGGCATTTGGTTTCTCTGTAGTTCAAAGACACTGTCCCCTAATTTTTTGCAAATGAATTTTATCCCTGTATAATGATAAACTGTACTTACATTTGCCAAGGGAAAGAGTGGCATTACGTTTTCCACATCCCCACCATTTCTCTTTCCTGGCAACTTCCCATTGGAGTACTTGAGATTAGAGGAGATATAAAGAGTGTAGGCTTTCTTATTTTTGGAATGTTTCTAGGCAGGGATTTTATTTGAAAAATGAGATAGTATTTTCTTTTTCACTCAAACTTTATATTATTTATAGATGTAATGGAAAACTAAATTTTGCTTTATGCTAAATCTTTGTGTTACTTAACAGAAGTTATTTAGTGAATAAGTTAATGATCTTATGTATTGGACTACCTGATGAATACTGAAATGTGTGGCCCCACTTTCAAAGCACTTCAAGCTTTCATTGTTTCCTATAGAGGGAAGTTGCACGGTGGGTAGAGAAAACTGACAGAGAAATGTATTTGTACAATTTTTGATGCATATTTGCCTAGCTAATTTTTGTTGTAAATTTTCAAAATTTGATCAAGTGTGTATTGTTTTTTTCCCCCCTAAAACTAAAAAGAGATTGTAAACTGTTTATGTAGACAGTCATAGACTTGCATGTAGCAGAAAATCTATACTTTCTAGGGAAAGTAACTCAGTTAAAGGTTTAAGAAAAACAGTACAGCTGTGACTGGTGCGGCTTAGTTGGTTGGGTGCTGTCCCTCAAAGCGAGGGGTCACTCATTTGATTCCCAGTCAGGGCACAAGCCTGGGTTGCAGGCCAGTCCTGGGTTGGGGCACATGTGAGAGGCAATTGATCGATGTTTCTCTCAAACAGTGATGTTTCTTTCCCTCTCTTTCTCCCTCCCTTCTCCTCTCTCTAAAAAATAAATAAATAAATAAAATCTTTTTAAAAAAAGAATAACAGTACTACTCTGGCAGATTCCATGACCTCCAGCCTCCTGTTTTCCCCTTCCTCCCTGGCCACCATGTTGGTTCCCCGGGATCCATTCTTTGCTCATGTCATCTCTCCATTTGCCCTGGGTGAGCCTATTGTTTTTTCTGGCTTCACTGCTCTCTTCTAGGTTTGCATGACTCCTACGCTTGTAGCTTGATTCAAGGCCTCTGCCCTAAGAACCACAGGTTGAAGTTGGACGCAAACCCTTTCCTGTCCCCTAGACACTGCATACTCCACAGAGTGCAGCTGACCCTTCATCCTTCCCTTCAGACCTGCTCCTATGAGCCTCTGTTATTCTGTTTGGTCCTCATGCCTCCTCTGGGTGGAAAGGACCTGAGGAGGTATTATTCCTGTCTTCTGGAATGTGAGCCTCCAAGTAGCAGGCTGCTGGTTGGTAGTCTCTACTTTTGTGTGCTCTCTCCATGTTGCTTTAGGTTTTTCCCATTGTAGGAATGTTGTTTTAGGGGTAGAGCACCTTCCGAAGAGAGCCTGGACTCTGCTGTTGCATCTGCACCCAGTCTTCCCTGTCCTGTCACCGTAACTTGTTTCACATCACCCAGCCAGGGAAATGGCACCTTACCATTCCCCGGCAGGGTCTGGTGGGTGGGATTCCCCTCTCAGACTCCAGCTCGGATGGCTCCCGCAGTGCTTACTTGCAGCAGGGTTATCAGGCACAAGGACAGTCAAGTGTTCAGGGGGATGGTTCTTGTAATAAGTTCTCTTTACTTGGGCTTCTTCACCACAGATCTTTATGAATTTGTTTTGGAATTTTATTTACTATTCATTCCTTTGTAAGATTCATGTGTTTTTTGATTCAAATCGAACGATTTAGTTTGTGAAAGATGCTGACTTGCTTTCCCCTGCCCCTGCCCCATAAGGCTCTGCTGAGCAGCTGCTGAGCCCTGAGTGCTGGAAAGCCACTCTGCGAGCCCTGGGCTGCTGCGCCCCCAACTGCCAGCAGGGGGCGGCTTCTGCTGAGAGCGCGGCGTTTCAGAGCTCCCAGGACGTTCTCTTGTCAGACAAGCAGGTGTGTAGCTTTTGGCATCTGACTTTTTTGTCTGTGCCTTCTTTTTCCATTTCCTTTGTTTTAAGAACTCCATGCTTCTCTTTGTCAGTCACTTGCTTCCCCTATCCCCATCCCCCGGTCTGGGTTGCCTTTCTCTTGCAGTGTGATTCTTACTCATCTGTTCAAGAGCAGCCTGGCCTGCCCTCTCCCCATCTTAACCCGCCTACGTCTTGACCTCACACCACTGGCTCTTTTGGTCAGGGTTTCATGCAGTATCGTACAGAGCTCCCAGTTTCATAAATTTTATATGATATGGGCCCACACGAAAGTTTATTTCAAAAGGTTCCTCTGCTTTAGAAAAAACTTAAGATATGGTGATTTACTTTTCACGTGCTGTACAACTTTGCAACTCTTACAAAATCAAAGCTTTCCATCACAGTCTGCTGTGATACTCTGCTGGCAGGTAGATAGATATTCAGTGTGTATTTTTTTTAATAAGTCATTCTCTTTCAGGTAATGGAGACTATACAGTGGCTCTCAGACTTTTTTTATAAGCTTCGGTTATCCACGTTGGACTTTAAAAGTTTTGGTTTATTCTCAAAATGGAGTCCTTACGTGGATGATGTGAAGACATTCATGGGCTATCTTGTAAGAAGGCTGCTTGACTCAGAAGTGGCTTGCTCTGACCAAGACCCATCTGCCAGCAGCAAAACAGGTAATATGCCTTGAGTGCAATTCGGAGGTGGGTTTTTTGATCTTCCATTAGAAGAGACTTGAATAGACACATTAAGAGGTTTAAGTCTTTGCAATAAAACTGTCTGAGTGTCAAGCAGAGGAAATGGGAGATATATGCATAGGTGTGAAACCATATATGTGTCATACTTATGTTCACTTAGGCAATTGGTGCTTGTTTTAGCTTGTTTCTGCCCCTGCTTTTGTAGGGCAGAGTACCAAGAGATGATAGGTTTCAATCTCCAACTCTTTCTTCCTGTTATTTACATCACTAAGAAAAGGGTCCTGAATATTTAAGCGTTGATCTTTAAAAAAATATATTGTTATAAAATTATCCATGACATTATGTAATAAAAATTCCAGTCAAGGAATTCCATTGTAGCACATAAAAACATGCTTAGTTACATTAAATATTTTGTTTTTTATATCAACATAAGTTTATGAGTATATAGATAGTAAGTAGATTCTTTATATAGTGTTATCAATGATATTGACAAAGGATACACTTGTATCTTGTCTCTAAAAATTTTTGTTTTAGTGCTGAGATCCTTGCATTCATTAATCATCCAACTCTTTAAGCCGTGGATCCTGGTTTTAGAGGACAATGAAAGGTATGTCGTTTATCAGATATTCAAGTTCCTGTGAAATATATAGATTTAAAGCTCTGATGGTGTTTTGGTAGAAGTGATGCAGTCACAGATTTAATTTTTTTTAATTAGGGATATACTTAAATTTGGAAAATGCTTCTTTACCAAAGAAACAAGACATTTTCTGTGGAGTTTTTAGTCTGGTTGATCAGAGCCATTATCTTTATATTAATTTTGAAGCAAAACTGGATAATTGTTTCCAGTTTTCCATGGTAAAGAAGTTGAATGAGTTTTGGTACTTAATTTCAGTAAAACAGATGCTGCCTTCTTTAATTAGGTTTGGAGAATATAACACTAAAACGATGAGACTAACTTGATCTTATTTAGTTCTTTAGTTACTTTTGGAACTAAGTTGGCTTTCAGATTAGTGGGTGGGAATTACCCTTTTAACATGAACTGTTTGATTAAAGGAAACGTAACTTCGTGAGCATTTAAGAAAGATGTGGAGCTGTCCGAGTGGCCCCTTCTGAGTTGTTTTCCCCCTAAAAGCATACAGACAAAAACTAGGTGAACTTGATAGGCGTTCTGTAAAAATTACAACACTGGTAGACATTACAGTATTTAAGGTGTTCCCACATTATTAAACTGATTCTGAAACTCAGAAAAGTTACACGTCTTGCTCCTGAGCCACAGCCAGTGAGGGCCCGCACTGGGGCCAGAGCCCTTGCATTAACCCAGGCTGCTTCAAGAGCTTCTTGAAGGAAATAGAAAAGATTCTGGATCTTTGCTTTTGCTAGAAGGCTATTCTTAAACAGTCTGCAGCTTTCAGGATTTTGTAATGTCTGTTGAACTGCTGACCATAATGCAGGCCGCCTATTTATTTCTAGGAAGAATTGATGGAATTTATTTTGATCCTGAACTTTCTGGACCAGATTCAGAAACAGATTTTCATATAAAGAGTTTTTTGTTTAGTTATTTCCCATCCATCCATGTTTGGACATCTTTTTGTTCCATGAACTTTTCTTTCTCCCTTCCTCTGCCCCTTCCTCCTTGTGAAACCGTCTGACAGTGTATTTCTAAGGCATTTCAAATGCACCCAAGAGGCACAAGGGATGGGTTCAGTGGTATGAATTGGATGTAAAAAAATGTTAAGAGTCAATTTATATAACACTTCTAAAACTTCATTATTTTGGAATAAAGATTAGAAAGAAAGTATATAAAACTATGTGGTTGATAATTACAAGCTACAATTCACCACAAGAAATTTAAATGTGTTTTAGGGCTACATAACACACTATGATTTAGGCAAGCCTTATCCTCTGGAACCTAGAGTAATTTAGTCATGGTATTTCATTTCTAAGTTTGTTTTAACTAATTAATTAATTAATTTACACGTTTTCATTTATTTAAAGCAGCCAGTGCTGTTACCCCTGGCTGGAGAGCGACACTGTGGTGGCCGCCAGCATTGTGCAGCTGTTCACTCACTGCATTGGCTCGCTGCATGAGAGTTTTAAAGGTAGGAAGGCATTATGTTATGTCTCTGGTTGGTTTTCACTTTTTCCCTAAGTCATTCAATTAAGTTTTTGCTCCTGCTTTAGTATTTTATTTAATTTTATTTTAATTACTATATTTTGCTGTGTATAATACACACTTTGTTACCCAAATTTTTGCGGGAAAGATAAGGATGCGTATCGTACATGGGTGGTACATGAAATACCTTGTATCTGTTCCTGTGTTTTGTAATGATTTCTTACATAAAATTTCTTGTACCATAATATGTTAAAAAATTAATGCTAAAATTCCTTTATAATACAAAAAACGAGTATCTACATATAAATAAATAAATAAATAAATAAATAAATAAATAAATAAAGCAAAGGATTTTTTTCCTGAATGTGTGGGCCAAAAATGTGAGTGCGCATTATACATGGCGAAATGCAGTAGTAGGCAGTCCTCTTTGACCAAAGAAAATCATTCATACAGTGTTCAGTGTAAAGTTCATAACCTCTTACCTTGTTTGTGAGGTAGTTCGGAGTTTCGTCAGTTGTGGAAAATATGCCACCTTTCTCTTTTAAATATTGTCTACGCCCAATTTTTAACCTCATTCTGTCTTTATGACTTCTTTTTCATGTTTTCTATCTTTCTGTATTTCATTTTGGGCAAATTCTTGAGGTTTCTTTTCCAGTTATCTAGTGCCTCTATGTCTCATCATCTTTGAGAAATATCCATTGACTTTCTTATTTCAATTTCTAGAGGTTTTATTTGTTTTCCAAATATACCCTGATCATTTTTGATGGCTTCTTATTTATTTCTTTTGTTTAAAATTTCAATTTTTAATTCTTTAAAATGTTTAAACATGCTACTTTCTTTTGTGTTCCATTATCTGAAGTTCCCACTGAAGGGTGGCTTATACTGCTATTGGATATTCCTTCCTACTCTTATTCCTAGAGGATTGTTTCCTGTGTATTTTGTAAGTGTGTGTTCTAAGCCTTATTTAGAGACTTTCTCTTGGGAAAGCCTGTAAAGACTAGGATGAGGGTGCGCGCCTCCAGAGACAATCTGCATTTGTTGCCAGCTATGACTAACGGGAATTTCTGGGATTGGGTTCCTCACAGTTACATGAAATTGAAGTCCAAACTGAACTTGTAGGCAGTTCTTACTTATCATAGTAAACCCTTTTTCTTGCCGGAGTCCAAGTCCAGGCTAAGGTAGAAAAGGTGCCTTCTCCCCCTAACTACCCTTTCAATGAGACAGCAATCCTCAGAAGACCTAGTCTTTGGTCTCCTTGTGCTTAAAACCCAGCGTAAGCAAGTACTCCCAGGTCAACTGTGGCTTCAGTATCAGTTTATTGCTCTGGTTTCCTGGTCTCTGCTTTTGGCTCCTGGTGTTTCTTCCACAGAGTGTGCCTAGCTCTGCATTTTCAAAGATGTAGTATTTTACTGGGGTGTGTATTGAAATGTTTTATATTAGGAGGTTTATGAGGATATTAGGCCTACCCAACTCAGATTCTTGGAATAGCCTCCTGTTTTCCAATCTCCAGTTTCTGTTCCTGTCTATTTACTAGATTAATTTACCTAAAATATTATTTATGTCCTAAACTTACTCAGAAACTTTTAAATGTAATGTTTTAGCTCAGCATCCAAATTATGTCTGGCTCAGTGCATTTCAACTTTATGTGATGATTTTTCAATGGAAACACTCTACTCTAGCCAAACTGCTCTCCTCACTGTTCCATAAAAGCCCTTGGGCCTTCTTTCTGCCCCTCACTTGTGAGGGCACGGAATTTATCTGTGTGTTGGGTTGGGGCTAGCAAGTCTTGTCCTAACAGATTGCCTCCTGGAAACAAAACTATCTTTTATCCATATTTGAACAAATGCATGCTTCACTCATTTTAAAAGGTTACTAAAAACATAGGTTAAGATTTCATGCTGTAAAATACATAAAATAGGCTTTAAATTTTTAAGAGCAGTTTTAGGCAAAATTGAGCAGGAAGTAGAGAGTTTACTTACCCCCCACCCCCACCCCACACAGCCTTCCCCATTGTTGACGTCCTGAACCAGAGAAGTACATTTGTTAGAGTCAATGAACCTACATTGACACACCTCATCAGTGCCATATACTTTGTGCCTATTTGATAAATATTGGTTCAGTGAATAACACAAGACATCATGATAGTACTTTTTTTCGAAAGGCAGACTATTCTAACTGCTTTTTTCTATCCAGAATATATGTATTAATGAGAAAAATACTTGAGCATAAAATTATAGTCACAAAGGCTTTATATGTAATTTCTTAGTATAAGGGGCAAGCACTCTCATAGGCTCTTATCTGTGTATATAAAATAAGAAAATGGCTTAAGACCAGGAGGGTACACAGGAACTGGTTGCTAAGTTCAGAGAGAGGAAACAGAACTACGCAAAGCAGGGTGAAGGAGTATGAAATTGTAGCCTCTTAGATCATTGATCCAGTTCTCTCCTTTTATTTGTGAAAAAATGCTGAAAAGCACAATGAATTTCTCTGAGCTGGGCTGGAACTAGAAGGTCATTCTGGTTCTAAGAGATTACCTGCTAGATATCCTCTACCTACATATCCATCCTTATCTAAACGAAACTGTCTTTTATCCATATTTAAACAAACGCTACCTTCACCCTGTCTTAAAGGTTGTTAGAAAATACATTACTGTTTCATGCTATATCGTAAAGACTGGGAATCTATGGAATAGGAATTTTAGAAATGATAAATCAGCTGGTACCATGTGTTGATGCTCATTTTTTTCAAAAGTGGGTATTGAGAAATACCATCACATTTCTGTTCTCATTGTGTGTAGCTCTCTTCTTTGACTGTGCTGCATTCCATTGCATAGAACCAGAAAGGCTGAAACTATTTGTTTCAGACTAAATGCCCCTTACATTGACATTAGCTCTGGAGGCACTAAAGGAGTTGATTCTTGTGAGGAGAATACTGAGTGATCCTGGTTGCAGATGAATGTGAGATTTGTTGTAGAATGACTTACCTGCAAGACAATTAGGAGTCTCATTTTACTGCACCAAGGGTTAACGTGTTAGTCATTTGGAGCATGTCCCTTTGAGGAATATTGGATTCCTTCAAGGTGCAAAATAAACGAAGTGCTAAATGCAAGAGACTGAATACACGCAGAGGGCCACAGACTAAAGGGATATCTAGAAGTGGTTAGGGCTGTGGAAGTGTATTTGAGTTAAAAAGCCATCTATTTAGAAGTTTTGAAGGGAAATTGATCACCCCTGCCATTTCCCACATACCAGCTGCCTATTCCAATTACCCAAGTAATAAAAGTAGCATACTTTGTTATTAACCTGCAACTAGTTTTTTTTCCCCCTAGGTATATGAAATTGGGTAATTATTGAGAACCTTAAGTTTTAGACTTTAGTTCAGATTTGTCTGTTGTATCATCATCCTCATCATTATTATTTTAAAAGATAAACCAAAAGGTCTTGAGCTGTATTTTCTTTTTGAATTTAGGGAAGCTGTTGCCAGGTGATGCAGAAGCCCTTCGGTTACACCTGATGCATTATTGTGAAGCATGTACAGCGCCCAAAATGCCAGAGTTCATTCTGTACGCTCTTCATAGTGCCTACCGGAAACTGCCGTGGAGGGACCTGCACCCCGACCAGATGCTCATGGAGGCCTTCTTCAAAGTGAGTCCCTGCCGCCCTACCGCCCGGAGAGGCGTGGCTGCCTGGGAGCAGCACCCTGTGCTCCCCAAGCTGTGCACTTTAGGCACAGTTGCCATGTGTGCCAAAGTGGAGTGTGCCCGTGTTCTGTGTGGCCCCAGTGGCATTTGTGTGAAGCATCATCTCATGGAAATCATTTTAAGGTGTTGGTAGATGATTGGAAAACATTTATAGGGCCACTTTTAAAACCCAGAGAAAGACTTTGTCTGTAACACGGCAGCCATCCCCCCGACTTTAGTAATGATATTGTTGAGTCCATAGTTCAATGACTACGCCACATTCTTCTTGGTGTTTTCTGTACATGCTTGTTTTTCTCAGATAGTATCATTAAAACTACATACTGGTAAATGTTCTATTAAAGCAAAATGTAAATGGGAACAAGCCTTTAGTTTCTTTAAGTAGTTATACAGGGAGTAACTAGGTGGTAGGAGATAGACATGTAACACTGGTGATGTGTCGTCGTGTAAAGACCTGAGATGACCTGGAAGAGTGCCGCTCAGTGTGTGTGAGACTTTGTGGTAGAAGCAGTGGTTACCAAGAACAGGCACAGTAGGGTCACTTACATACTAGTTAGGCAGTTTGGTGGTTTTTCTATTTTAAAAAACCATTTATAATTTTCACTTTATATGATTGTTTCAGTTTATTTTCTCATAGTTATCAGTTCATTTGTGTTTACTCTTCACTTAATGTCACATTGTATTGAAACACCTTATGTGCTTTAATTACTATAAGCCCAGCTATTTGTGGCAGTTAGTAAAATGTAGTGCAGTCTTGAAGTGCTTTAAAAGGAAACCCAGTGCTGCTCTTGTGTCGTCCCCCCCCCCCCCCGCCCCCCGTAACCCTCTCGAAAGCTGAGGACAGTTGTCTTAAAGAAACACAAGGTTCAGAAAGATTTTATAGCTAGGTTGAAGATGGGAGACAGGCACTAAGTAGATGTCCATTACTATTAAGAATATGGAAGGAGCTGTAAGATAGCATTTAGGGAAGACAGCAGCCCTAGCCATGTGGCAGATCAAGTAGCAGAACAGTCTGTAAAGGGGTGCTGCGGGCTCTCTGTCTCCAGGAGTTTTAGTCTAGTTATAGGTGACTCTGGCCTGCCCAGGAACTGGGAACCTTTTAGTTTTGTGCGCCCTGTTAGCGTAATAAGGTACAGCTTTTGAGGGGGTTGAGGGTGAGGATCGAGAGCAGGTTATAAAGGAGGATTAAGAATCATTTTCTAAAAGGGAAAAGAATGAGTAGCTAGCATGGTATAATGACGGTGCTAATGGGAGGACATGAATCATCACCAGATCCTATTGATAGTGACTTTATAAGTGGAGTAGAGCTTCTTAATCTTCATTCTGAAAGGAAAAATTTATAGCTAGCCATGTTTTATTTTAAACAGACTTGAAATAGGCTTATCAGGTAACTTTGACATTGATAATATACTTTATAATACGTTTGCCACCCCCCATCTGTAATAATTTTAAATAGGATTTAACTATTATACTATCATCAAAAATTATAAAGACTAATGATATACAGACATTTTTGTAACATAACATTACACTAAAAAGGCAGTTAAACATGTATATATTAATATAGTCAAGTCTCAAAGTATGGTTCCAGGACTAGGGCATTAGTACCGCCTGGGAACTTGTTAGAAATGCAGATTTCCGCACCTACCCCAGACGTAGGGAAGTGAAAAATTCCACTACATCTGGGGGCACCTCAGTGTGTGTTTTAGCAAGTCCTCCAGATGGTTCTGATGCACACTCAGCTTAGGGAACTGTTGACTAGTGAGTGGATCTCAACCTTTGTTTCCTCCCAGCTCATCTGAGGACTGCGACAGGCCCCCCTCAGCACCAGTGACTCAGGCAGGGATTTGCCACCTGGTTAGAGCTAGGGAAGCTCATTTCTCTCCTGCTGGGACTTAGTCAGATAAACAATGAACTCCAAACAAGCTGCAAAATATACACACACTGAGCACGGAAGGAAAGATTGTTACCTCTAAATCTCAGAGTGGGGAGTGGGGGTGGGGGGTGGGGGGTGGGGGGTGGGGGGTGGGGGAGGGGGGAGAAGTAGGATTATAGGTGACTTTTATAATCTGGAAAAAAATGTTATTTTTAAAAATATAATTTAGTAAACATCAGTTTACATGCATTTCCAAGATACAGAGATAGCTTTAAGCAAAACATTGGTTTTAATTTGTTCTCTTTTAGGTGGAACGGGGAAGCCCCAAAAGCTGCTTCTTATTTTTGGGGTCTGTCCTCTGTGAAGTCAACTGGATCAGTGTGCTCGCTGACGCCTGGAGTCCAAGTCCCCTCCCAGAGACCCGGAGCATGGTTGTCTGCCTCCTTTTTATGCTGATCTTACTGGCAAAGGAAGATCAACTGGCTGACCAGCCGGTAAGCTTGGAGGGTCTATGCTGAAGTGTGACAAGGCCCCCTGGATCCTCGCTCTCTACGAGGCTGTCATTTGTCACTTCTCTCCCTAGTGCCTCTGCCCCTGTCAGTGTGACTGTGCTCAGTATGTGGGATGTGCCTCTCATCAGACGCCTAATTTCCTTGGATAGTTCTTAATCTAACTCTAAATTAGGAAGGGAACCACACTGAGGCAGAATATAAAAATTAATTTTATTTTACATCTCATTAATTGCTAGTTCTAATACCAGATCAGAAAGTCCCTTTGGAAATTGGGTTCTGAATATTTAGAAATCCTACTGCGTTTTTGCCAAGACTTTGGCTGTCACTGTCACCAGTACACCTGACTCCAGTAGATACTTATTGAACATCTTACCTGTCCTATGCTGACTATCAAATAGACTATCTTAGTGGTCACTTCAGAGACTAATTAGGGACACATATTTCTGGAAAAATGGAAGCTCTTGAACTAAAGAACTATGTTTTATTTTTAGGAGTCGCCTCTGCTTAGTCTCCTTGGGCAGACAGGTTCATTCTCATGGCATCTTGTGGATACCGTGTCGTATCAGAGCGTGCTGGGTTATTTCAGCAGCCATTACCAGCCAGCCATCCTCCTGGAGAAGGAAGCTTCTGCTGAATTAATCGTGAAGCTCCTAAAAGTGACTGCAGGCCTCTCCGTTCCTACTGATGGCCAGAAACATCTTGTAAGTTGAGTGGTTGCTTTAAAAGCAGAGTGTGTCAGGGCTGGTAATAGCGCAAGTGCTCCTGAGGACAGCCTTAGAGTCTGAAACGGCTCATCAGAGCAAGTGCGAGGGTGTCTTTCATGTGTACTCATATTTTGACCTCTTGGATCTTTTAATTTTATTTATCTCTTTTGATAAGCCTTTACTTGCCAGCAGGGTCACATGCTAACAAGAGGCCAAAAGGATCATGCCTTAGTGATCTGAATGTCACTGGCTGCAGAATGTCACGGGAGTGATGAGTTGGAGGTCTGAAACACTCAGGTCCTCAGCTTATTGCATTCTGATCTTGGTTTTTTCATCTGAATTGGAAATAATACCTTACCTTAAAGTGTTGTGAGGACTAAATTAGATAATGAACATAAATGTTTTTGGAAAAGTTCCTGGCAAGTAATTTGTGTGTAGGTAGTGTTTTAATGTAAAAAAAAAGGAAGACTGTTCCAGCAGAATTTGAGGTATATAGGTTCTAGTTCAATTACTGCCATGGACTTGCATATTGCCTTAGACACAAGTAGTGCAGTGCCGCGCTCCCAGGGTGTACTCAGTGAACACTACTCGCACGGGTTCATTTGAATGATTCTTCTTTTTATTGTTAGGATGCAGTTCCAAAATGCCGAGCCTTCATTCATCAGATGGTTCAGTTCCTCAGCTCCCTGGAACAAAATGGAAAAATCACCTTAGCTGTTCTAGAACAGCAAATGTCTAAGCTCTTAGATGATATCATTCTCTTTAACCCACCTGGTAAGTGACCACTGGGAGGTCATTTATTTATTCCGTAAATGAATTCCTGTTGTCTCTAAGGCATTGTGATATCAGGAAGATGGTCAAGATAGTCATTTCTGTTTCCAAAGAAGCAATGGTCAGAGGTGACTGGGCCCTAGGGGCACTGTCAGCACGGGGCACGGAGGGGGAGGCGTGGATGTTAAGAACTGGAGGAGGGTTGACTTTGTCAGGTCCTGGTGTGAGGCTCACTGAACTGAGGGCTGAGATAGGCGACTAGAAGAGTGGACGATTGGGAGATCGCAGGAGACCGTCCAGGGAGCTGCATGCCCGGCTGTTTTCGGCTTTCTAAGAGGGCACTTCCGAACCACCTGTAGACTTAGAAAGACACTGTGCAAGAACTTGTGCTCCCAGCAGTTTGGTGGACTAGGCATCCTGACTGCCTCTTCTGCTGAAAAGAACTATAAATTTTGGATAAAATGTTTTTAAGAAACCCAAAATTAAACTTATCAGTGAGGTGGCAGAAAATCTCAGACATTAGATGTAAGTGAAAAGAGGAACCTGTGAAGGTGGATGGAGTAGCAGGTGGCTTTCACCTTGAAGACTTTTGCTGAACCTCCGTAGGATCTGGTGGAAGTATGTTCTTTCAGTAGAAGTAGAGTGATCACAGATATACAGCTTGAGTTGCAAGAAGGAGTAATAAGCAGAGAAAGTAGTAAAATGTGGGTATGGGTAAACAAAGCCTGCTTATATAAAACTACAATAATCATGCCTTTAGGGATTTAAAAAGCCAAAGCTAAAATTAGGTTATACAACCACCAGTATATATGTTGAGTTAAACTCACATATATACTGTGAGTTTAACACATACAAACTCACATGGAAGGAGGTTGAGTTAAACTATAAGGTTTTAGTATTGTTTGAGAGCATCAAGAAATTGATGAAACTGACACTTTGATTAAAATATGAATGTTAAAAAGTCTAAGAAATTCACCAAAAGAATAGAAATAAAATGTGTAAGTTCTAAGCTAGTAGTGGGAGATAAAAAGGAATGGCTAAAATATGTTCAATCCAAAGATGGCAAAAAAAGAATCATTGAGAAGGTGAGAGAAATAACTGAAATAAGATGACGAAATTCAAATACATCAGTAATTGTAAATGGACTGATGTTCAGGTTAAAAGGGACTGTCAGACTAGATTAATAAGCAGCACCATCGTGCTTTAAGTTGTTTGTAAGAAGTACCTGAAAAGCTTTCATAAGGCAATCACAGCAGGCAAATACTAAAGTAGAAAGCTGGCCTAGCTCTCTTCACATTAGATGGCGGGGGAGAGGCAGAAAGCATTACAGGACCCGATGATCTCTAGTGTGTTTTCCTGAAGTTGCATGACAAAAAATAAGAAATGAGAAGCACTATTAGAGATATAAAGAGAATCACCGGAAATTGATAAAAAATTCAGTTCACAAGGAGATACAATTCTCAACTTATTTGTATCTAATAACACGGTAACAAATGCATAAAGTGAAAATTGACAGAACTAGGAAATGGCGAAATCACTCACAGTGAGAGATTTTGACATGTCTCACAGGATTGATAGATCAAGTAGGTAGAGAATCGGCAAGACTATAGGAAGTCTAAATAGCACAGCTGGATATAATGGATGTGTAGAGAAAGATGTACCTGTTTCATATAGTATTGTAGGTGTGGCAGGAGATAATGCACCTAAAGTTTAGCACCAGCTTGGCAAGTCACACTCAGAGAATCTTAAAAGAAAAAAGAAAGAAAAATTAGAGAGCAGCACTGGAGCAACTGTTTTAGAGTTGATCATGCGATTGGGCTGTGAAGTTTGAGTAACAGCTGACCAGGCAAAGGAGAGAAGGGTATTCTAAAAAGATCTTAATCAGAAGGATGATGGGATCAGATCTGATTTTTAAGAAAACATTTGTTGGCCCTGTTGATGATTAATAGGAAGGGGAGAGGTTGAGATCTTTTAGGAGGCTCATTGCAGTCATTTTTTATTCCTGAGTCATAATTAAAAGTAAATCAAAATTGCTGTTCAGCTGACATTCAGAGATAAGCCTTTAAAGTCCTTGCTTAATAATAAGTAGGTCTTACAGTGACAACATTAGGGTTTATTTAATGTTGTGTAAGTGTGTGCATTTGTTCTGATGGGTGTGATGAGTAATACCTCCCTACTCCCATTGACATGAATACCGAAGCCATGGTGTGAGAAAGCCACAACTCTATTACATTTAAAAAAAAAAAAATGTGTGCCCAACTCAAGGAGAGCTAGAAATAGTTGACAAAAAGTCAACTATTTTGAATAGTTAAATAATTTCTCCACACACTCTCAGTGAAATGGATTATCCATTTTTGAATGTAAAGAAGGAATCTACCTTAGTAACTGACTCATTTGCAGTTATCTTGTAAAATGAATTTACTTTTGCTTGTGTACTGTTCTCTTTTCACATCTTAATTTTTTAAAAAGACTTAACTTATATTACCAGTCTTTGCTATTTAAAAAAGGCAAATAAGTAAATAAAAGAGCTGCTGTTAGGAGCCTTTAAAAAAGGTTTTTCCACCTTTTATATTTTGTTCTAAACAACAATTGTTCTGTGTAAGTCCCTCTGGAATCGACAGCTTTGGCAGTGGGGGTGGTGGAAGTACTGTTTCTAATTGGTTTATCAAATGACTGCTGAGATCTCTGTGTTTGGTTTTCCAAATGAGCTAAGTTTGGGAAATAATGACTAAATAAGCATGTTCTGATAAGTAAGATACTCTCACACCAGCTCATGTCTGTTTATTAAAAGTATTGCTTGGTCATGCTACTATACCCAAGGATCTTGCAGTAGTAGTTCCTGCTTTGCTCTTTTAAAGTACCTGTGTGCCACATCCCGTCCTTAAAGCTGAGCACCACCCAGAGTCTTCTCTCTGATCTCCGAGATCAGCCACAGAATTGTAAAATCTGCCTGAAGAGCCGCCGAGATTAAAGCACTGTTGTTCCCCTGAGCCCATGCATATCTCCTTCCAGCAGCCTTTCACGAGTGTGTGTCTGTGTTCTCCTTCAGACGTGGACGGCCAGACCCGCCACATGGCCCTCAGCAGCCTCTTCATAGAAGTCCTAATGATGATGAACAATGCAACTATTCCAACGGCAGAGTTCCTCCGGGGCAGTATCCGGACCTGGATTGAGCAGAATGTTCACGGGCTGGCGGTGCTGCCCCTTCTCACTGCAGCCTGCCAGAGCCTGGCTTCTGTCCGCCACATGGCTGAGACGACAGAGGCCTGCATCACCGCCTACTTCAAAGAAGGTAAGAGGACCGTCACCTCATGCTCTCTGTAAATGTCGATGTTTCTGAATATATTTTGTCTTTTTCATAAAGCTCTGCAGGTAGCATGAGAACCTATGACCCGTGTCTGTTGGCACAGTCACGTTTTGAACTTCTGTTCATTTTGTTGGTTTTAGAGTGTCAGATCAACACTGTCATAATAGACAAATCGTGTGTGACGCAAGCCCAGTCATAGTCCTCGGAGAAAATACTATAAACCACAATGTACCTAATAGTGACCCGCTATATTAATTTTTCTCTATTTTGTCACTTGTTAAAATGAGTTTTCATAGGACTCCTTTTATTATTTCTTGTCACATCTTTTAAACCATTATGAAAAGGCCATCCTCCCTCCTGCCATCCCCCACCCCAAACACCTTCCTCTTATCTTTCCTACTCTCTGTATCTAATCTCTCACATTCTGGAAACAGCCTGGTCTGGTTAAGAAGAATCGCTCAGAGGAGCACTTCTCAGCTCCTGGCACACGTCGTGGTGCGCACAGTAGGTGAGAAAGGGTATGGAGTGAGAATGCCAGGAAGCGCCTGTTTTCTGCCCTTTTCTTGACAACCCGTGAATCCCCATGGGAGGCGCTATGCATGTGACCCATGTCACCCCATGCTAAATCCCCCTGAAGAATTGAGAGCCATTACGATTAACACCCCTGGTCCAAAGTGTTTATATTACTGAAATCAAATTTTCAAGAATTTCTGTTAAGATAGGAGTCAAACTAAGCATGAATAAAAACAGACTAATGATTTCCCTTGGAAAAACCTTAGTATTCATACTACAAACGGTGTTAGGGTTAGCATTTTTAGATGACTGGGACAGGCAGTGTTCACGTGTCATTTTAATGAGCATACTGTTATGAGAATGGTGATTTATACAAATGCAACACTGAATTCTGATCTTAACGCTCTCTCGTGGCTAGCCAGGGCCCAGGCATTTGGCATGAAGGCCTTCCAGCTAAGCTGCAAGGCACGTTTCATTTTTGTGGCCTCTGGGACCACTGTGGGCAGTGTTTTCTTGATGTGAAGCTTAAAGTGAAGAGATTTATTACAGCACTTCCATAATCTGAATATGGCTTTTATCTTGCTGTCTCCTCTTGTTCTTTTCTTAGGCTCCAACAATCAGATTTTAGGATGGGGCCCCATTCTGGTGTCCCTTCAAGTTCCTGAGCTCACCATAGAAGAATTTCTGCAGGAATGCCTGTCCCTTGGCAGTTACTTGACTCTTTATGTCTACTTGCTGCAGTGTTTAAATAGCGAACAGACGCTGAGGAATGAGATGAAAGTGCTGCTCATCTTAAGCAAGTGGTTGGAACAGGTGTACCCGAGGTGGGTCAGCCCTCTGGCTGCTCTGTCAGGCTCACTGGGTTTGGATAACTTTGAATGTAGGGTTGAAGCAAGTGTTCATTTCAGTGCGCAGAGCCAAGTGAAGCAGAAGCAAAAGAGGCTGTGAGGTACAGGGCCACTTTTTAAGGACAGATTTTTACTTGCACGCCCTAATTTTCTAGGCACGTTTTTTATTTCCTAAAACAGGCATTTTGAAGCACTAGTCTTATCAGTTCAGTAATGATAGTTTACCTAATAGGGTTGTTAAGAGGGCTCATACACAGTGTCTCGCATGTCATAAATGTTCAATAAATGGTAGCTGTTATAGTCTCCTTACTTTATTAATATTGTTACCCATTAACCTAAGCTTTAAAACTACTAAATGCCCCGTACACTTAAAACTCAAATGTGAGTAGAGAAGATCCACTCCTAATTTTATTTTCCTCCTGGACCTCCCTCCAGGTCTGTGCAGGAAGAGGCGAAGCTGTTTTTGTGGTGGCACCAGGTCCTCCAGCTGTCGCTGATTCAGGCCGAGCAGAATGATTCGGTCTTGACAGAATCTATCATTCGAATTCTGCTCATGCTTCAGAGCAGGCAGAACCTGCTGGCTGAGGAGAGGCTCAGCTCTGGGATTCTGGGGGCAATTGGGTTTGGCCGAAAATCGCCCCTGTCTAACAGGTAAGGAAGCACCTGCTGCTACTCTTCTAAGTAGGCCTCAGCTCTACGCCTGCCTAAGGGTTGTGATACTTCAGTGGGCTTTTGACATAGGGACTAGGCTTTTCTCAAAGACTAAGGGGAAAAATGATCAAAGCCTTGATTACATCTTATTTTAAACATAATATTTATATTTTTCTCATTTTGAAACAATTTTGTTTTTATGTTCCGAGAATTTTTTTTTTAGTAGTATGTCTTGTTGTATTTTGACTTTGTAACCTGACTGCACTACTGGTTTCTTTTTGCCTTGGAGCCAGTGATGGTGTGTGGGATTAGGTTAAAACTCCCCTCCCTGTCAGCTGCCTCACTGCACGCATTTTATCAGAGCAATCCAGGCTCCAGGAGGAAAGAGGTCTACTAGAACTGTTCAGTCAAGATGAGTTAAAGTTAACTGATAAGAAGGGAAAGCAATGAGAAACAAATCTAGATTTTGTTGCTAAAAATGCCAAGGTATGAAAGAATTTGCCATTAATCACTCATTTTATCTCCTAATACTTATTTATTTGCATCCTGGTATCCTTTAAAGCCCTTATCAGCTATGGAAAGTGTTCTCATACCATTCTGATGTCAGCATTCTTGTGGAATAGTTTATCCTGTTGTTGCAACTTTGGGAACCAATTAATTCAAACTAGTTAACATGATGTTTCTTTATGATAGAATTTATCAGGACTGCAATTATGATTCACTTAAGTTCTGGTAAAATACATGTAACATAAAATTTATCATGGCAATCATTTTAAAACATACAATTAAATGGCACCTGGTATATTCACAATGTTGTCACATCCATCAGCACTAACCTAGTTCTGGAATGTTTTCATCATACCAAATGGAAGTCCTGTGCCCATTAGTCAGCCACTCCCTATTCCTTTCCCTCAGGTCTCTGGCAATCACTAATTGATTTTCTGACTATGTATATCTTGTTCTGAGCACCTCTTACAAATGGAATCATGTATAATAATACAGGGTGGGGCAAAAGTAGGTTTGTAGTTGTGAGTATGCAAAACACAGCTGATTTGGTTACTATTCATTAATTATTATACTATTTTTCAAATGAACAGTTGTAAACCTACTTTTGCTGTACCCTGTATGTGGCCTCTTGTGTCTGGCTTCTCTCACTTAGCATAAAATTTCAAAACTTGTCCATATTTTAGCATGTATCAATGCCTCATTCCTTTTTATGACTGAATAACATTCCATTGTATGGATATACCACATTTTGTTGATCCATTCATTAGTTGATAGGCTTGGGATTTTTCTCTTTTGGCTATCATGAATAGTGCTGTTATGAAATTTGTTTACGAGTTTTTGTTAGAACACTTGTTTTTAGTTCCTTTCAGTGTATATACCCAGGAATGATTGCTGGCATATCATTGCTCTATGTTTAACCTATTGAGGAACTGCCAGACTTTTCCACAGCACCTGCACCATTTTCTACATTCCCACCAGCAATGTCACAGAGTTCCAGTTATTCTACATCTTGCCAACACTTTCATTCATGGGTCGGAATTATGCTCACATTGTTTCGGTGATAATAATGGAAGGGAAGATTAAAGCTCCCTCTTGATCATATTTAAGAGTTTTCTGAAGGGGCTGAAAACAACAGTAGGTATGGAAATGTGTTAGTCTTGTTTTTTAATAGAAAATATGGTATTTGTTTTAAAATGCTTACTTTAATAGTCATTTACTTCTTCTTACCTCTCCCTAACACCCTAGGTTCCGAGTGGTTGCCCGAGGCATGGCCGCCTTCCTTGCAGTTCAGGTTCCTGCTGAGGATCAGATTCGTTTGAAGCCTAGCTCTGAATTATATCTCACCCCGAAAGCTCAGCAGGTCAGTAGAAACAGCTTTACAATGAAGGGGTAGATGCTTTCCCTCAGGCCTAGGAGGCGGGGAGGTGGCAGCTGGTAGCTGTAGTCTTCACACATAGTGCATGATCATGTGCAGGAAAATGGAGACCACGTGTGCCTGCTTCAGATTTTCAGCCACATTTTGTAAAGGGTCTTGCACTACTGCTACCATTGTGGAAGAAGCAAGGCCATAGGCAAACCAGTCTGGGATAGAATTTGGTGTGATGAATGTGACTGTGCTGACCTGCCACATGCAGCAGGCTGGGGGTGGGCACAGAGGAGGGGACCGCAGTTGAGAATGATGGAGGTTAGTTGAGCTTTTAATTGGAACCAAGGAAATGGCCCCTGTTTTGTGAATCTGGAGGTTGACGACTGTTGGCTGATGTTGGAATAACCTAACATGGACAGAATGGTACCTGTGAGAAATTACAGTTTGTTCTAAAAATGTGGAGGCCAAATGGCAGTGGTCCCATTCCTACAGCTATTGTCACCTGTCATCAGGCTGGCCAAGTACAAATGATGGCCACATTCTTGAATGCTTACTATGTGCCAGGCACCGTTGTAAGTTTTAGCTCACTTGATGCTGGTGAGTTAAAGTTTTAATTTATTTAATCCTCGTAACAGCGTTACAACATAGGAACTTTTATTATCCTCGTTTTGGGGGATGAGGAAATGGCGACAAGAAGAGGCTAATGAGTGTTGGAATTCATGCGGTCAGGCTGGCTCCATGCTCATACTCTTGCCCCTCTGCAGTAATGTCCATGGTAATGGTAGACACCTAGGCCCCTTAGCTCTTCTGCAGCTTTGTAATGTCTCGGGCAGCCGTGTTCAGGTGGTATTTTTGTTATTAAGAGCAAAGATCAAGCAGCACAACCTGCAGGTTCTTCGCCGCCATCTCGGTCTATACAATGCCCGAGACTCGTCATGAACCCACTAGACAACTGCTGTTTGAGCCCTGTGCCGTCTACAAGAGGGCAGATGGGTCTCCTCATTGTGAAGTCAGTGCGATGCATTACAGGGTGTATTTGAGAAGTCTTCTCTCCTGTGGCCACCAGTACCTGGAGCATGGCTTTTGCTTTAACTGTGGGCACCAGGTACCCCAGGTCTTGCCTTCCTGCCTGCATTCCTTTAGACTTAAAGTACCCATGCATACTTGTCATCAGGATTTTCAGACTTGAAAAGTCATTTTTTTATAAAATGATAACTCTTAGGAAAACTTTCACAGCAGACCACTTTGGGAACTAAACTTAAAAAGAGAAATGGGAGGGAGGGAGGGAGGGAGGCAGGGAGAGAGAGAGTGAGAGAGAGAGAGAAAGATGGACTATGGTTAGTGGGAGGTGTGCTTGTCCCCATTGATTCCTGTTCTTGGATTGACTGTTCATATAGCAGGTAGTCTGGTGCCAAAATTCCTTCAGTTGTTTATCTTCAACCCTATGATTCTGTCTTCAGCCCCCTGGTAATTTATTTCTAAGCTGCCAGTTCATTTACTGTCCTCAAGTATATCTCCTTTCTTGCCCTGACTGGTGTGGCACAGTTGGTTGGGTGTTGTTCTGTGAAGGGACGGGTCACCAGTTTGGTTCCCAGTTGGGGCACATGCCTGGGTTGTGGGTTCAGTCCCCTGTCGGGGCATGTGCAAAGGCAAGCGAGCCATGTTTCTGTTCCTCTCTTTCTCCCTCCCTTAACTTTCTAAAAATAAAGAAAATCTTAAAAAATTATCTCCCTGCTTGTTTACTGAGATAAGAAATTTCATCTTCTAATCTATATTCTTTAGTGCAGTGGTCTCCATAAATGCGGGGGACTTCATGGCTCACATTCAGAATCCTGGGGTTGGATGGGTTTGTATAGTTGGAAAATAAAATTCCTCATCCCCAAGAACCATAGTTCTGACTTTGTTTTCTTCAAATACAGTCTTCTTTCTCTTCTCCCTCTATGAAGGAAAGAAAAAAATAAAATTATGGAATTAAACATGTTTTGTTTATTCCTGAAGAGAGGCACAGGAACATTTTCATAGTTTCTCTAGGCAGAAGCTGGAGGAGTCTCTACTTTTACACTCATTGACTAACACAATGGCCTCTTTGCTTACTCTTGGCAGCACTTAGCCACTGGTTTCTTTTGAATTTCATTCAGTTAGACAGTTTAATAAGATGTTATTATGTAACCTAAGAACAAACCCAACAGCAAATTAAGTAGGCCCCACAGGCAGCTGGTGCCTGTGATTTTCATCCGGGGCCCCAGAGAGAGAGGCAGCCGAAGGGCTGGTGGGGAGGGCCCCGCAGCAGGCACTGGGGGAGGAAGTCAGGCAGTGTGACTGAAGCCATGGTTCTCTGTGGGGAAGGGCTGGGAGGCAGCGCAGGCCAGCAAGGGGGAAGGCTGTATGTAGATGACAGAAGCCCCAGAAGCCTGGGTTGCTGGCCGCCTTTTGCATGTGGTTAATCAGCGCTTACCTTTGGGACTTTGAATTTCAGTTCCATAGCTTCCCCAGAGGCTCACGGTTGTACCAGATGATAGCAGCAGGTGTGCCGCACCTGCTAGAATCCCGTTGCGTGGACCCAGGTGGTTAACCCGCTTTGTCTTCTGTGTCTTGTAGGCTCTGAGTGCACTTGAATCCTTGACATCAAGTAAGCAGTATGTTGAATACCAGGATCAGATATCGCAAGCTGCACAGTTTATAAAGCATCCTGGCCATTGCCTCCAAGATGGAAAAAGCTTCCTGGCTCTTCTTGTTAACCATCTCTACCCAGAAGTGCATTATTTGGACAATATACGATAGTAACACTGAGGATCTTGAAAAACCCATTGCTGTTTATGTTTACATTTAACTTTACTGTTGCACAAGTAACTGCTCAGTTTCACTGTGGAGCTCAGTGTGGCCCATGAGGTGGTTGACTGAGATGTAAGTCAGAGGCACTAGATCATTCTATTGTGCATGTGTACCTGTGAGTGTGTGTGTGTCTGTGTGTGTGTTCTTAGCTCTTAAAACCTTCCGTGGACTTTTCAGTTTTTATGTTCATTCAACAAGATAAAGTTACCAAGTTCCCCTTGGGGAAGAGCTACTCACAGTTGCCGAATATCCTAATCATCTCTTAAGACCCCAAGATAGGGTTCCTTGTAGGTTTCCACTTCTGTCTTCCCCTGTTCTCTTTCAATGTCGAGGGTCCTGTGCCAGATCTCACTACTTTGGGAATCATGTAGAACCCTCACTTTTGAACTCCATTTGTGTTTTTTCAAAAGTCAAATAAGCTTTGAAAAGTTCTGCATTTCTCAAATAGAAGGAAATATATCAGCTTAAAAGTATTGTGTATTTCTCTCAGATGGGAGATAAGAATGCTGAATTAGAGTTACTCCGTGTCTAAAATGTGACCACTTGATCCTGATTATAGTGGACAGCAGAGATGGCGACCAGTATATTTCCATCCAGCCATGTGTCCCTCATGGAGAGGCGCCGTCTGCGTAGGTCGGGGGCGGCTCGCTGGCAGCCTGGGGAGCCTCCTGGGCGCAGATGTGTTTTGTTTGGTCCACAGGGGTGGAGAATGTGAACAGGCTCGCTCTCTTCAGTTCAGTGTGGGCATGAACTCCCTTTCATTCCACCCCAGCCTGTTCCCCTCATTCATGTCACTTATAGACCCCTGTGGACATGTAAGTTTGCACCTCGCTATAGCCAGCAAGTTACATATCTGAAGGCCCTACTTGGGGGAGGTGGGTGGGGCAAGGGAGGGAGGGGGGGAGAGAGAGAGAGAGAAGGAGAAGGAGAAGACTTGGTTCTCTGTTCCCTGCTTGATCCTTCACTTCATTTGAAACTGAAATGAAGCTTACAAACCTGTTGAAACACTGGTCCTTGGAAGCCACATCAGGCCAGACTTGACTGAAAATTGGCTTTTTTTCAGTAGTCATGTGCCTTCTGTTGTTGTTAACTGCTCATTCATTACCAAAGTCTGTGTATAACATTGCCTTATTCTCTTGTCACCTTCTTGCTCTTGTCATTTCCCCCAGGAATTAGCAATTTGACTTCTGTCGGCATAGTGCTAATTCCGTTGGCTCAAAATCGATTTTGTCCACTTGCTAATGTGTCTTTTGTTTATGGGTTATCTATAGCCCAAGGATATTTGCCTGAAACTGTCTAAACAGTCACTGAGAGCTTTTAGCAGGAACTGGGGATATAGGTTAACAGATTTCTTTTCAGATATCCTCTTGGAATGCCTGACCAGACATGTGGAGTGTGTGGCTGGTCGCCATTTGGGACTCCTTTAGGTGGACACAGCAGTTCCGCTGCACAGATGTGGTCTGATAAAGATCATCCCTGTTCAGCCTCTGAGTCTTGTAGGCCACGCAGTGTCCCTCTCAGACAAGCACACCTCAGAGCTGTCCTTGTTTTTGCTGCTTCTCTCCATTTTCAAAATCAGTCATCTTCCTCGGGCTGTGTACAAGACAATTTTAGAAGCTATGAACAGTTTAGAGGCTGATTTGGCAACAAAGATTTTATGACAAAATATTTTGTGTGTTTTCTTTGAGGAGGATGTAATTATGGATATCCTAGAATGTGAAATTTTTGCGTGACAGTATGTACATTTTAAAGAAAATTATGATTAACCTGTTAATTTTTGAAGGTTTATGATATTTATAATGTACTTGGTCTCTAAAAATTATAAAAAATAAAATCATTCTTTGATTGTAGCTGGTAAGAATCCAATTTTTAGGGCTATCTCACTCTCCTGTAAAGCTTTTCAGTTGTTAAGGTTGATGCAGATCTTTATGCCCGATGTCATATAATTTACTTGACAGTGTAACTTGAATATCAGAGATGGCTGGTCAAAGTGCTGCTGCTTTAACTCCCTTGTGTGTAACAGGCGGTTTACTTACTGCATCGGGTCCTGAGACGCTCTGGGCTAAGAAAGTGCTTTATAGACACAAAGGTAGTTCAGAGGTGTCAGTGCCCCTGTAGCCCCTGAGACTAAGTAGGCCCAGCGTGGCCATTGGCTTTCAGGAGTAACCAGCCATTGCTGCCAAAAAACAGTCAGACTCCGGAGAGCGCGAGGCCAGCCTCTGAGGCAGTCACCGGTGCTGCCGGTGGAGACCTGGGTCAGGCAAGGCCAAGGCCGCCTCTGTGCCCAGCAGTGTGGAGGGTGAACCGGCACACGCGGCCATCAGTGGCACTGGGTACAGATCGGGGTGTCTGGCAGCTTTCTGGTCTTGTGGAAAGCATCTCTAATGCTTCTCCACTCGGGTCCCCGCTCCGCAGGCCACAGAGGCGGCGGGTCTGGGAGGCACGGAGTCTGAGGGAGGGAGGTCCTGCTGGCGTGTCTGCTCGGCCTGGCGGGGGCCAGGACTCCCCGCGCCCTACATGTCCACAAAGCTCCTGGGCGCACACGCCCTCAGCCCCAGCCACGTTTCTGGTATCATGTCTGCTTCCCCAGAGTTGTGCCTGAGTCTCTTCTCTGAGGTGGGGAGGCCTAGCCCACGCAATGAAATTCCCAGGGCAGCCCAACCTCACTTTAACCAAGTGCCAGCCCCATTTCTTCCAGTCAGTCAGTGGGTCTACTTTGTACAAGTTAGAGTGTTCTTGCCCTTTCTTCCTTTCTGATGAAGGTGATGTACAGTTTTCCACTGGATTTTTAAGCTTAAAATTAATGATTTCTTCTGGAGCAGGAAGCAGATGTCATGGGATCACAAGTCAGTGGGGGCGTTAAAGCTCATCTAGCCCCACTTTCACTCGGCAGGGTCCCCAGCCCCAACCCTCCAGCCTCTCTTTCACCCGCTCCTGTGACTGGTTGTCCCGCCCCTGGTGGGCAGCCGCGGAGGCTGTTGGCGGACCCTTATTCCTAGGGCTGCTTTATATTAAGCTGAAACCAGCCCCCTGGAGACACTGGTTCCGGTTCTGCTGGAGTGGGCTAGGCTGGGGCTGCTCTTACCTCTCCCAACAGACCTCCAGACACTGTCAGACCTTATCACACCCCTGACCGCCCACCTGCCTGGCCTCTGTCCTCTTCAAGCTAAATGCTCAGTGCCTTTCGTTGTCCTGGTCCGGCACAGTGTCTAATAGGGCTGCACTTGGTCAGGTGTCCAAAGTAGCCCATGTTATTCTAAAAAGGCTGCACCTGGGATTAGCAGGGCAAGGACTCAGGCGAGACAGACAAGGCACCCAGGGCACAAATTTAAGTTGTCACTCACCTGCAGATGCTAAGAGCATCCCTTCTATATTTCGTGTCCTAGCCTAGCTCCTGCCTTTGGGGCTGGTCATGTTAGTGTGGGCCAAGCAGCGGGTTCACCTTCCTGGACTCTGGCGGTACCAGCTCCCGGCCGCAGGGCCCTAGGGTGGTACATTCCATTAGTGGAGAGCGCAAACTCCAGGCCTCGGGTTGACATCTGTTGCTACCAAATACTGGTCTCCATGGCCGTCTGCGTGATGGGTCTAACAGCAAGGTGCTTTGTGCTTCCCCTTTAAAACTGCCTGCTCTTCATTTTGGACCAACATTACAGCTTATTTTGAGGTAGTAGCTGATTTTTTTTTTCCTGCTCAGTTAAATTAGTGTTATTAAGCAAAATGTTGGAAATAAATGGTTTGCTAAAAAAAAAAAAATACCCTCTGCCGTGATCTTCCATTTGCATCTCGGTCACACTGGGTGAAGCTCTGGGCCTACAACCAGGCCCTGACCTTGTTCTGGTTCATGATGATCGTGCGGCCTATAGCAACTATAGTCGAAGTTGCCTTCAGTCTGACTAGGTTCCTAGTTTCTGATGACAATAGCTTGAAAAAAGTGAACTACTGACCCTATTTAGGAATAATAAAACCACTAAGGAATGCCAGTTATTATAACTTTTATTTTTTTTAGTGTACAGATGTAATATCTTGCATTGAACACTGAGGGTTGGAACTTATTTTTCTTCCCATGGCTTAAAATCCTCTGTGTGGCAACAAATACTTCTTAAGTATGTTCAACCCTTTTTTTCCTTCCCACATGTCTGGTGTAGCCTTTAAAAACCATGACTTAATTTGGTCATTAAATGTGCAATATTCACTCCTTCACTGTTCAGCATTTAACACACTTGTACAAAGGACAAATTTTTTATATAATGATAAATAGGAAGAAATGAAAATTGGTCAAATAAACTAGATTCAAATTTAATTTACATGTGGTGGATTTGTCTCATTTTTGGGGCAAGCTTGTTGGCAGGCCTTTCCATCCAGAAACTACACTAAGACAAAATGGGAAATGAGAAAGCTTGTAATGGGTTCGCAACAAAGGGCAAGGCCTCTAAAGAGAATTGAAACCTTGGGGGTTTAAGGATTGGCATAGACAGGAAGCCAGCTGGTGATTCCAGGGAGCTCAGGAGAACCTGAGGGTCCATCACATGGTTGCGATGTTGGTAGGAGGGGCATAAAGCTGCAGAAAGGCTCCCACCACATGAGTTCCTGGGTGGGGGTAGGGGTGGGGGTGGGGACACCTCTGGGAGGGCAGAGCTGCCAGGGGGAGGCAGTAGAACTCATCTTGGTTATCTTTTGTTCTGGAAATCACTTCAGCATTGGAATACCTTAGTGTTCACTTTTTATTAGCATTTGTAAGACACATCTGGAATGGGCCAGGTATGGTGGGAGTGCAAAACGTGTGTGATGCTGGCCAGATCTCTTTTCTCCCTGAGACTTTTCCCTCACTCTAAAGTGAGGATCATTGAAGCCTTACCTGTCTCCTGGGTTTTTAGTGCGAACTACTTGGGATCATAGGGGCCCCAGGAATGTGGAGGGGGTGAGGCTGAATCTAAGTGGCCAGGGATGGAGGTGGGTCAAGTCCAGGACCCCTAACTCTTGGTTTCTAAGGTCCCCCTGGCCTGAAAGTAGACACCTTGTCTCTCATCCAGCCTGGAAGGGGGCCATGTGGGAAAACCCAGCCCCACCGAGAGTCATTTCTATCCCAAGGCAGGGAGCTAACTACCTTCTGTGTAGACTGTCTTTGGACCATGTCTTCTTGTGTAGCTACGTCTCGGTTTAAAATTTAGGTTACTAGCCAGCTCTCGGAGGGCAGGGCGATTGGGGTCACGGTCCCAGAGCACCAGGCCTCCTGGGCCACTTCTCTCCAGGACCCAGGGGCCCCAGGGCACTGTGCTGAGGGAGCCTGTTGCCGGGGGCTCTGATCCTTGTGTGCCACCTATAGAGCCTGAGCACTCCGAAGGGGTCGGGTTAGGGAGGCAGGAAGCTCTGCTCCACCCAGACCTCTCAGGTCTGGTCAGAGGGTCAAGAGCAGTCCCCTCCCCTCCTGCCCTTAGAACAGCTGCTTCATCTGGAGACCAAGCAGGAGGCTGCCTGTGCATCGTGAGCAAGCTGTCAGAGGCAGTGCGGGAGGGACCCTTGCCGTCCCTCCTCCCCTGTGCCCCAGGGCCCTTCACTGCGTCTGGAACCACTCCGACAGAGGCGCGCTCTCTTGAGGGATGCAGCTGCTTCCGTTTCCAGGAAGCCCTACTTCCAAGAATTGCAAATATGCACTCAAGAAGGACCACCCTTGGGGAATATGGATGTGGATGGTAAAACCATATTATTGAATTACTAATTTTCTCAAATGTGATAATAGCATTGATGTTATAGGGGAGAGTGCCTTGTTCTCCGAAGACACAAGTATTTAGGGGCGAAGTACTGTGATGTCTGCAGCTTACTGCCAATAGTCCAGCCAAATGCGTACACATGTGCACGCATGTG